AAAATATATGAACAAATTCCTATGCACACTGCACATATTTTATTTGTGGTGCTCAAAAAAGGGAAAAACAATACAATATTTAAAATGATTTTAATCAACATAAACTTATAAGTATTTCAGTGGGAAGTATGGGCCTGCTTTTGGCTAATGAGATGGTCAATATCCGGCTCCATATTGGTCACTGCTCGTTGTAGCAAGTGATGCAAGATTACCAAAGAGTCTTCCCCTGGTCTTACTCAGCTTCATGAAGAAGGGGGAAATACCTCACAATGTGGAGAAAATTGTCTAAGTTGAGTATAACCTTGTTTGATTTCTTGTGATGTTCAGTTTTCTTGTTTGCTACTTCACAAAATACTAATAAACTGCCGCACTGAGGGGGAGGGGAGAGAAATGAGAATGGCGCCTCGGCTGAGGTAAAAGTAAAAGCCGTCCCTCCCAGCGCAGGCTAGGCTTGGCCCACCCCAGTCTCCCTCACCTCGGAGTGCGGCCACCACAAGCCCAGCCAAGCTTGTGGTAACACTGTAGTGATATAACTCTACAAACATTTGACATACTATAGTAATAATGTATATATTTCTATATATTAATATTTATTGATTTATTTCAACATGTATATATTTAGAAATAACAGCATCACTTCCTTCCTAGGTTGAGCTTTCTTATTGAAAAGGAAAGGAGACTTTCACTATCAGGAGCAGACGGTATCACAATACAAGTTTACTATATGAAGAACCCACTTAATTTCCTTGGATTGCACTTCAAGAATAGTGAACTTTTTTCTAACAACATTGTTGGACTTTTTGGTATGTATTCAGATTTTGCAATGAGGTAGCAATCCTCATGCTATTTACCAGTAAGCTTGGTTTTGATGTAGCACTATAACTTAACACTGTATACCTTATATCCTTGGAACAACTCTGAAAGGAAATGAGCATGAATGTCTCTACATTTCAGATGGAGTGGGGATGAGAAGGGGAGCCCTGATTTAGTGGCTTTCCTAAGTCACCTAGTCAGTTCATGACACCTTAAGTTATGTTTCAACTGGCAACTGTCTGGTCCACAGCTCAATCTCTCCGTCACTACACCAATACTTGTGAGAATTGGGGTGGTGCGGCTACATGATTGTCAGGAGAGCCACCGAAGATCTTCCTCAGTTTCCAGGCCCAACCTGATGTTCTTACTCCTATCTTTGGAGAGGGAACCCGTGTCAGACTCTTGGCCATGGCTGCCTCCTCCCTGGGGCTCACCGTTCCTCAAGTACAAGGCAGCTCCACCTCAGAAAAGTGGACAACTGTTGAATAAATGTCTAGAGAAAACTCGGAGAAACTCTGAGCTTGTTGTTTTATGAGTAAAACTACCTTCTCATGTTTAATTATTGATTATTATTCATAGTAGGCACAAAGTGTACTGCAGTCTATCTATTTTGTTTGCTATAGGCCTGTCAAAGGCCATGGTGAGCTGCCCCCCCAAAAAAACACTTCCATCAAGAACTACACTAGACGGTAGTCAACTGCATCCTAAAATCAAGCAGGAATTAGCCTTTATTGGAAGGGGGGTGGGACGCGTATTGCAGCTGCTCCAGCATAGCTTTGAGAACTGCAGTTATTTTCCTGTGTTTTTCTTTGTGTTCCCCAGGTCAGTTTTACTCTAATAAACGTCTTCAAAGACACAGCAATAGAAAGAAGACATTGACTGTACAAGGACAATCATATAGTTTCACAAGGTAAAAGCCACAAAAAAAACACTTGTTGTAGACTATATGAGTGTGTGTGTGTGTGTGTGTGTGTGAGAGAGAGAGAGAGAAACTTGTTAAGATATCCGTACTTTGTCTTCTTTTCTCTAGCTAAAAATGCCCAGGTACTCTGAGCTTCTCTTTCACTACATACCTTACACTGCTCTGCAATTTGGGAGGGGGCGGTATTTTACATGAAGAATGTTGAAAGTGATATTAAAATATAGAAAATTGGAAGTGTTTTTCTGCAAATGCAGCTCAAAACAGTGTTGTCACGAATTTTCATATCAGCAAAGTATTTGTGGCCCTTTAGGAACCTCAAGGAACAACCCACACCTTTTCTATGCACATAAATATATATATATTATGCTTGAAATGCAACTTTCCCCCCACTCAAAAATTTTGAGTCATCCCCATGCCTTTCAGGTCTTCAGCACATTCATTAACCTCTCCCTTGTTACTAGCTTTCCTCAGCCAGTTCCCCCAGTCTTTGCCAACAAAAAAAAGTTACCCTTTGTGAAGGAGCGGGGGGTTAACATCAATGGGGAGGGCTTATTGAGTCCTTGGACCCAATGTCATGCCAACCCTTACCTTGCCTGCTGCTGTCAATAAAGATTTGGCCTGGTTTTATCCCATCACCATTGTGCAGTCTTCTTGTTTTGCTGCTCTCATGGGTCACATAATCCGCGTGCCTGGGCAAATGAATTTTGCTATGCAGTTCTCCAACCAACTAATATTTTCAAAAATGCATATATTAGGGGGAAATGTGCATACAAATGTTAGTGAAAATGACATACAGAATGCATTATATTAGAGGAAATTATATTAGAGGAAATTGTTCATTAGTAAAAAAACACATCCCAAAATGTGTTTATTAGGAGAAATTTGCATTGAATGTTGATGAATCTTCATGAGGATTTTTCATTTTTATACTGTGAATTGCTGCACAAATGTGGAGGGCTGAATTTAAGATGGAAAAAAATGAGAAATGGAGATAAGTGAAACTGGCAGATCCTTTCATTCCTAGCTCTTCCCATTTGCAAAGGAAAGGTTTTTGCTAGCAAAAATTGGGGGAAAGGCTGTAAATGCAGTTACATTAAAACAAAAATCATTTGCAGGGGAGTAACTGAGAAGACCATATGACTTTCAAGGGGGCTTTTACTTTCAATGGGAACTCATTGATTTTTTTTCTTTCATTTTAAAGGCAAAACAAGAAAGATTACAGGATTGAACAGGGAGCCAATGTCAATTTTACCTGCTGGTCACTGGATATAACTCCTTGAAGAACAGCATTTAAAGCAGTAAAAATGTCCATCTTTTGTATTAAGTGTAACTATTACATTTCATTTCAGTGATAACTATTAAAATTGTAAAGGGATGTTTGTCCTCTGTTTCATCATATTTCAAACTGTAGCGACCCTTGACAAGTGTGGGAGGTTGTAGCAGCATGCAATACTTTCTTAAATGTTGATTTAAGGGCCAATATCTATTGGAAGCCACAATCTCTTGATTGGGAAATATTAATTTTTGGAGGGAGGCTTAGGTGGCAACTGGAGTGCCTGTGTAACTTACTCAATTTCTGATTATGTAAGCCCCAGCATTACCTAACTCATGTTCAGTAACATGACAAGTTCAGTAATATTGCTGAGTTCAGTAACATGACAAGTCAATAACATGACAGCATCACCCTTTGTGGCCCCATGCTCTTTTTTCACCCCTTGCATTTGAAAGCAGTGGATTATGTGCAGTTAGCGTCCCTCTACTGATGGAAGACTCTCCAATACACCCTCCAATACACAATTTCTCCTGCAGCCCCCACCCCATCCTGGTCTGCAATGGAGGGTCAGGAGATCCTTCAAAATAGCTTGGGAGGTGGTGTTGGGTTGCAAGGAGGCAAGGGAAATAATAAAAAAAGCCACAGGGAGGTTAAGTGCTCAACAAACAATAATGTTAGGATAATTGTTCAACTGAATTGCTTTGCAGCATACAACATTCTGAACTGTATGTGCCACTATGTAGTTCATCAAATATTCTTCTATTGTTATAGAATTGGGGGGTTCATTGTGCCTGGGAGTCTCAACCGTCTACAAAACTGGGGCCTATACAAGAGGAAACCAGCTTCCTTGTAATATGATGGCCCTGGCTGGCCCAGCTAAGTATCCCCATTTGCATTACCAGGCTCCATGGAGAGGTGACCATGTTCCATGGAGACAACTGAGGGATTAGGTCCTTCAGGAAAGGGGAGGCATTTTCCCCACCTTCTCACCTGACTGGAGGTGACACCATCTTGTAAGGAGGAGAACAATAGCCAGGACTAGTCTGCCTGTTAGTGTTGACTTGGAATGGCTGCTTACCCTGCTGGGGGTGGACAGTGGTTTCGGCCCATCACAGCCTTTTCCTCCACCCCTGAGGAGAGGGGTAAGAGTCGCCTCTTCACAGCCGACCTTTGGGTCCTCTCCCAGCTGCCTGCTTTTGATGGCAGGATAGATTTCCAACACACACACAAATTGAACTGTCCAACCAGGAGCAGGCAAGGAGCTGGAGTCTAGATGATGGACCAGAGTCAGGAAGTCTTCATTGCACTCCACTGCCTGTGCTCTTGCCACTCGGCGCAGTAGGATAAAGCATTGGGTGGGATGGTAACCCATTAAAGGGTTTGGGGTGAATTGGTACATCATCCCAACCTAAAGCAGGTGCGATATCAGGGTACTGTGTTAGAGGAGTCTAAGTGGAAGTCTCTGTCCAAAAGCCAAGTCTGGGGCAGATAGACTATAGAGCTTCCACCTAGAATTAAGGTAATTTTCACGCTGGGCACCAATGGGTGAAAACACAAATTCCTCCAGTTATTTGTGGGAGGAAGTTGTTTTTCTGTAAGGGAAAAAAGGTACTCAGCCAAAACCAGAACCGCCATGCTTTATTGGTTTTACAGCTCAGAATTATAACCACATTTGGAACTGAGACACTGTTCTGGAACATAAAATAGAAGAGATCCATGTATGTTTGTAACAAAATTGGTCATTATAATACCAGCCTGCGCCCAATAACTACTGCTCTACTCGAATCATCCACTACGTAGCTAAAAAAGGTCAAAAAGCAAACAAGCCCCCCCCTATATAAAAATAAGTGCCTTTCTTTCAAGACAAGTTCTCTTCTTGTTAATTAGGAATTAAAGGAATTAACAGCGCAAGAAATAAGACTGGTGCATGTGAAAGCGAAATAAGGGGTTTAGTATTCCATGTATATTTGCTGCAGATCTTGAAACTGGCAGTCAGCCAAAGACACTCTTCGGAGGCTCTTCTTTGGGTTTATCAAATACCGTTTCCCCCCCTGTGCGGTCTCGGCTGAATATCGATGGTGCAGCAGAGCCAGCTTGCTCTGGAAAAAGAACCGGAGACAATTAATACCACAGCAAGAATGCTTCACACTCAACAGCAGCTGTGAAAAGGTTCCCTGAAATATACATAATGTCACACACCCAGGGGGTCAGTGTGCACAGAAATGCTGGATACTTGGACCTCACTGGCAGATGCACTTTTTAAAAAATGCAATACATTTATCTACAGAAGGACCTATCCTCTCCATCTTGAAAAGCTTCCCCTGAGAAGATAAGGCCGGAATATTTACCATTTAGTATTTAATGCAGATGGCCAGTTGTATTTTTTTTGGGGGGGGTGTGCCCTGGAGCATAGTGTTATGGCAAAAGTAGCGTAATCCTGCAAACAGCATTATGATCACAGTATAAAACCTATCAGGGAGGGGAGAATCTTGCTGTTAGGGCTGTATCTGCTAGGAAAGAAAGACCTTGTGTGGGGTAGGGGATGTTTCTTTTAATGGGGAAAGAGAAGGCCTATACTCAGTTGGCACATGTTCTGGAGAAAACGGAGAGAGAGAGAAAAATGCTTTTGTAACCGCAAGACACTGTTGCATAAAAGGGGCAGCCGTTCATGGTTTATGTTTCATTTCTAATGGGATACAGCCTAGGTTTCCAAACTGTGTGTTGTGACACGTGAGTGTGTCAGCTGCAGTGTGTAGGTGTGTCGTGCGAACGCTCCCCGCGCTCCTCCCAGGGCTGGAAAGGGGTTAGCTTAACCTCCTGTTTGCTAGTAAAACTGAATTACTGTATCGCGAAATGATGCATGTCTAAAAGGTGCATCACTAACATGAAAACATTTGTATTGCAGCAACGGCCTTGTAAGCAGAACTTTGATTCACATGCAGTTGGAAACATGTGCCCCTAGTATCTACTTAGCGTTGGATGTTGAGTAATCTGCTGTTTAAAGGACTATTCAAGCATCCATTCTTCCAGCTCTCAGCTCAAGGTTACATTATATCGCAGAAAGGATTGCAGTAGACACTCACCACATTGCTTCATGACTTGGTAGGTTTTGGATTTGATTTCCTGGTTGCCAGAGAGCTTCCCTCTAGCCCCTTTGAGATCTTCTTCCTTTACTGGAGGGCGCTTCTTCTTCACAGGAGCTGGCTAAAAAGGAATACATTTGTATAAAAAGATGGAGCAGCATAACTGCAACAGAGGTAACTTGCTGCCTTATCCATTTTAAGCTTCTCCATCCTATCGCCTGGCCACATTCCTTCAGGTAACCACATGAAATGCTTAACTTTTTTTTTTTTTGCATTAAATGTGCATTAAATGTACATTCTGTAGTTGACCACCTTTGTAATGTTATTATTTAGAAATCTTTAAGATAACATTTTAATTTCCTGTTAGTTATGTTGCTTTGGATGTATACCGTATACATTATTCAGTAATGTTTTATTCTTGATTTATTTGATGTTTTAATGTAGGTTGTAAACCACTTTGAGATTCCCTTCCCCATATAAAGTGGTATAGAAATGAAATGAATACTAGCAATAATAATAATAATAATAATAATAATAATAATAATAATAATAGATTTAAGCTCATTGGGCAAGGAACTTTATGTAAATTTGGGGGACTATGTCAATTGATAGTGCTGTGCAATGAGGAGAAAGTGATGTCAATGCACAAGAGTAGCTGTTGCCCATGTCCTGTCCTTAAGGATGTGTGTCCAGATTGGACACTGTGTTCTACACACTGGGAAGCACCTAATATAAAAATAAACTTGATGCATTTTAACTTGCCCCAGTTCAGCTTTCTAGTGTAATTGCTTTGGAAAACAGAAGAAAGATGCCACCACTTTGTGTGCACATTTTTGGGAAGTAAATTCTATTTTTGGTTTTGTTTAACTTGGTGGTCCTGAACATATCCACTTTGAGATTTTCTCGAATGCAAAATCATTTCTCTTTGCCCATGATAAGTGGGAGGTACTCTTTTTGCTAAATCAACAATAAGGATAGTATGTTCATCTTGGTACAGAGTAGACATAAATTGGTATGGGCACAAAAACCCTCAAATTAATTGGCTTACACAATAATGCCATTTAAATACAGCAAAGCAAAAGATTTGTAACAATGGAGATGTCTACATATTTAAAGAATGCGTGGGAATAGCTTGCTTCCAGTTTACTGTGGGAACCAAATAAAAAAAAATAGAACTCAGACCCCTAGGGAAGCAAAGAACAGCGCCAGGCAAAGAACAAATTAAAGGCTGACTTTTAAAAGCTTGCTTTTCAAAAACTGTCCAGCAGCAATGGGCAGACAGTGACGGCATTCAAATATTTTGTGTTCCCCTGAACCAGGAGGACCTATTGAAGGCCTGAACACTTGGGGAGGAATACGTTGTCACGCTAGCAGGATAGTTCCATCTGGCAAACAGAAATGCTTAGGCTAAGAGAATTATTTCGCCTTTCCTCTCCCACATGCTGTTCTAGGGGATCTCCTGACCCACATGCAAGCCAATTTGTGGGGGCTCATAGGGGGAGGAGAAGAGGAAGCCTTGTTGCACTAGCAAGACCCAGTTCACACTAGGGCTCTCCCAGTTTGTTTCGGGCCCCACACATCAAGCAGGCCACACGCTGGATTTGATCTTTGGCGTAGGTATAGATGTGATCATGTCTCCTTCGATGAAGGCTCTGAAAGCCAGGATTGACTTTCCACCCCCACCCTGCTTAGGTGGCGAGCCGATTTGGGCTCACCCGCAGAGGCTGATGGACCCTGATAGATTCCGCCAAGCCTTGCGGGACCTTGCTCCCCCTGGCGACTCATTGACTGAACTTGTTGAGGGTTGGAATACCCAGCTCCTGGCAGCCATCGATGAGATCGCACCTAAGTGCCCTCTGCGACCCCGCAGAAACCGGGCTCCCTGGTTTACCGAGGAGCTCCAGAAAATGAAGCGGGACCTCAGACGGCTAGAGCGAGTATGGCGGGGTGCCCGTGACGGAGCCTCAAGAACATCTAGTAGGGCTTTTATGAAAACCTACGAGATGGCGTGAAGGCTGCTAAGAAATCATACTTCTCGGCCTCCATTGCATCCGCTAGTTCTCGCCCGGCGCAATTATTTAGTATAATCAGGTCTTTAACATCCCTTGAGGGACAGCCAAATTTAAATAACAATTTGACACACAGCTGTGAGGCATTTGTGAGCTTTTTTGAGGAGAAGGTCTTGTTGCTTCGCCATGACCTCCCGGCCAATTTGGATACAATAAAGGAACTGGAGGCCCCTCGACTCTCCTCGGGTCCAGTATTGGACCACTTCAACCGGATATCCCCAGCCGATGTGGACAGACTCCTCCGAGCTGGAAAGCCCACCACCTGTCCTCTCGACCCATGCCCGTCTTGGCTGATTAGAGCGTGTCCAGACGAGGTGCGGGCCCTCCTGGGGGATATCATCAATTTGTCCCTTGGCACGGGGACATTCCCAGGGGAACTGAAGGAGGCAGTGGTGCGCCCTCTCTTAAAGAAAACATCATTAGATCCTTTAGATCTATCCAATTACCGCCTGGTTTCAAATCTTCCGTTCCTGGGTAAGGTGATTGAGAGAGCGGTTGCTGAACAGCTTGGTGGTTTTCTGGATGAAACATCGGCTCTGGATCCATTCCAGTCCGGCCTCCGCGCTGGTCATGGGACCGAGACGGCTCTGGTTGCCCTAACAGATGATCTTCGTAGACAGCTGGATCGAGGCGGGTTGGGGCTGCTGATTCTTCTAGATCTGTCAGCAGCTTTCGACATGGTCGATCACGAACTTCTGGACCACCGCCTTGCCGACGTGGGGATCCAGGGCACAGTCCTTCAATGGCTGCGCTCATTTCTCTCTGGTCGGGGACAGAGGGTGGCGCTTGGGGGGGAATTGTCATTGCGCCACTCCTTGGTGTGTGGAGTACCTCAGGGTGCGATACTCTCCCCGACGCTTTTCAACATCTTTATGCGCCCCCTCGCCCAGCTTGTTCGGAGTTTTGGACTGGGTTGCCATCAGTATGCCGATGACACCCAACTCTATCTGTTGATGGATGGCCATCCTGACTCGGCCCCAGACACACTGACCAGATGTTTGGAAGCTGTGGCTGGATGGTTACGTGGGAGCGGTTGAAGCTAAATCCTTCGAAGACAGAGGTACTGTGGCTGGGACGGGGCGATATGGGATTGGGGGGGCAACTCCCATCTCTTGCGGGGGCGCAGTTAGTGCCAGCACCATCCGTTAAGAGTTTGGGTGTAATCTTCGACACCTCCCTTTCCATGGAGGCGCAGATTGCAGCTATAACAAAGGCGGCATTTTCCATCTCCGCCAAGCTAAGCAGTTGGCTCCTTACCTCTCTCGCCCTGACCTAGCCACTGTGATCCACGCGACGGTCACCTCCAGACTGGATTATTGTAACTCGCTCTACGTGGGGCTGCCCTTGAGACTGACCCAGAAACTCCAGCGGGTGCAGAATGCTGCAGCGAGACTCCTTACGAGGTCTTCGCTGCGAGATCACATTCACCCGGTGCTATACCAGCTGCACTGGCTCCCAGTGGAGTACAGGATCAGGTTTAAGGTGCTGGTTTTAACCTTTAAAGCCCTATACGGCCTAGGACCCTCGTACCTACAGGACCGCCTCTCCTGGTATGCCCCACAGAGAAACTTACGGTCTTCAAATCAAAACATCTTGAAGGTCCTAGGCCACAGAGAAGTTAGGCTGGCCTCAACTAAAGCCAGGGCTTTTTCGGCTGTGGCTCCGATCTGGTGGAACACTCTGTCACAAGAGACCAGGGCCCTGCGGGACTTGACATCTTTCCGCAGGGCCTGCAAGACAGAGCTGTTCCACCAGGCCTTTGGCCAGGGCACAGCCTGACTCCCTCCCTCGGCAATCTTCGCGGAGCTCTGGCCCAATGGTTGCCAGAGGCTTGAATTAATTAATTTTATAATGAATGATTTTAGAATGTTGTTTATGCTGTACTTTTGTACTGTTTTATTGTTGTTAGCTGCCCTGAGCCCGGCTTCGGCTGGGGAGGGCGGGATATAAATAAAATTTATTATTATTATTATTATTATTATTATTATTATTCATGGATTCTGCTAGTGTGTCTGTTTAGTTGAATCTGGCCCAGAATGGGGAGCAGCCTATTTCACATTATGGCTGTAGCTCAATGGTAGAGCATTTGCTTTGCATGCAGAAGGTCCCAGGTTCAAGTCCCAGCATCTGCAGGTGGGGCTGGGAATTTTCACTGCCAGACAACCACTGTTGGCCAGTGTAGAAAGTGTACTGAGCTTGATGAACCAGTGCTCTGACTCAGGTCTAGTCTGCCCTTTAAAGTTGCCAAATGGTGTCTATTTTCAAAGCACTCGGTGTGACAATTATCATGTGACCAACCATTATTGTAGAGTCTTGTGGCACCTTAAAGATGAATAAATAATTGTATAAGCTTCTGTGGACTAGGGGTGCTTTCAGATGGTCAGTTTACTGAGTATTCATCCTGATCTGTTTGCAGAAAGGTTAGACAATGTTGGCTGTTTAACGAGCATTTATTCTGATGTGGTTGTGGGGAGGTTAGACAATGCTGTATCAAAACAAGTGTTTTCTCACAGTTCTCTGGGCATTTTCCAACTACCTTTCTTATTGCAAAAGCTTGCTCTTTCAGGGAAGTGAGATTGTGGCAGAAGACCTACCAATAATTGTGGAAAGTGAATTTGCCAGTATGTGGCTGAACCCCCAAAATAGTGACAGCCTGGAATTGCCCTAGAGTCCACTTCACCAGGCGCATGAAGTGGGATCCTCAGTTGATAGTTAACAAATGCATGCATCCAATAGTGTGCAATCAATGAACTAGGGGGGTTGGCTAGTCTCCTAAATGTTCCTGGTAAATCAGAATATTAAAGTCTGGCTCCTCCTTTCCAAAGCCCAGGAAGCTTCTGCCTGGATTAGGGAAGGAGGTGCGATGCCCACATGACGGACAACAGGACATATCCCCCCCCCCATTGCCCTTAGAAGCTGGGGCCTCTGGCCCTGTCACCCTACAAAAAAATTCACTGCACGCCACTGCATGCATAATAATAAAAAGTGTGTATTTTATAGATGCCATGAAACTCTTTGCTGTTTTTGCTACCACAGATTTATAAAAGGTAAAGGTAAAAGTAAATGACCCATGGCGTTGTGGCGCTCATCTCGCTTTCAGGCAGAGGGAGCCGGCGTTTGTCCACAGACAGCTTTCCGGGTCATGTGGCCAGCATGACTAAAGCGCTTCTGGCACAACAGAACACCATGATGGAAACCAGAGCGCACAGAAACGCAGTTTACCTTCCCGCTGCAGCGATACCTATTTATCTACTTGCACTGATGTGCTTTCAAACTGCTAGGTTAGCAGGAGCTGGGACACAGCAACGGGAGCTCACCCTGTTTCGGGGATTCAAACTGCCAACCTTCCGATCGGCAAGCCCAAGAGGCTCAGTGGTTTAGACCACAGTGCCACCACATCCCCACAGATTTATAGTGCCTATATAACTGAAGTACTTTTCTGCAGATCAGCCAACACCTGGTTGTGTCATGCTGGAACAGCCATTCCACAGGAGCAACTCACCAAGTTATAAACAACCAAATGAGTTAAAAGCAGCCCCCATGAGATCAGGGAACTTGCAGACCTAGCCCTACCTCTTCTCCCCCATGATAGAAAAGCAGTCAACAAGCACTACAGACAAGAGCGATCAGCAGCTCTGCTGGCATCAAGACCATAATACGATTCCTGCCAGTGAACACATTATTTCCAGTGTTAATGAAGTGACAAATTTAGTCATGGGCAAAGCTTTCAGCCTGCAACCATTCCTGTGCTTGCCATACCAACAATCTATCCTACCATTTATCTGAAACTGTGGCAGGGAAATGAGTGCTTGTTTAGAACATCTCTAGTATTCCTTCAGTGAATATTTACTTTGAACAGACACTAAGCAGAACAAAATTCCTAGGCACAGCCTCCTAAAACAGCTTCTGAATATTTGCTGCCTGTGTGCCTAATCTGCTCCAAAATTCCCTTTCGTCCTAGCCCTGATATAATTGGTTCCATTAGGAAAGCATGGTTTGCATGATGAAAACTCCCTATCTTGCCATATTTTGAAGAGCAAAAAAGAGGATGCTATGACTGCCAATCAAAGCAAGTAAGTGCAATTTGTCTCAAATTCTACTCTTGAAAAAGGGGATGTGTCCTGGAAAAATAGAACACATGGCAATCCGACATACGGCAGCTCTACACTCTGAGCCCTTGTTAGCATAATGTTCCCCTGCAAAAAACCGCCCACCTCATCTTGAAAGGTGGACAGGAAGAAAAGTTCAGCTTTACAAATTGTCCAACCAACTGTTAACTCAAGTATTGTAAAACATTTGCCTCAACAGCAAACTTTATTCTGTTGTCAGAAGTTAGCAGAATGTTATGTCATAAAGATTGAGCTATCATTGCTCAAGCAAAGCTGAACACGCACATAACCCTAAGATTCAAGAATTCTATAAAAATATTAGCATGTATTAAAACACTAGACCTATATCCTTAAATGTATTCACTGATACTGGAAGGGGGAAAGCAGGATAGCAGGAGAAAGCTAAAAACACATTTTTCTTAGTCCCCAAAACTTGCTAGAATAGTTAATTGCTGAACCCCAGATCCCAAAGCTCTGCAGCACCACCTTTGCCAATTCAGTTTGCAGCTATAGCATTGACAGAGCTGCAGATAAGCACAATGCTAACCAGTATTAATGCTAGAAAAACAAAGGGGGGAAAAAAGCTATTTATACCTGTGACATTGCTGCAGCACTCGCACTAAGAATACCAGTAGTCTCCTTGTTTAAAATCCAAAGGCTGAAGTAGCCGGCTTTCTCTAACTTTTATAGACTCTTGTGTGAGGTCAGTCTACTGGGTCATCTTCCCAATCTAGTTCCTGGAGTGTTTGAGGTTGACACAGCCTTGATGTTGAGAGGTTTATTCTTAGCGGTGACTGAGGTTCACAGCATTTACTGAGCTGCGTGGCTGAAGCGAGAAGAACCACACAAGTGACAAGAAAAGACAGCTGGGCCAGCAGAACTATGTGGAAGTCTTGTCCTTTCTGCTTGAACAAGTAGCTGCTCTAAGGGAACCCTCTGAGCCTCTATTTATAGCCTTAAAGGGCAGTGCTTTGTATTGCAGATGCTCAATTTAGGCTGCAGTATTAGGCATACATACATAAATCTCATGGAAAGCCAGTAGGGCAGAACTAGTTGTAATGAGGGTTAAAAGGAGTCTTTCCCCCACTGTTGGGGTAGGGACACTCACTGTGGAGAAAATTTAAGTGGGGAAAATGAGGTGCTTGAACTTCCCAGTTGCTAATTCTCCTCAGCAAAAAGTCGATCTTCTGGGTCATTTTAATATCAATTTCCACTACTCTCTCCAGCTAAATTCCAAAAGAAAGAAGTAGGCCTTGCTGAGATAAGTACAGCTGAGGGGAAGGGGATATGGATGAAGGCAAATAAGATGAAACTTCATCTAGACAAGCTGTTGATTAGGAACTCTAATTCTGGATGGAGATATTCAACCTGTCTTAGATGATGCTATACCTTTCCTGAAGTACCAAGTACAGCTTTGGGGGTTATCCTACAACTGGCACCATCTCTGTGCACACCCATGGTCTCAGTGGCTGGGAACGCCTTTGCCAGATTCAACTGCTTTGCTGACTGCAGCAACCCTACCTGGAGAAAGGAAACCAGGTCTCAGGCATAACTCATGCACTGAGTCAATTTACATTGGACTCCCTCAGTGCTCTTCATGTGGGGCCATCTTCAATAAAATAGTTAAGAAATGACCATTGGGTAACCAGATCCAACCCCTTTGCAGTATCTGCTACCGCCAGTTAACTGTATATTAAATAAATCCAATATGCAGGTAATGAATTGAAGAAAGCTAGGGACATTTTTTTATTAAGTCAAAACTTTATTGTAAACCATGATTTAGGTACATAACATTCTTTCCATTTTAATGAAACACCATAAGTTAAACATGATCCGGACGACATCTTGACTTGCATTTTTAACTTCAAGGGACCTACTTTTTATTTCGAATCCCAGATGCACCCAAAAATCCTAATTGCAAAGAGTATCCCTTAAAAAAACAAAAACACATTTGCTTTGTAAAACCATAGTAATTTCCTGTCATTTAACCGGAAACTTTTACAAAAGTTTTGATGTATTGCAAGTTTCCTATTGGCCGATGTGGCTGGTTTTGTTGTGTTCACCACCACACTGCTTTTGTATGGATGCTGCAAACTGCAATTAGCCATGCACAGGGGCGAAGATGCCCAGATTTCAAAATAGGAAATGTTAAGGCTGAACAGCCCTCCTCCCACCGCTTTCCTTCCAGCAAGGCATAGCTGGAAACCAAGCACATGCTTGTGAGGGGAATGCCTTTGGAACACTTTGCATTGCTGTAGTTCGGTTCACAAATCAACGAGTATGAGGTCTTTTCCCTGAAGAGAAGCTTGTAACACATTTCCCCCCCAGCAACATTAACACACAGCATTTCATTTAAAGATCGTATGGGAGACACTAATATGTTTAAAAACAGAAAATGATGACTACATAACCACCACAGGATGTCCCAAATAATTATGTCGGGCACATGATATCATGCACAGTCAATGAGGCAAATCACGGTCTGTTTCATTTTTGGATCTCATCCATTTGGCAAGGGGAAACTGATAGTCTCTCCATTGAATTCAGCACACGGTACTATTTTTGTTTTAAGAGTAGAAAGAACTGGACCACATTAGTCACATTAGAATCAGGTTTCTCAAGCACAGACTGAAGTACACTTTTTTGTGACAAGATCTTTACAAATTGACCTTCAGAGTTCCACTTAGGTTTTGCCTACTTCCTCTGCCCTCTTCAAACTGCCAAAACTCACTGAAGAGCAAGCCAATACACCCAAAATCAATTTAAGGGCAAGCAAAAATGCAGCACTGTAAAGAACAAAACATAGCCAATTTCAGCTAGGCTGTATCCTGCCCCTGCCCCCATTCAAAATTATTGTTCCTTTATTCTATTGCACCTTTCCAAAAGTAATTAGTTTGTTTTACAGAAGAGCTTAGAGCAAAATTCAAGCCATTCTCCAACTTCTTCACATGTTAACTCTGATGTGATGTCGCAATGACCACTAGCTTTGACAGCTTTATGGATGTTTACAGACAACTGATCAAACAGCTGTGACAACCATGCGGGACCTCTGTATAGAAGCAGTGTGTACCTCTAAATACCAGCTACTGGGGACTTGACAGCAGAAGGCCATTAATTTGATGTCCCGCGTAACAGCTAGAGCAGCCTTTCTCAACCTTTGGTCCTCAGACATTGTTGGACTACAACTCCCAGCATCCCTAGCCAGCAAGGCCTGTGGTCAGGGATTATGGGAGTTGTAGTCCAACAAACAAATGGGGAGCCGAAGTTGAGAAAGGCTGGCCTAGAGGAATCTGACTGCTGTGGGAAACATAGATCTAGATGCGACCCACAAAGGCAATTTTTATTGTTCTTAAATGTGGTCCATGCACACATATTAACATCTGAGCATTTTAAACCCATCTTTGGCCAATACTGCTTCATTATGTCAAGCTGCAAGACACAAAAAGCACCGTGAAATACAACAATGCAGCAAAAAAGCTGAACAGAGTACCCTTTATTCTTTAGGTTTTTGAATTAAGCTGCTCTCCAATGCCTCATGCTATTCAATAAAATGTAAATCTGAGGTCTCCTCCAAGTTGGAATATTTAACACAATTAAGGCTTTGGGTTCATTTTTTACAATTCCCCATCCCAACACTGTTTAAAACAGACATTTCACGTAAATGAAGCCACAGGAAGAAATGAATAAAGTTAAGCTTTTGGATTTAGTCAGCTAGGTATTATTAAACTGAAAAATAAATAAATGGCCTACGGTTTCATCTCGGTTTGTTTCACTACCTCAGGTAAAGTAAATTAAATTGACAAATCATATCCGTATCTGCCATTCTGCAGAAATGAGATGACATCCACACAATTTTGAGTCCCTGAATGAACTTTTAAAAATAGATTACAGGTATGGACTACCCCATCGGCACGGGGACCCAAGCATGAGGGAGAGAAGAGGTGCTTTAATCCTTTCCCCTCTGCTGTGGCCCCAATCCAGAGGAAGCCCATACATGTTATTTGCATATAAATCTTACTGAGGATAAGGATGTGGATGTATTGGGGAGAAGGCCTCCCATAAACATCTAATTTGTCCCCAAGAATCTCACAAAGGTGCGATGGAACCTGCCTTCAGGTGTGATTCTTGACAGAACAGGCATTTCCCCGCCTCCTAATAGAGGCTTCGCTTAACTTTATATTGAGATAAGCATCATTTCCCTTTGTTTTCAGCCTGAACACCAACATGTAACAAAGTATTGCAGATATGATGCTGTGCAAAAGAAACAACCCCCACCATTCATTATGTAGTTCCGAAACGCATCGCCCATTAAGATGCTTCTTATGGGCAGCATGGCAAGTGAGGCAAATGTCACTCCCCTCAGAACTACCGCTGTTAAGCTAGCAAAAAGCAACAATGGAGCCTTGCATTGTACCCCCCAAAGTCCAGTGATATCCCCCAACACCAGCTGCCTGTGTAGCCGACCGCATTTAAGACAGACTACACATATAAAAACTGTAAAAAAATATATCTGAAAAGTCCGAGCTCCTGTCGTTGAAAGTGTTGTAAGGCTTGAATTACAGTCTGATATTCAGATACCATAAATTACAGATTTGCATCCCCCCCCCTTCTTATTCTGAAAACACTTTTGCTGTTTTGTTGTATCAAAGATTTAAATGAGCATGGAAAACTGCCAAATAGTAACTAGCATCAAAATAAGTCGTGGGCACCAAATCAGGTAGGCAAGTATTCCATTGACAAGAGAGATATTCTGAGTTACCATAGGATAGCAGAACAACAAAAGCAGCAACTACCATGATGTTGTTAATGGGTGAGTATATGCATTAGGTGCTGTTACCTCTGGCCTTATTTTGTTTTTAGGAAATTGAGGAATGAGTTACTGCTAAAAGTGATCAGCACTCTTTGTAGCAGTAAGAAATGCTCTAAGGAAGAACAGAATTACAAATCCTGTTACATCACTATTCATAGCTGTCGATCACACGAAGGCCCATCTGTTATCGTTTCAAGGAAAGATTGTAATATCATATACATAGAAAAGGAATGTTGCTTCAGATTTGGAATAGCTGAGATATGGGCTCAGAAGACTTGCAAGCACTTAAGAAACCAACATTACTGAAGTCTCTAAAATGTTCAGCGACAAATAGAATTGCCAATTATTGTTGCTTTTATGCTAAAGTGCACAGGACCATGTATACACCAAATGGTCTTCAGGTCACAGAAGTGACCAGGGATTTAATCTGCCAACTACTTGCTGCCTTTCACTGTGTTTTGGTTTAGCCAGGCTTGCGCAGAGCTCCCATTCAAGGCCATGTGTAACTAGTAGCCACTTGGCCACCATTTCCCTTTGTCACATGACTCTCCTTTATATGACAGACACAATGAAAAAAATTTTTTTGTTGTTGCAAGTTTTTGACCTTTTCACCACACACAGAAAGTAACAACATAATATTCTTTGACAAACACAATCCTTAAATATCCCAGTATGAAAATATAACTTAAATATAAAAGTTCAAATAGGTTAGAGGAGCTTTGGGGTAGGGGGGTGGGGCAACTTTGACAGCCAAAAGTACCCTTAAGAAGTAAAGTTACATAAGAATATTAAGTTACGATTTGTAACTGCAAAACTATTCTGTCCTAGGAATATGTTGCAAAAGCCTTTTTTTTAGTAATAAAACATACTGATTCAAATGTTGTTAATCCGACGTCTCTCTCATAATATCATTCAGGAACCATAGCAGAAACAATGGTGCTCTATGGCGCCTTTTTCAAAAGGGTCACGTACAAATCGCCTTGGTAACAAGAATTTTTCCACCCATGATGAAAAGGTACTCTTGCATATTTGGTCAGTGTTTCCATAGTGCAACTGAACAGGTAGCTTTCCCCACTATCCATGTTCTGTTTCTTCTGAGTCAGTTTCCAGGCAATAAGCATAGTGTTGCCAAGTGAAAAATCCACTGTCCATAGAAGCATCTGTCACAAAACCTGCAAATGTGCAGGCCACAGAATCTGTCATACAGGCAGACCAAATCGATGCTTCTTTTTCTTTACAGACTTTAAGTTAGTCAGTCTCCGAAGATCCTCTTCAACATCTGATTCTTCCATTTCATCGTCTGCTGAAATTAGGATCTATAGGCAAAATTTTGACATGCAATTAGACACAACTCGTATTTGTTTTCCCTCACTCACCCAAAAGTATCTTCAAATGCAAACACACTTTTATAAGGGGGAGAGGGAAGTGTTGTAAGCTAAACAAGTAGTATGTATGAGTCACTTGGGTCTTTAAGTAACTATTGACCTTGCCCTTTATCAACACTGCAAAAAGGAGTAGATACAGTACCATTATTGGAATAAAAGCAAAAGCTAAAGTTACATAAGGTTGCGCCATCACTCCCTTCTCATTTGCTTACTGTAAACTATAGGAATAGCAAATGCAGAACTTGCCTCTGACTCAGACTCTTCGTGTGAGGCTGCTCTTCTGTATCGAACTTTGCTTCCATTCCTTGAATCCTGCCCAGCTTCTTTTTCTTCAAGTTTAGCTTTTGTTTTCCCTTTCTTCATAAGGAAGTTATCAACTACCCAGAACATGAATGCCTGTTATGATGGAAAAGTCAGTGTTAAGTGCTATCTGTCATTCAATCTATAAGACAGCAGTCATATTTAAGAGACTTACAGTAAAGACTCTCTATCTATCTATCTATCTATCTATCTATCTATCACCTCTCTATCTACAGTGGTACCTCGGGTTAAGAACTTAATTCGTTCCAGAGGTCCATACTTAACCTGAAACTGTTCTTAACCTGAAGCACCACTTTAGCTAATGGGGCCTCCTGCTGCTGCCGTGCCGCCGGAGCACAATTTCTGTTCTCATTCTGAAGCAAAGTTCTTAACCTGAAGCACTATTTATGGGTTAGCGGAGTCTGTAACCTGAAGCGTATGTAACCTGAAGCGTATGTAACCCGAGGTACCACTGCATCTATCTATCTATCTATCTATCTACACACACACACACAAATAAAGTTAAATGGGCCACTTAGAATGCTGAGCACCTTAAACTTGTGTTCAGCAGCTTCAATTATAAAGAAAACATGAAGGAGATGTTTCAAAAAGGAGTAGTCAACTTGGTGCCCTCTCAGATGTCGTTGGATTCCAAATCCCATCAACCTCAGCTTTCCTGGTCGATGGCTAGGGATGATGGGAGTTATAGTCCACAACATCGGGAAGCTACCCAGGTGTAGCACATTTCACAACATGCTTAGAAAATAAAAATTTGGCTTTAGTGGATTAGAATATTGAACAAAAACTCATTTCTATATGAGAATTATTATACCCGTAGTGAATGTTCACATTTCTCCTGTATAATTACTCAGCAGGTAAGATAATGCAAAGAAAAAACTACCAAGACAACAGAAGTACAAAAAGCTATCCACTTTTATATTAGCAAACATATATTTAAATTGAGTGCCCTCTGATGTGGCTCATGATTGCAAAAATAAAGAGTGGCAGACAGATTGACTGGAAATATGTGCCAGCTTCAGATTTGGTATTCACTGAAGACTCTGAGTTAGGACTTTGCTGCACTTTGAAGTGTCTTGCTGAATATTGATTAGATTATCCTTTAAATGTTTTAGTCACACATGTTATCAGATGTGAGATACATGAGATAGTGGCCCATCTATTATAAATGCTGCTTCTGGAAAGATCAGCTGCACAAGGCTGCACATATTTCATTTATGAAAGTTATTTATCTGAGTGCAGCAATGGGAGCACAGTGGTGTGTAAAAGCATCCTGTTGTCCTCCTGACTTGAGGCAAGATCTTAATTTTGACATATGAAACCTTATTCAATTTGTGCCTGGTGCAAAACTGCTTCCTCTTTTAAAATATTTCAAGAGCGAAAAGCCCCATGCCCAACTACACTGTACACAGTTGTTCCCTTGAGCCACTTGAAAAGTCAGATGATGGTCAAGTATTTTAAAACTGTGATTGTAACGGAGAAGCACATGAAATACAAAATACAGCTGGTTAACATGAAACAACAGCATTAAACAGCAAAGTATCATAATTATTCATAGCTCCCAATGTTGTGTAAATCTAAGTGCATATTAGCAGTATAGCAGTAATATTTAATGCTGTACAGTGGTGCCCCGCAAGACGAACGCCTCGCAAGACGGAAAACCCGCTAGACGAAAGGGTTTTCCGTTTTGGAGGCGCTCATAAAGCAATTTCCTATGGGCTTGCTCGCAAGACGAAGCCCATAGGGAAATCTCCGAGGACCTCTTTTAAATGCTAGCGGTGGGGAGCAAAGCCTTCCCCCTCCGGCCTTCAGAAGAGGTCCAGGAAGGCTGGCGGGGGCCGAAAGGTTTTGCCCCCCACCGCCAGCATTTTAAAAGCAGTCCGGGATAGCAGGGAAGCGCTTCCGCTATCCCGGACGGCTTTGAAGGCAGGAGAGGTCCGCTGAAGCCTGGGCGCGCTGATCCCAGCGCGCGCCGGCTTCGGCATGCCGGCAACTCTCCGCAAGCAGCGGCAGCGCTGCCGCTGCTCGCGGAGAGGTCCGCGAAGCCTGGGCGCGCTGATCTCAGCGCGCGCAGGCTTCGGCATGCCGGCAGCTCTCCGCACGCCGCGGCCGCGCTGCCGCTGCTCGCGGAGAGGTCCGCGAAGCCTGGGCGCGCTGAGCGCCGCGCGCGCAGGCAGCGGCACGCCCGCAACGCGCCGCATGCCGCGGCAGCGCGGCCGCTGCTCGCGGAGAGGTCCGCGACGCCTGGGCGCGCTGATCTCAGCGCGCGCAGGCTTCGGCATGCCGGCAACTCTCCGCAAGCAGCGGCAGTGCTGCCGCTGCTTGCGGAGAGGTCCGCGAAGCCTTGGCTGGACAGCTTTTGAAGGCAGGTGGGGGGGGGGACAAAGACTTTCGCCCCCCGCCAGCCTTCAGAAGAGGTCCTGGACCTCTTCTGAAGGCTGGCGGGGGCAAAGTCTTTGTCCCCCTGCCTGCCTTCCCAGGGGCTTTAAATTGCCCCGGACAGCGGAGAAGTCCTCCGCTGTCCCGGGGCAATTTTAAATACCGCCCGCCAGCATTTTAAGATCGCCCCGGACAGCGGAGAAGCCCTCCGCTGTCCCGGGGTTTTAAAATGCTGGGGTGGGTGGGAAGAAAGCCCTTGTCCCCCCCAGCCTTCAGAAGAGGTCGGGGGACAGACTGTCCCCGGACCTGGTCTGAAGTCGGTTTCCCTAGGAACGCATTGAGTGATTTTCAATGCATTCCTATGGGAAACCGTGCATCGCAAGACGAAAAACTCGCAAGAAGAAAAAACTTGCGGAACGAATTAATTTCGTCTTGCGAGGCACCACTGTATTGTTTTTAACACTCGATTGGGAGCCGCCCAGAGTGGCTGGGGAAACTCAGCCAGATGGGTGGGGTATTAATAATAATAATAATAATAATAATAATAATAATTGAAAAGTCTTGACTATGGACAGAAACATACTGTTTGGCACAAAAAGCAAATAGTGCTACACTTAGCAATGTGGTCATTGTTTAGTGTGCATCTGCACGTACTTCCAACAGAATGTGTGCAGATCTTCAGGAGCCTTAACTTGTGTAAGAAAAATGCCCCTTTAAAGTAAGCACGCTTAGCTTCACGGAGTAGTGGAACACAGTCAAAGAACAGACAAGCAGCTCAAATCAATTTATGTGCCTCAATCTGAATGGGATTAAAATCAATTTTAAAAATGATTTCTGATTATTCCCTACTTTTGAAAGCAAAGTGTGTATGTGTATGGGGGGCGGTTCCCACTTATCCATTAATGTTCTTACAATCACCATAATGGAAGAGAAACCACTATTTCTTTGAAGAGGATTTAGAAATGATGAAAAAATTGATACCTGTCCTACAACTAAATGCTATGTTCAAAGCCAATTAACCTTTTACATTTTTATGGCATCAGCTTTTTATATTCTGTCAAGTGCCACTGCAATGTATTTGCACTCCCAAGTATAAATATTTTTAAACACACTAAATATCCAGAAAACATTTGTTTATACCAACATTTACAAAGAAGGGGACTATTAGCATGACAATAGCCAGCTCCAACTGAGGATTCTTTATAGGATTCAATACAGCTACCTGCAAAGAGAGAAAGAAGCACATTAATATTATGGAATTACATACATGTACAACTGAGTTTTCAGGTTATCTTTTTTCACTGTATGTGGCATCAAGTTAAAGGGACGTGGGGTTGGGAAGAGCTGAGGGGACAGAAATGAAATAGTTTTTACTGAGTGAAATCCAACATTATGTGACTGAACTTTTTTCAGAGCATGAGAGGGCTGAAAGGAAGGCAAAGATGGTGAAGTCCTCTTGCAGGAGTGGAAGTCTGTTCCACTCATGCACAGATACCATTGGATACAACCTATACAGTGGTGCCCCGCAAGACGAATGCCTCGCAAGACGAAAAACTCGCTAGACGAAAGGGTTTAGCGATTTTTGAGTTGTTCCGCAAGACGAATTTCCCTATGGGCTTGCTTTGCAAGACGAAACGTATTGCGAGTTCTTGCGAGTTTGTTTCCTTTTTCTTAAAGCCGCTAAGCCGCTAATAGTAGCTAAGCCGCTATAGCCGTGCCATAAGACAGAAAAAACCGCAAGACGAAGAGACTCGCGGAACGGATTAATTTCGTCTTGCGAGGCACCACTGTAGTATAATGACGATATTAGGTTTGTTCTTAAATGATGTTAAGATGTGTACCTATTTCACTAGGGTTTGAAATAATAAATTGAACATTAAACATATCCGGACATTTAATTGCTTTAATCTGCAATGATTAAAAAGCACTGTTGGTCAGCAACAAGTGTATTTTGAAATAAATGGCCTAGGAAATACTATTCAAAGCCCTGAATAGTGTTAGCTCCAAGAACCAGAGACCTCTGCATCTGGAACTTCTTTATACAAGGCAGATCGATAGTTGCAGGCCTTGCAATTTTCTAGTCAGCTTCATGAAAGCAGAATTCAGAAAAAGGATCAAACTGGAAAAAGAGGGGTGGTGGAAACTGCATGTAGTTGCAGAACATATAGGCATGTCACCTGCTTCTAGTTTACCATGTGATCTATTAATTTTTCATATTTTTCATATTTAGATGCTTGGCACTGCCCTAGAGTCTATGATAAGATCCTATTCACTATCTGGGAGTCTACCATCACATATACAGATTTTAGCCGACAATGTCATACCCAAAGAAGTCCCATTGACGTCAATGGACTTAAGCTTGCCATTGATTTCAGGTAGTCTACTCAGAGTATGACTTAGTTGAAAGAACCTGAGAGAATACATTGTAACTGAAACATCTACTCAACAGGACAGAAGGAAGGTTTTTGAATAAATGGTTATTCATACCCTACAAATTCAATAGGGTATCTTACTATTAAGGCTTAGCCACCACAAATATTTTCAGTTGTTGGCACAGGACTAGTCTCATTGAATTAAATTATAGCACTGGTTACTATATGGTCTGTCTATCTCTCTATCTATTAAATATATGTATATCAAGATTCAAACCTCTTTCCACTGAGGTATTAGGAGAACTATGATGATGATGGTTTTCTCAAACATCATGATGACTATGTACAATGCACACTGGCCCACCCAAGCACTGCACTGAAGGGGGTCACCTACAAAACAAAACACAAATGGTTAGCAAGCAAGCAAGCTTAAATCGCATCTGAGTAGCTAGGAAGACACTATGAAATCTTTAGCAAAACTACTAGATTCTTGGTTATCACTTATTTGGAAACAAAACTGTTTAATCTCATTCTAAGACAGATTTACATGATTTCAGAAGTTTAAACTGAACACATACAAAGGTGGAAGCATTCATTTCTCATGTGCCCTGAGGGCTCCTCTAACATTCTGTGTTTACAAAATGAACCTACCCCTAAACAAAAAAACCCCACCACCTTTCATGTTGTGTCGTGTGTGGCAAATGGCTGCATCTTCTAATCAAAACTTAAAATGTAATACACACACTGTCTCTGGACTGAGCAAACAAAAAACGAAAACTAACCTCCTGTAATAGTGACTAACCAGTGACTGTTACAAAACACCAAACAGCTAACTGCAATAGCACTTATAACAATTTTTTAAAAAAAGACTCTTCAAGTTAACTGTGCCTTCTTACGACACGTGTGTGTTCAGCCTAATCCTGAAACCTTTCATCACATCATCAAGGGTGCTGCCCATTCCTTCAAAGTTGTTAACAAAAATACTGAAAGGTAATGGACCCTTCACTAAACTTCTGCAAAATGTCACTGGGTAGCTTTTCACAGTTTAGTGCCCATACAAATGAGTCACTATTCTTCCTCTATGGAGGTCAAATCCGGGATTTGCAGCCATGACTTCAAAAGAGAAGGCTTATAAGAAATGAGGGGACTAGTAAAATGAAAGTTCAAAAGAGACAAAGCTCTCTAGAATACTTGAAGGTTATTCAAATCCATAATAACATAGCTGTCAATTCCCCCCCCCCTTTTTAAAGGAAATTCCATTATTCCAATAGGATTCCTCGCAAGAAAAGGGAAAAGTTGACAGCTATGCGTAATAATTGAAGCTCAGCTGCAATGTATGCCCTAGATGTGGAAAGTGCCATCAAGCTCAGGAAGACACCAGCATAGTGAATGAGCAGCGTCAAATATACCAGAGGGCATTCCCCCATAAAAATGGAAGCCTTGACAAAATGAGAAGAAAAAGGAAAGCAAGGAGAAGAAAAAGGAGAAGAAAAAGGAAAATGAGAAGAAAAAGGAACGCAAGAAGAAATGCTATCAAACGAAAAATGGGAAAGAAGGAAAAAATGGAAAGAAGAGATTTGGCAGAACAAGGAAATTTGGTAGAACAAATTGATATAATACATAGAATTAGTAACTATGACTGATAAACTAAGGAATAAGGATGAGTTAAAGGTCAGTATAGTTAAAGCTATGGTTTTCCCAGTAGTGATGTATGGAAGTGAGAGCTGGATCATAAAGAAGGCTGATCGCCGAAGAATTGATGCTTTTGAATTATGGTGCTGGAGGAGACCCTTGAGAGTCCCATGGACTGCAAGAAGATCAAACGCATCCATTCTTAAGGAAATCAGCCCAGGGTGCTCACTGGAAGGACAGATCGTGAAGCTGAGGCTCCAGTACTTTGGCCACCCCATGAGAAGAGAAGACTCCCTGGAAAAGACCCTGATGTTGGGAAAGATGGAGGGCACAAGGAGAAGGGGACGACAGAGCTTCCTTATTTGCGTGGTTATTTCCCCATGTACAGAAGACAAGCTTGTTAAGATTGACACTATTCACTCCTCTCTAGTCTACTAGGATCATATTACTATCTCAAATATAGCTGCTGTACAACCCCTCACATTCTCAATACTATTTACAATTATTTAGCTGAAGCCGCAATAGGATTCTTTGGAGTTTTTAATTATCTTACTGCTCTGGAGGGAAATGGACTACCTGAAACAGGCTAGTACAAATTTGGGTTTTTTAAAAAAGCAAACAAACCCGGTGGAGTTGAGTCTTCCTGTTTACTCACATATGAGAATTGGATAAGAGGACAAAGCACTAGCTAAAATACGAGTTTTAAAAAGCTTCTGCACATGATCTGATTTGCTGTAATGGTTCTCAATAAGCAGTGTCAGCACAACTAGAATGCAGCTATTTCTTATGATATTTCCCTCTCTGCTTTCAAGTCAGTTTCATGGTATCTTCAAATACAGACTAACAGCTGAGCCTGAGAACGCTGCAATGGAAACTCGAATACCTTCAAACAGCTGTAATGTGGAATGGGCCCTGGTCATTTCCTTTTCTGGCATGGCTTTGAAAGACATGCACCAGATATTTTACTTGCTGGTCTTGATGTTTATAATCTTTTTTTATGTCAGTGCTGTATAACACTTGAGCACTTAACGCTTCGAAGTCTGGAAATTTCTAATAAAGAGTGTTACTGAAGTATATCCCATGCACCGCCAATTAAATATATAACTCTGTCTAGAGTTAATAACAGATTATTAATAAACATTTCAGCAATAAAAATTCAAGCCTCTTTCTCCAGTCCAGATTTTGAATTGGTATATTGGAAACCATCTCTGTTCAGTGGAATTTGAAATATACCCACAGCTCTCTCTATTTGCAGGTTAGTACCCCATTTTTAATATATCTTAATGCTTCAATAGTAACATTTAAAATATACAATCTTTGTATAGGATTTCTCTCATCCCCCCTCAACGCAGCAGAGTTCCCTTTTTCTACTGCTGTTCCCCACAGAAACACCGGAAGAGACAAACATTTCTTTGTGGCTCCAAATACTCTCCTGATCAAGATCCTTCAGGTCCCTTTTTGGAGCATCTTGCCAGAAAAGAAGTCACTCAGAAGGATATACAAGACGCAGACCAACTCACTCCCAAACCCAATTTTCTTTTCCAATTGACACTCAATATTCTTAGTGGCTACTGGATGCAAGAGAGCACGCTCATTTCTCATGGGGCAGTGAGGAATTCTGTGTATTTCTGGAAACCTTGAAATTCTCCCACATGAAGACAGCAATCCTTCATATATTTTCCTGGAGTCAATGAGACTCATGTTAAATTACATGCATGTACTGTCATGCATGGGTGCCTCCTGTCACCCAATGTAGCAAATCTCATTATTCCACAGTACCTTCAGATGCACACATCTCACAATTCCTATACAGTGGACCCTCCGGATACAAACTTCATTTGTTTCGGGGGTCCTTAAGTACCCCGAAATGTCCACAACGTGAGGTGCCGCTTCTGCGCACGGCATGATAGAGTGCTTCTGTGCATGCAGTGAAACCCGGAAGTATACACTTCCAGGTTTGCCGTGTTCACAACCCGAAAGTTACATTACCCGAGGGTCCACTGTATAGAACTAAGCAAAGCGTGAAGCAAGAAGAAGGGCCACACTTAAAGAACACGCTAAGCTGCCTTTCCTTAGCCTCTTTTCCCTTCTTTTCTTCACATGTACTAAAGATACATTTTGGCAACTTGCAAGTTACAAGGGATTCCAGCTGCCATTAAAAAAGAAGAAGCAAGTTTATGTATTTTGCTTTGGCAGAGCTCAGGCTTTCAAAATTGTATTTCGTGGCCCCTTCCCTTCTGCTCACTCGCACTACAAGTCTGGTGGGAAGCAGGTTGTGTTTTATCTGTTTTATATTGTATAGAGATCTTAGGATTTATCCAGGTGCTTGTGAAATAAAATTATTATTAGTCAGTCATGAGAAACTCATTATCTGTGTATCAAATACTGGTTGAACACTATTCCACCATTTTCAGAGGAAATAAACAGCTTTACTTAAATATCATGGGAAGGGAACCAAAATTTGAGGGCTGTTTCTCTTTCTACACTACATTCTACACTGCATGTCTCCCTTACCGCAGGAATTCCCCCACCAGAGAAGTGTCCTGATAAACAGGTAGGGAAGCCAAAGCAGGAATTAGTTTCTTGATGCTGGCGTCAGTATAGAAAACCCTCACTTATATGCCCAACTTCCTCATTACAGATACATACAAGTATGAATGGACCTGTGTACAAAAGATAAATGCAAAAGTCATTGTTGCACTGCTTAGTCTCAGGTTAAAGTAGGAATAGTAGTAAGACTTTCAAACAAATAAAAGTATTTCCCTCCCCCAATAAACGTTTCAAGACTGGAACAGAAATTTAGTAGCCTCCGTTTTAGAATAGCTTAGCAGTTGGTGTACAAAATCCATTTTGCACAGCCCAAGTTTACCTTAACTGAATGACAGGAGGCCAAGAAGAAAAGACAACAGCCGATAATTCGGCGGATGCTGCCTTTCCATTCAAAGCATTGCTCAATTGCAAGCATTGCAAGGACTGACCTGAAGGGCCCTGCCCTGCTTCTCTCCACCTGGCTTGGGGAGGGGCCTGACAGGCTCCATAAAGAACTGCTGCTGCTGCTGCTGCTGCTGAGCAGAGAGGGCTCTGTTTCCTTTTTTTAAAATTGCTTTTTTAAAATCTATGTCATTTTATATTGTGATTGATATTAATGCTGTATTCTTAGTTTTAGATTTTATGATTTATGTGGAAATTGTTTTCTATTTGGTTGTGTACTTTTGGTTGTGTTTTATTTACTGCTTGTGACTTCTGTTATGTTGGTAATTATGTAAATCTTGTCATGTTGTAAGCCGCCTAGAGCATTTGTTTAACTATGGAAAGGCGGCATACAAATAAAATGATGATGGTAATGAATGCAGACATAATGCTGCCACTCTTTTAAATATGGTTAAAAGATTGGAAGAGGATTGCACACTTCCACCTCTTATGCTTATTACATGTAGATATAAATTCTGTGTGATGGTGTTAACCATTGTATAAGCATTACATCTGCACCAACCCCTGGAGGATCAACTTCAAGTGTTAAGCTCTGTTTGAAAGCTGACTGATCAGCATCTGTACAGACGTAATGCTGCACCGTAGCTAATGCTGACAAAACAAAGGAGAGCTGAATTTACATGGAAGAGAGTAGGAAGCTTGCAAGGCTACAGCCCAAGGGTGGACAATGTGATGCAAACTACACTTGCCATCATTCCTGACCACAGGTCAGAAAATGCACACATGCATTTTAGCAGTTTCTTGGTTCTCACTTATTATGCTACTTTTGTTCTCTGCTGAAATAGTAGCACCCATATGTAATATAACTATCAATCAAATGAGGCTGTGAAAGAAATACAAGTGCCAGCGTTTAGACTCAGACTTCCCTCACTCTCCCCATGCAACTCAATCTGCCATATCACCAGCAGCTCCGCCTGCATATGTTGAGGTATCAATTCTCTTCCCAAGACACTATCAAATTAAATCCATAAAAAGACAGGCTTTTAATATGAGAACAGAGTTGTTGTCCTACTGAAGTAATATCAAGCTATCGCTAGGGATCAAATGATACATCTAGGAAAGTGAATGAGCTCATAGGAGGCAATCTGAAAATGCAAGAAAGGTCAGGGAGTGTTTCATTAGTTAATTCAGGGGGGAAAAGAATGCTCATTTTCCTAATCTTAAGCATGAATTAAAATACTCTCTTCCTTTAGTCTACTTCCCACCTGGCACTTTTGAAACAGAGGAAGCTTTGCAGAGCAGTTTGTGATATTGCAAGAGATTTCTGCGCAGAGTCAGAAATCCCACTGGGCATGCCTAAAGTTCATCTCTGGAACTTGGCCAAAACTGCACTGCTGAACCTCAGTAATTCTGACTTATGATCTCCAAGGCATCCTAAACACTTTCAGGACTTAAGTGCAAAGACATTTATTTCTCAATCTAATATGAGCGGGGAGCAAATCTCTTTGCAAGGAGGAAGAGTTATTATTTTTTTTGCATCTGGAGTCTCCCTGAATCCACTACCCAACTGAAAGTAGTGGGGGAAGAAATGAATACTGGGCTCAGGAAAATCTGAGACAAAGATAAACCCAGTAACTGTACAAAGCCATTTCACCCGAGGAGAAAAGCACATCCATGAGCTCAAGACTCCCTATTGGGTTAAGAATAGAAGGACTTTCCAGGATCTCCTAGATGCAGGATGCTTTGAGGGTGGCTAGTAAGAAATTCAATTTAGACACGATTCAGCATTGAAATATTTCCACCAAGGCAGGGAGAGGCTTCACATGAGCCTGTGATAGTCTTCTCTTTTTCTTTATCCAATACAGGGAAGAATGGGGATGTGCTGGGTAGTTCTTCCCCGCCTGCAACAGGGAGCCTGTTGTGTTTGTGGATGCTGCCTGTAGAATTTAGAATCTGCACATTTAGAGTTCTAAATTGTACAGGATGCTTTAACAGATACAGCAAGTCTCCTACTGCAGTTGGGTATGGAGATGAGACAGAGGGGGAGAACCCGTGAGTAGAGATTTACTGTGTATTATTCCAGGTCCAAATTATTATATATTTCATGCTCGTAACGTGAGTGGTATTTTACAAAAACACAAGAGGATAGGTCTTTCAATCTAAAATTTGACGTAGGAGACAAAGGAAGGGAAATGGATGCAGGGGAAAACAGAAGAAAAATATTTACTATTTCAATTACATAGTATTAATGACACTAGGGGATGGGGACTAGGGGGTGAAGGCTTCACACAGCAGGTGGGTTGTGAGCTGGTATCTGAAGGAAGTAAGAGAAGGGGGCATTAACGTTTAACTGATTCTGGGAGGCAGTTCTAATCGTAAGGGACAAAAGGTGGAGTCATCTGAGAGAGCAGAAGACTAAAGTCCTTATGTCTCAATGCTGGAAAAAACCCAGATCTGTTGCAGACCACAGCCATCATTCTCAGCCAGCTGATGTGCTGCTTTCTGATTGCTTTGTTAGGAGATTCACTCCAGCTTGCATCTTGGCAATGTATAGCAATCAAATATCTGCACCTTTGGAAATCAGTTGCAGGTGCTGATATGCCAAATACATTAAAACTGCCCATCTAGTAAGTTATTTAAGCAGCTCAGCCCCAAAAGAATTCCTTTCTAAGGCATCAAAATCTTTACCATATTCACCAAAGCGAAGGGACTCCCACTGCTGCCATTCAACAATGCTGTTTACTGCCCGCACACCAGCGTAAATTAGCAGCATTCCCAAGGTGGCATCCAGCAGAAAGTTGATAAGGTACCTAAAGGGATAAGAAAAATACACAAAAGAAATAGGACAGATCTGAGACCTATGCAGCTGCCATAATCAAAATTCCAATCCATATGACTCTCAGCCATCACCACCACCTAGATCTTTGCCTTTCACAGCGCTGTCACCTATTCAAGATGCCTAGCAACTTAATCACACAGTAATTTTAAGATATGCTACTCTTCATTCTTCATTTTTAGTGGTCAGGTAGCAAGCTTAGGTATGCAGGGGCACACTCAAGGGCTAGTGCAGTACAGTGGTTACCATGTTGGACTAGGACCAGGGCAATCCAGATTCAAATCCCTGCTTATATCTAGGCATGCTAGATATACTTGGTCCAGTCACTCATTTTGAGCTTCAGTCTTCCTCATAGAGCAATTGCTAAGATAAAAATCTATGTGCATGTAGATGCTCAAATGCAAAAGCGCAAGCAAAAAGTCAATAGAAGTTCTGTTTGAAGTGGATTTTTTTTAATAAAAAAACACACACTACATGAATACATTACTGTGGAATGAGAGGCTAGATGGAATAAGACATTTGGATTGATCAACCTGGATGCATAAATTTGAGCTATTATTATACTAGAGCCCACCAGAGGTCACTATTGTCCTGGAAAACAATCAAGCTGTGACTGATTATCTCTATTTCCCAGCTTTTCTGACAGAATTGCTCCATCTGGAGGAATATTAGCGTTTCAGAGTTAGGGTTTATCATTTGAAGGGACTTGTACATTGCAGGAAAGAAGTAGCTTGATGCTGTTCTGCACTACAAGGATGTTTATGAAGCATCTGACTTGCTGGCCCGACCAAGCAGGATCCTACTTCATTGATTTCTAACTTAGTTTGTGCGGCAGGAATCTAAATTTAAACTTTGTTGGACCAATATTTCTAAACCTTGTTGGCTATTATTCTAAAACAGCACGCAGGATGGTTCTATAAAGCATTGTGCGCATGCGCGCGCGCGCGCACACACACACACACACACACACACACACACACACACTACTTACAGTGAACAAGGGTCCTCTTCAGTAAGGTCTGATAAATACACATTGGCAAAGTGGATGAACAACATCCCTATGGCTTGTTTGGAGGTATCCAAAAACCTACAGGAAGTTTAAAAAGTGGTCATCACATGAAACACAGACCATACAGATCTCCTCATCTAAAACTGCAAGTTCTTAGAAAGATACCAAGGGTGCAGAAGCAGTTTTGAACTTTTTATCCTGGAGACGAGAGACCCATTTCAGCCCAAATAATGCATTTCTTCATGGGGAACCTTCCAGGGGGCGGCATGCTAATAAGGTGGGGTAGTGGCAAAAGTGAAGACTGGCAGGTTTGAGAACTATGTCCCAGCAACACAAAAAGTCACAGGTTTCTCTAGAAATTCCCCCGCCCTTCCATCCTCCATCAAAGTGAAAGTTACATATTCCAACAGGGGAAGGCTCTGGAGAGTATAGAGCAGAGCCAGTGAGGGCTGGAAAGAGTCCCGGGGGGCTGCATTTTGCCTCAACCATGAGAAGCCCCATCACTTTTTTAATTTCCTGCATGCCTGGCAAAGTCCAGTCTCAAATTCACAAGTATAACTTGACTGGGTGAGAGGGAATGAAGTGCAAGTGCTCTTCATTCATAAGGGTCATTAGCAGGCAAGTTTCATTTTTTATTAGACATTCCAATATATTCCTCTGTTTTCTAGACCCGTGTGTCAAACTTAAATAAGCTGGAGAGCGAAATTTCCTATCTAACAGATGCCCAGGTTCACTCAAAATTATGGAGCTGATGGGCTTAGCCAGCCCCAATTTGCCTCCTTTCCATGTCTTGTTTTCTCCAAACCCCTCATGAGCACCACCACTGCCTCAGCTGCCAGCTCTGCTCTTCTCTGCCAGTAAGCCTCATTCCCATACACTGCACCTTTCCCTCCATTCCTGCCAGCTGAACTCCCCTTGTCACTTAAGTCTCTGCAGGCCAGCACCCATCCCATACCTCTCTGGATTGGCTACCGATACTGGATAACTGTTCTCTGCACTTCTGTTTCCACACACCTTGACCCCTGCACTGGTAGTTTATGTGGCTAATTTACTTGACGGTAAATCGAACCTCTCTAAGTGATTTGCAAAAATGAAAAAAATTGAAAAACTGTCAATAAAGGGTCAAGTTTAAAACACATTATTTAAGACAAATAAAAATATAATTAAAATCAACTGTAAGCTAAAAACAGATCAAAACACCTGCCAACTCTTGCCTGCCTGGGTAGGACGGCCCAAGCAAAAATGTTTCTAGCAGGCACTGAAAAGTGTACACGGAGCAATCTGATGTCAATAGGCAGCCAGTTCCTAATCTGGGAGAGACAGGAAGAAACAACCAATGCTAAATAAATCCTGCTAAGGGCACTGACTTTCAAACTCAGAAGATTTGTCTGCAGTATGAGAAAGATGTCACGGGCAATTAAAATTGATGGGAGTATGCAGAAATGGTGGAATTTACTGGAAGAATAAGAAACCAAGAAGAGAGACTTTTTAAAAACAGATTGGGGAAAATTTATTGACTATCTGAAGATGTAAACAACTTAAAACATTAGCAGAATAAATACGTGCACTAAGAAATAAGGGAAAGGGAATACAAAGGGGAAATCAGTGAATAGGCTTGAGCTGGATATACAGTAACAAAAAGATATACACTAAGGAACCACAGAAAGGAGGGGAGGGGAAGTCGAGGGAAATGCAGATTGATTATGTACTTTGCTCTAGCGAACAGGTTTTAAATTTAAATTGATTTAAATTTCAAAATGACCTGCTGCTCCTGCAGTTTGATATTATTTGCCCCAGGTTTGCCTGGCACAGGAAGACCCTGTAACGCAACTACAATCTTCTTTAAAAAGGACACAGAATCGTAATCTGATGCACAGTAGTCAGGTTGCAACTGCCCGTCCTTTGTAATGTATCGCCCAAGGTCCATGAGCTGAACATCTAGGAAAGGTAAGGCACTCTAGGAACAATACAAAGCACTTACCAAATTCTCCAAGGACGCCTTTCATGCTTTGGTTCTCTGAAGCGTTTCACTGAAAAGAGAATTGAAGATAATCAGTGGACTGGCAAAGCTGTACCAACTAAAGTCCTCCACCCCGTTCAGCTGAATCTGCATGCAAAGTTGCTCATGAATAGTAGGGTAGATTTCATACTCACATCTTATTAAATCTAGACCACTATATTCAAGAGCAAACTGCAATCGACCTCTTTGAACACTCTTCATAGATTGGCATCTACGTTCAGTTCCAAGGTTTCGTTGGTACTTCTCCACTATATATTTTACCGTCTGGTAACATGCACCCCTTTCTTCTGCCCTCCCCTTTACATTAAAGACTTGACTCAAGCAACCCAGTAAATATGATAGCCTTCAAATCCAGAGTTGCACAGCTCATTTAGGGCAGTGCAAAATTGCTGAACTAAGTCATTCTTGTTAAAAAAACAAACAAGGAAATACTTAGGTAATTTAAAACGACTGAACAATTTAAGGCCATTTGCCAAGAGAGAAATGGAAAGGTCACAATAAAAGCTAAAACAAAGGCAGTGTACTTATTGCTTGAAGTGGTTTGTTCGTTTTATTGGGGACATGCGACCATTATGGTTATAGCTTGAAATAGTAGCATGAAAATGAGAGCAGTGAACTCAACTTGCTTTGCAAGTGAAAGCCTAGGGAGAAGGAAGATTTGCCTTAATGCTATTTTCCACCAGCTTAGAAATACTGTCAGTTTACGTTAGCTTACCAAAATACAAGCTACAATTAGGCAACTATAACTCATGCTACAGTATTAACTTTTACAGTTAAAAAAGGTAATCTAGGTAATTCAGAGTCCTCATGCTCCTTACAACAGAAGGGAATTAAGGAAAGGATGAGGAATTTGTGCAGCCACCTCTTTAAAACAAAAAAAGAGAGAATTGCAGGGGTGAATGGTTTCCTTGAGCTATATATGGAGATAAATACTGCAATTAAGAGCGGAAAGCGCCAGTAAACAATGATGAAAAGCCAACATGCAAGGAATTGCACAACAGCTTGACAGAATGCAAGGTTACACAGAAACAAAGGCAACACATCCCACTGCATAATTATACTTTGCCTCTTGTAACAGGCCAAAGGTGGGTATGGAAGCTGTATACCAGGGGCAACCAAAGTGGTGACTTCCAGAAGTTGTTTCAACTACAACTCCTAGCATCCTTGATTATTGGCTAGCTTGCCTGGAGCTGATGGGAATTAGGGTCCATCATCACATGGAGGGTAGCAGGCCATAAAGGAAAACAACAAGTTGCACGCCCTTATGAAACAACCATTTTTGTGGCAGCATTTATTAAGATGCCATAATAAAATATGGGTCAAATTTCTATGGTGGAAGAACCAGCATGAACATGTTATTAAGCAGACATTCTGCAATGAGGATAGAGGAAAAGCGGGTGGTAGAATATTAACTGAGGTGCTGAAGTCATAGCTGTAATGTTTTATCTGGTTCGTTGGCTTTATATGACTGTTTTAGAGACAATTTAAGGTAGTGCTACCTTTCAGAGCTCTCGGGGGTTCAATTATTGAAAAAAGAAAACATAAGGAACTTCATGATCTGATGAAGTTGGATCTAAGGTTCAAGAAGTCTGTGCCACAACAAATCTGGTAGCCTTTAAGGTGGCATGGGACTTCCTTTTCTTGCCTCCCTCTGAAGCCCATCCCATCACTTGTCCCAAGCATCTGTTCTGGATGGTTGGAGGACCCTCCAGAGCAGCTCTGGGCAGCGGCGGGGGGGGGGGGGGAGCATGAAGGCCTCATGAGGAGAAGAGGAAGGGGAAGCCCTGCTGGATGAATGCAGATCTGCTACCAGCAGCTGCTTACATCTTACAGAAGGATCTGGAAGGTCTTCTGACTTTGGGGACATGTTGCCAAAGGATGCACTGGAAGGGGGTGGGGCTGAAAAAAAGACACACAGAGGCAGTGCAAACGGCCTTTTGGATTCTGACTGTGATATATCACTGCCTAGGAAGTGATTAAATTTAAAATGCTACATCATGTGTAACACTTAGGCCCCCTGTTTATTGATTATTCATCCTGATTTGTTTGCACACAACTTGCACAGAGAGGTTATGTGAGCCCAGACTTTATTGAGAGTATATTCAGATTTGTCTGCAGGAAGGTTACACGACAATGAGGATTCTTTCAGGTTTGTTAGCAGGGAGGGCATATGATTGTTATCCAACTCTTTTCAGTGTTAGGATATTTCCGTTTCACCTTAAAAGGGAGCAGGCTTTGTGAGTCACAGAGTCTGCGTATTTCCTGTTCACAGGAAGTTTATGTTTTGTCTATTGCTTTCGTTTCTCTCTCTGTGCCTGAGACATCAACGCAGGCAGTCATGTTTTCTTTGTTCTGACCAACGCTGAATAAAGTTGTAAATAATGCTCTCCTGCGTGCATCTTTCACTGTGTGAATTCTGCTGATAGAGCGTGCACCAGCTCTGGAATGTGGCAAGCTATTTCTGGAGCTCGTGTCGCTAATTGAACGATACTGCGTGTCTACGGGAGATCGATGGATCGCAACGGAGACGGCTTGGGGGCATGATGGCCTTTGTCTCCCTGGCAGTATCCCAACAACAGGTTATGGGCCCAGATTCACGGCACTTATAGGAGAGTAAGACTGCAAAAGACTGCGTTGAGGTATGTGGAAAAGTCAAGGCTTTTCTGATGCCGCGGCAGAGTGTCTTTGATGTCCGGCTGGCTTAATTGGCCTGGGAGCCGCGCCAGAGGCTTCATGATTTATGAGCTGCCGAGATAAGAAGTTTTTGAAGGCATAAAGGCTCACGGCGCAAGTAAAAGCCTGGAATGGAGTTTTTCCAAGCCTCTGAAGGCACTGAGTGCCCAAAGTTTAATCGGCACAATTATGAGACTTGGGCAAGTTGCTGTGAGAGCTTGCTACGACAGTTTGTAGTGTGGAATACTGTGTGTGAAGCCCCTCCAGTTCCTCTGACAGATAGATGGAGGGCCCAAGATTCACGGGCCATAGACGTAATTGTCTTGTCCGTCTCTCTGGAGGAAATTGCTACGCTAGCTGGCAAGACGACTGCACGTCAGATGTGGAATGCTTTGAAGGTAGCCCATCTGCCGGTCATCCCAGCCCAGAGTTTGACTGCATCGGAGGTCCTGGCTGTTTCCCAGAATGAAAATGTTTGCAGGGATGCCGAGGGCACCGGCTGCAAGCTGCAGGGGGAGCTGACTGTGATGTCATCCCAGGCAGCATTCCAGCCTCCAGGGGGAGCCAAGGAGTTGGCAGCTGAGATCTCTGATTCCCATGAGAGCCAAGGTCATCGTCTTTGCAGAGGCCGGAAGGCCAGAAGTAAACAGAGACAGAAGCCAGCAGATGGCCCGAAGCAGAAGGGGGGTGAAGAGCCCACGCCAGTGGAAAACAAGGTTTCGTTTGCTGGCAATGCTTCACCAAAGGCCAAAGGCAAGTTTGATGGCCAGGAGCAGGGGGGCAAGCAGCAGAAGCCCAAGCCTGTGGAAAACAAGGTTTTGCTTGCTGTAAAAGCTGCTCCAAAGGCCAAAGCCAGATTTATTGTTGATTCGGGATGCACCCGCCATCTGGCAAAAGATAAGCATCTGTTTATCTCCTTCACACCTCAAGACGGAGAGATCCACCAGGCTGATGGAAAGACGTTGCGAATCGCAGAAGGGACTGTAAAACTGGCAAGTCTGCACACAACCATCAAAGATGTACTTTATGTTCCAGGTGCTGCAGACAATTTGCTCAGTGTCCCACAGCTGACTGGGCGTGGCTTTGAGATTTCCTTCAAGAGGAGCGTCTGTGTCATCAGGAAAGGCAAAGAGGACATTTTGCATGCAAAGTTTGTAGATGGTTTGTTCTGTATAATTTATGATGACAATGGTGCTGCTGTGTCAAATGTTGATTCTTGTTGTGTTGCACAAACTAACAAAGTTCTTCATGCAGGATGCATTCACGAGGCACACAGAAGGTTTGCTCACATGTCTTGGCAGGCACTGGCCAAGATGCCTGAGTTGGTTCAGGGTTTGAATATCAAGCCCTGTAAGTATCACATGAAATGTGTATCTTGTGCAGAAAACAAGGTGAAGGTTGCTCTAAAAGGCAAGGAGTCTAGCAGGCAGGCTTCCAAACCCTACCAGCTAGTCCACGCAGACCTGGTTGGTCCACTTGCGCCCTCTTTGGGTGAAGCAAGGTACTTCATGGTTCTAATTGATTCTTTTTCCAGGTACATTCATGTGTTTATGCTCGAGCACAAATCGCAAGTGTTTCCTAGGTTCAAGGCATTCTGTGCTTGGTTGGAGAATGTTCACAGTAAATGTATCGGCTGTCTCTTTACTGATCGGGGCGGGGAATTCACTTCTCAGCAGTTTGAAGATTTCCTGAATGAGAAGGGAATCCAGCATGACTTGTCAACGCCTAGATCGCCATGGATGAATGGACTTGCGGAGCGAGCAAATCAGACTTTGCTTCAAGGCCTAAAAACCTTGTTGCATGATGCCAAACTCCCTGAGAAGTATTGGGGGGAGGCTTTGTCAACGTTTGTTTATTCCTATAACACGAGACTGTCATCACCTATTGGTTGTACTCCCTATGAGAAGATGTTTGGTAAGAAACCTTACGTCAAGCACATGAGAATCTTTGGTTCTGACGTGGGTACACACCCCACAGAGCAACAAGCTTGGGAAGCGTGGGGCACATGGTTTGTTCATGGGGTACGAAAAAGGTTCATACAGGGTATGGATGACTGACTCTAAGTCCATTAAGTTCACAAAGAGTGTTGAGTACAATCCTAAGTGGGGGGGAAATGTGGGAATTTTCCAGAGTTACCCAGAGGAAGATGAAGGTGATGTGAAAAAAGCAGATGATGTTGAGGTAGAAGAGGAAGCTGAGGATGAGGATGATGATCAGAGTTCGGATTCCAGCTCAGTGGGCGGCGCTGCTGCTGGTGTCAGCGACAGTGATGACACAGCAGACTACAAGAGCGCAAAGGCCTCAGTCAGACCATCTGATGCGTCTGACAATGAACTGGAAGAACCACTGTTCACCATTGGTCACTTTTCTCCTAAGAAGGAGGAGATGAGTCTAGAAGACTTGCGTCTAGTACGCAGGTCTGAAAGGGCCACCAAAGGCAGATCTCCAAAGAGATTTGCTGATGAGTTTGCTAAGACAGCAACTGCTGTTCTTAGTAGCTCAGAGAAGGTGCTGAGCCTTGGCTAAATGCCATGAAGGCTGAAGTTGATTCCTTGAATAGGAACCAAACTTGGGAACTGGTACCGGTAGTCCCAGGAATGAGACTGGTTGGCAGCAAATGGGTCTTCAAGGCCAAGACAGACCAGAATGGCAAGGTTGTCAGACACAAAGCCAGATTGGTTGCCAGAGGTTTTTCACAGGTACCAGGACAGGATTACCACGAGACCTACTCACCCACCGTCAAGTATGAGAGCATTCGGCTGATGCTCAAGATTGCTGCAGAGGAGAAACTGCATGTTTCCCATCATGACATTAATACAGCTTTTTTGTACGGGGTTTTGGGGGAGGAGCTGTTTATGCTTCCACCTGATGGAATGCAAATACAGAAGGGAATGGTCTGCAAACTTCGGAAATCCTTATATGGTCTCAAGCAGAGTGCCAGGTGTTGGAACACAAAACTCACTGAGACATTGCTTTCTCTAGGTTTTCACCAGGGCAAAGCTGATCCGTGTGTGCTTGTCAAGGAGGAGGGGCAAAACAAACTGCTGATCTGTTCTCTAAGGTTGTTAACAGAGAACAACTTAAGGTTTATGTACAAAGGTTGCAATTGGGTTGAACCACAGGTACTACAGGTTACACGGAAAGGGGGAGGATGTTAGGATATTTCCGTTCCACTTTAAAAGCAGGCTTTGTGAGTCACAGAGTCTGCGTATTTCCTGTTCATAGGAAGTTTATGTTTTGTCTATTGCTTTCATTTCTCTCTCTGTGCCTGAGACATCAACGCAGGCAGTCATGTTTTCTTTGTTCTGACCAACGCTGAATAAAGTTGTAAATAATGCTCTCCTGCGTGCATCTTTCGCTGTGCGAATTCTGCTGATAGAGCGTGCACCAGCTCTGGAATGTGGCAAGCTATTTCTGGAGCTCATGTCGCTAATTGAATGATACTGCGTGTCTACGGGAGATCGATGGATCGCAACGGAGACGGCTTGGGGGCATGATGGCCTTTGTCTCCCTGGCAGTATCCCAACATTCAGCACATGTCCTTGTTACTTTCCTAACTGCAAAAGTCTCTATTTTAGACAAACAACAACAACAACAACAACAACGTGGATTTGTTGTGCCAGAGCGCTTTAATCCACTTTAACTGCGCAAACCGAAACCTACAGTATGCAGTTGGATTCTTCCTGCAAAATCCTGGTAGTGACCAGAAAGTATTTTCACAATGGATTTTTAAAATGGCTAATTTTGAAGCACGGTATCAATTCACTGGCAGACACTAAAAAATGTTGTTTGCATACAGAGCACCAGAATTCTTCAAAGTAGTAAGAGGAAATTGAAGTTGAGATTTGCCAACTGGCAAACTGTAGGCTGTCAACTGAAAAGGAATTAGAAAATATAATCTGCAAGTTGGAAAAGATTCTCTTTTTCCCCCCTGGAGAGAACAAACATTGAGTCTATTCCAGCTCTCTAATGCTGCTTCATTTGGAGAAAAGAATCCAAGAAAATTGCAGAAAGCTGTTTAAAGAGACTTCAGCTTGCAATACATCTAGCAGGAAACTGATAGCATAAAGTCCTGGAAATGCGGGGGGTGGGGGAGTCTCCAGAACAGTAACAAGGATCAGCCAGGAGATTACACTTTTCACTATCATGCACTTAAGCCATTTCTTTAATTGGCATATGTTTTCTATAATTTGAACAAGGCAAAGCTTTTTATTACTCATTAAGCCCTAAATGGCTTGGGAGCAGATGATCTAAATGACCGCCCTCCCTCCTTGCACCAACCTGCTCATGCTCCACTGTCAACATCTAAGGTCTTGCTCTGTGTTTCACCACCTTGGGAGGTGTGCTTGGCAGGGACAAGAGAGCAAGACTTCTCAGCAGAGCAGCCAGATTGTTAGAAACACCTTCCCAAACGAGGTTGCCCCCCCCTTGAAATTTAGGAAGGCAGCAAAAACATATCCCACTGTGCCTTTGATACATTTTTAAATATCACTGTTGTTTTATGGTCCTCTTATGCTGCATTTTATTTCTTAAACTGATATGATTTATTTAACCACACTCCTCTGGCACACCCTAAGTACTGAGTCTTTAAAAAACGAAGCACAATTGAAAGCGGAGACAAGAGATGTGCTGCTCCTTGTTTATCTATTTGCTATGTAACACAAAAAACCTTAATAAAACTTGTTTTTTAAAAAATGAGGCACAAATGGGTTGCAGCTTCCTAAAATGGGTACACCATCACCTTTTTAGTTTAGAAAAATTACTTCAGAGTGAAGGGAGACAGGTCTTATAATATAAAGAAGGGTATGCAGAAGGATTTTTCTCTTTCTTTTAGAACCCTGGTCCCCCAATGAAGTGACTGGCGCCTAAATTCAGAAAAAAAAACCCTAAGGGAATTATTCCTCACAACACATAGTCAACTTATGAAAAATGATTGTCATAGGCTACAGTGATGGCAAATGGTTTTATGGTAATCAGATCCCCCCATACACATTTGACCATCAATGCTATTAAACAGTGATAGCTACAACACAGTTCCGTGCCAAAAGGGAGTAAGCCTCTGAACAATAGAAGCTGATGGACAAGAAATGGAGGAAATTTTTTGCCTTGAAATTCTGCTTATAAGCAGAAAATTAGCTTATAAGCAGAATAAGCTTACCACTGTGAAAAACATGATGCAGGATCTCTTGGACTGATCTAGCATAGCTCTTACAGTCAGCCCTAAATATAAATATAAAACATGTGAATCAACTTTTACTGGTAATGTCAACGATGTAGATGTGTTTAAAGCAGCCTTCCTCTGGTGTTCTGTCCCCCCATGTTTGAACTACAATTCCCATCATTCTTGATCTTTGGCCATGTCGGCTAGAGCCAATAAGAGGTAGAGTCCAAAACTTCTCCAGATTGGGTACCAGACCGAGGAAGGACAATTCAAAGGTTTCCAGGATTTGCTATGGTTTTGAAACATCTAGAAGACAGTAGGAATGGTAAGGTCAACACAAGCAAAAAGCAACAAATTTGAGGCCATAAATACTAGTTACTGGATTCTATTTTGCCCACTTTGACATAATTACTATGAAGTGCTTTAAAACATTTCTAGCTTTAGGCACAGAACAGAGTCACCAGATCTAGGGTGATCTCGGTAACCAGGCAGATTTTTGTTCTCCTATCCCCTCCAGTGAGAGAGACAGTATCTCTTCCCAGCCCAGCTGTGTGGGATAAGCTCCTGTTTTGAGTTGAGGACACTCCACCCGCAAAGGAGTATAATATGACACAAAGACACAATATTTTAGGTTAATGGGCAAAATTAGGCCACAACTTTTGTTGGTTACAGCATGTGAGTAGTATTAGCTTAGGCATTGGATGAAACAGCAATACAAGACTCCACTCCGCACAGCCGGGAGTCATATCAGGGTTAACAACCAATGGGAGGAGCTTGTTGATGCAAATACAACTGGAAGCTCCCCCATGACGTCACCGGGGCTCATGCCATGGCCCTAGCCACCAGCAGGGCATCGGACAGGATCCACAACCGCCGGATTCCTTTAATGGAATACCCCAAAGAGGAGGGGTAGATGATGGCCCATACCCAATCCTCCAACACAGCACACATATTCCAATGCCTAACCGCCAATACCAGAAAGTTGTGACGAATTGCTACAAGGTAGGCGAAAAAACCAAGAGGCTGGTGCCAATTTGCCAAATGGATAAAAAAGTCCTACCAGGCCCCTTGGGCAACCAACCGAAGTCCATAGCAAGGTCAATATGCAAAAGAAGCTGACCTAAGAGGGAAGGAGGGCAGGAGATCCAAAGAAAGCAGGAACAGACTGGGAGCTGAGCGCTGCTGCGGTTTAAATGCGGCTAGCCCCGCCCACCAGCCGGCCCTATTGGTCGGCTGGAAGGCTTGGCCATGGCAGCAGAAGCAATCAGGAGCAGGGAGCCGAGTTTGCCTCCCTGCCCCAGCAGGAAGCTGCTCCCGCTCACAACCCCTCCCATCTGGGGAGAGGAGAGGCCTTCTCTTGCACAACCAAAAAGAGGGATGTGCAAGAAACCTCACTGCTTTCTAAGCATCTAGGTTCAGTGCAGAATCAGGAAGAGGCCTCTCCCATTCTCTTCTGTTTCTGAAATCAGTGTTGCATCAGGAATAATTCCCCTTTTCGCCCATCTCTCCAGGTAAGGAAGAATGGGGCCTCTCTAACTCTGAAATGAGTAATAATAAAAAAAGTACTCCACACTTTTAAAGATATGCACACAATGCGCTACAAAGAACATTTTAATCTGTTACAAGCAGCTGATTAAGAGTTCGAGTTCAATATTCTTAGATGATTTCTAAAAATCTGCTCATGATAGACTAAACAGCCCTTTAAGCATTAAGTTCAAAGCCTAAAGAGATTCTGTCTAATTTATGTAATTGTAGCAAGAAGCATCAACACTGCTGATCCCATTTCAGAAAAAGCTGAAAGGTATTTCCAGCAATCTGCTAGATTTGTTTCAGAATTTATCAGCAGCTACCTTGCAACTGAAAAGCACATAGAGGCAGAAATAAATTTCCCCCACTTCTATTATTGTATTTCCCCCCACTTTGCTATTTAAATACAATAGTATTTTGTAGTTGGGAGACAAAAGATAAATTTAATTCTTGCCCTTTCTACACCATAAAAGACTCCTGGAGATGCCTCTCCATCTAATAGGATCAAGCATGGTTCCACAGCAGGGGACTTCACAACTGTATTGTGCAGGTACTTTTAAGTGAGACTGTTAAATGATACTGTGATTAATTGGCTTTTGACACACTAAACCGTATTATCATATAGGGCCCCAAGAAAAACTTAAGAGTCTAGCAGTTACTCCAATAAGAAGTTTTTAGACTAGTGCTCCAAGTGATGAATCTGAGATTCAAAGACAAAACTAATTTCCTGTAAGTTTTTGCTAGGGACAAAAACAACCACGCTTACCTCAATCAAATTATCCAACTTGTTTCCTCATTTTGTCACTTTTCTCTTTGAAACTGAAAGAAGTCCCAAATTGTTGGTTGATGGGACCCATCCTAACAGTAAAACCAACTACTCAGGCTTTCCTAAGCAACAAAAAATAGCTTCAGAAATGATAAACAAGTACAGTGAGTATATTTCGTGGTCACTTCCATGTTGGGTGGACTACAATTGTTGGTCATATCCAAAGCTACCTCTGAGGTAAGATCACACTGCCTATAAAGGATGGAGATATTGGGGAAAGGGGACCACTTTGGAGGTGCAGTTTGGAGAATTTCACACGTAAATGACCTTTAAAACCTCCTATAATTATTAAGATCCTCCAGTATGAATAGTATTCTATCCTCCTTTGATTTCAGTGTTCTGCTGCTCCACAGGCATGGAAAAAGAAAAGGAATAAGCTTGAAAAATCCACAGCCCAATAGACTAAATACTGTATCTTATTTCCTAGCATATCAATCTGAATCTATAAAATTAATCAATATCCCTTATAAAAACTACTTGAAAAAAACACTATAGCATTTTTTTTATAAGATGGCAAAACTCCAACAAATTTTACCACATACCACACATTTAAGCATTAAATCTTTTCAAACCTGTCAGAGTTCTGGGGCCTGCTCCAAGCTTTGGGTAACAGAACTACGCACATGAACAAGGTTCCGCATCTACTCCACCTGTCACTCATTCTAAAATTAAAAATAATGGCAGTTACATACACCAGCCATTTTTATTGGCCCAATAAAAGAATATTTATCTTAACAGTAACTGTTTTCAGGCAACTACAGGTTTTTGAGAAAAAGTAGTGTCTTTCCGTGACATATCACTATAGTTTTTGTTTAAGGGGGTTGTTTCTTAGGGCAGACCCAGATCATTGAGCCTGAGCATCCACAGGCTATGACAATATTTTACTCTCTTGTTAATTACAGTATGTGGTTTTAAACTGTGTTTTGCATTTGACTTCCTTTTCTTTTGAAATGTTTCAGATAATTTTTTTGTTCACTTTGCTGCGTTAAGTGTGCATTATGTAGTTGGCCTCCTTTGTAATGTTTTATTTAGAAATTTTTGAGAACATTTTAGTTTCCTGTTAATTATGTTGCTATGAATGCAAACTTTTTATTTGACTTTCTTCAGTAACCTTTTATTCTCAATGGTTTTATTTGATGTTTTAATACAGGCTGTAAACCACAGTGAGATGTTTTTCTTAAAAAATAAAGTGGCATAGAAATGAATTAAATAAATAAATAAATAAACTTTCAAACTTTTGCAGTTTGTCTCAGTACCTGGCTCCCGCTTTGGCATGGAATGTGGGAGGCACTGAATGTAAAAGTGCTTTGCCTGGCAAACCCCCCCCTACACTGCCATTAATTGGATCTTTAATTGGCTTTAAAGTACCGGTGTGTGATGGGAAAGGGTTGCAACAACATACTGCGGAATATACTAGCTACATGGATCAAAGGTTTGAATTGAGATAAGATTTTCTTCGGCGTGAGAGTTGGTTGGGGAGAGAAGCCCATGGTTTGTTTATTCTAAGCTTCTTTTATATATTTATGATTCGGCAACCCTGTCCGGAATATAAGATAAAAAGATATTTACAAGTGAGGAAGAGATGTTAACAAGCAAAAATGAAAACTGTGTATGATCTGAAATGAAGAAAGGAGGGGGAGGGGAAGCTCAAGTATCACTATGTCGGAAAGACAGAGTACAGTGGTACCTTGGTTCTCGAACTTAATCCGTTCTGGGAGTCTGTTCAACAACCAAGGTGCAGCTTCCAATTGGCTGCAGGAGCTTCCTGCACTCAATCAGAAGCCGCGGAAGATATTTGGCTTCCGAAAAATGTTCGCAAACCAGATCACTTACTTCCGGGTTTATGGAGTTCGGAAGCCGATTTGTTCGACAACTAAGCCGTTCGGGAACCAAGGTACCACTGTAATTCCCCTCACCTCCATTTAAAAACAATAGGCAAGGATGTGCCTGAAATCTGTTGCATAACTTGATCACGTAATAGGTTCCAAAATATCTATACAGCAATAAGGATGTCTGAGATGCTACAAAGATGCCTTCCTATGGCATCTGATGTAAGTCAGATATGATATGATCTCAAATGAAAGAATGTTAGATTTAAATTTGCAGACTAATAGTTTCTCCAATTACATCTAACCAACTCTAAAAAGAAAGAAAACACAAACTTGGCTTCAGGTATACTGGTAGGGTGTCTTCCCAAGTTAATAGCTGAACCAGCCCCTGAACCAGTCTATTTTCCTTCCCTCCATGGAGAGGAACAGCTGGAGGAAAACAACAAACAAGCTAGAGCTGAAAAGAATCCTCTGCTTCCCACTGGAACAAATAAGGGAAGCAAGATGAGCAAAGGCCCACAATTGCCCCAATCAGTCTTGAAAGAAGCAGCGCTGACATAGAAAAGGATGGTTGCTGTAATAAGGGTATATCAGCTTCCATCCCAGGATTGCTTTGTTATAATGAGTGACTCAGTTCCCAATGGGAAGGTAACGGCACACCTGGAATCAAAGAGCAGCCCCCAATCTCAGCATCAAATAAAAGCCTGCACTATCCAATCTCACTGCAAGTTGTCCCAGAATCTGACAGTCACACTCCAGGGTGGGCTCCTCACTTGAAGGTATCTGCTACACCTGAATGCATGAGTGTCCATTTAAGTCTATGGGCTGGTGGAGGTGAAGGGAAAGTGAAGGAGAAAAAATGTTACATATAATACACATCTAAACAGCTTTCAGGTGACTGGAAACTGGAACTGTTATGGTGGAAAGAGTCCTGTTATGATGGAAAATTGATTGTGGAACCACATGGTTTTTTAGTGATTCCCCTCCCCAAAGCACCCTGCCACCTTGTTCAGGAAGTGATTTGTAGTCCAACAACATATGGAGGGCACACATTCACTACCTTTGCCTTAATGCATTCTAACTGTATCACAACAGAAAGGATAAGAGTTCTGAAAGCTACATCAAGTTTGGCTCTTTTCAAACAATGGAAAATGAGCTGTACTCATTTATTTTTAAACGGGAAGAGAAAAAATGTCTACTATTTTCCAGACTATGCTTACTGCACACTAATAAAAGATAACACTTAAGAACGTGAGTGAGCCTATTCAGTCTTCCTCCCAAGCCATTTCAGGTGCACAACATAGGTATGACTGTACCTTTCTAAACACACACAGAATCATAGAATTGTTGATTTGGAAGGGACCCCAAGGGTTATCCAGTCCAACTCCCTGCAATGCAGGAATATCTACTAAAGCATCCAAGACAGCTGGCCACCTAACCTCTACTTAAAAACTTCCAATGGAGAGCTCACCACCTTCTGAGGGAGTGTGCTCTACTGTCGAACAGCTCTTGCTGACAGAAACATCTTCCTGATGTTCAGTTGAAATCTCCTTTTTTTTTTGAACGTGAAGCCAATGCATCACACTTGTTAAGCTTGTGGTCTACTAAGACCCCTAGATCCTTTTCACATGTACTGCTGGCAATCTTATATTTGTGCAGCTGGTTATTCCTGCCGAAGTGTAGAACCTTAAATGTGTCCCTATTGAATTTCATCCTGTTAGTTTGGGCCCAGTTCTCTAATTTGTTACGGTCATCTTGAATTCTGATTCTGTCTTCAGCGGCATCCTCCCAGTTTGGTGGCATCTCCAAATTTGATTAGCATCCCCTCAGTTCTTTCACCAATGCATTTATAAATATGTTGAACAACCAGCCCAGGACAGAACCCTACAGCACCCAACTTGTCACATTTTTACAGGATAACGATGAACCATAAATAAGTACTCTTTCTGTCTGGTCAGTCAACCAGCTACAAATCCACCTAACAGTAACTTCACCCAGACCACATTTTACCAGCTTCTCCACAAGAATATCATGGGGGACTTCGTCAAGTCTTACTGAATGAAGATTCACTATGTCCACAGCATTTCCCTGACCCACCAAGCCCGTAACTATCAAAAAAAGAAATGAGATTTGTCTGGTATGACTTGGTTTTGAGAAACCCATGCTGGGTGTTAGTAATCACAGCATCCTTTCCTAAGTGCTGCAGACTGACTGTTCATCCATTCTAAGACCTTTCCTGGTATTAATATCAAGCTCACCGGTCGGCATTTACCTGGGTCTTCTTTCCCCCCCTTTTTGAAGATGGGGACATTTGCCCAATCTGCAGGGACCTTATCTATTCTCCAATAATTCTCAAAGATTATAGACAGAGGCTCTGATATTACACCTGCAAACTCCTTTAGTACCCTTGGGTGTAGCTCATCAGGCCCTGGATATTTGAATTCATTGAAAGTAGCTAGGTGTTCCATTACCACCTCTTTTCCTATCTTGGGCTGCAGCTCCCTCCTTGCATAGTTTACTCTGTTATCATCAGGTTGGGCACTGCTTTCCTTTTGGGTGAAGACAAAGGCAAAGTAAGTGTTGAGCAGTTCCCACTTCTCTCTGTCACTCAACAGCATTTCTCCATCTTCTCCAAGCAAGGGACCTACTACCGGCTTGTTCTTCCTCTTGCTTCAAACATAGCAGAAGAAACCTTTAAATTTATTTTTAACCCCTCTTGCATGTCTGAGTTCAGTCTGAGCTTTGGCTCAGAATGACCTTCTCCCTGCAACTATTTACCACTTGTGTAAATTCTTTCGTGATTTCCCCTTTCTTCCATTTCTTATACATGTTAAATCTCAGCTCATCTGTAAGGTCCTTATGCAGCCACACTTGAGGATCCCAAACAGCAGACCTGGGAAAGGTTTGAAGTCTTTAGACACTCTGGTCTTCAACTGGAGAGTTGGGACCTGCAGTCGAGCATTAGTCTGACATAAGGTGGATCATAAAAGGGGCATCCAATATCCAAATGTATGGCAAAACCACACACACCAAGAGGTCACCAAATATATGTTTGGGCTACAGATGAGTGCCAGAAAATTTGTAAACCTACTTTGCTAAACAGAGAAAAAGTTTACATAATGCTTCTTCCAATGGTGAACAGCCAGCTCATGGGTCTCTATGCAACACTGTGCAAAGGATTAGCACAACACTTTGCAAGACAGATCAGAGTGATAATAAGAGTAGCACTTGAATAGAGAAAATGACTGTCAATGGCATAAAGAATACACATATTGAGAATCAAATATGGGAGGGTTCCAAAATCTGCAACAGAACACCACCTTTATTAAGCCAACCAAAATATGACAAAATAGCATGCAAGTTCTGAACCTTTTTTCACCAGGCTACACACAGGAGGAAGGGAACCTGATTGACGTTGGAGGGTGCAACTCTTCTCTGAAGAGCTAAACACAGGCAATAGTGCATAAGCCATTAAAAAAACACCATGATCTAGTTGGTAAACATGAGCCACTCTGTGAGATTCACAGCATTTGGAATCTCAAAACAAATTAACATGTTTCCTGCACACAGCAGCTGCAGAAGGCAGACAGCTATTGCAACCACACTTCTCAGAAAGCCAATTCATAAGACAAGTTGCTATATTTATTCTTGCAGAATAAGCGCTAGAACACACTAGAGCTTTCATTTTTTAAACATACTTTCCCATGGATTTTAAGCAGCTAAAGGTAGAGCGACATGCTCCCCAAACTCATGCTTGATAGGCAGGAAGCTGAAAATGAAAAGAAAGTGAACATGCAGCCTCAAATAAAACATAGTATCAGAAGTAATTTACTCCAAAAGGTGACAAAAGCACTTAGTAAAGAAAGCTTGAACAGCATTCATCTACAAATGTGACAAACATAAAGAATGACGACCATAATGTCAGTACAGTGGGCATGGGGTCACATCATGGGAAGGCAAATCTTGGCAAGACATAACTCCATTTTGGAGGGTCAGTGAACCGAGGATTAAGCAAACTTGTCAGGAGGAGTCATATAGCTGATACAGAGGAAGTTAAAAGGGCCCTTGAGCAGTGCGATTTTGGCAACTTAGTGAAGTGCATTTAAAGAAACCCACACCCATCTATCTACCTGGACACCAGTAAGCGCCCATGCTCCGAGGCAATCTTTATTACAGTACTTCATATTCTAATACGGAGTTGAATCAGTGTTGAAAACACATCTGAGGATGCAAGGAGTGGGAGGCAGAAGGGGACTCCGCTACCAAGTCGGGGATGCAGCTGGAGGCAGAACAAAGCCACAGAGGCGGCGGTGGGTTTTCCTGTGCACATTGTTCGAGGGAAGCCAAGGAGGAGAAGGCGGGAGACCAGGAGCAATGGGGGTTGTAGGGGGCGGGAGGGAAGAGCACAGCTGAGCACGAGAGAGACCCGCTCAGACACCAGCACAGAAAGGAGAGCCGGTCCCGGAGAGAGAGAGAGAGAGAGAGAGAGAGAGAGAGAGAGAGAGGCAGTCATGCTACATCTCGAAGACGACGGGCTACGACAACCAAAACTCGCAGGAAGTTGCAGGGAAGGAGAGCAAGGAAAGGGAAGGAGGGAGGGGCGCGGAGGTGGGGCTGGGGCGCCCCAGGGAAGCAGGATGGAGAGGCTGCCAGGGGCCGGGTTGCGAGGCAGGGAAGGCGGCGGAGGCGGGGGTTTCTCTGTCTCTCTGGCCCCGGGGCTCCCCGGGGAGAAGGGCGCAGGCGGGCGGGGAGGAGCGCCGGCCAGGGACTCACGCATGAGGAGGCTGAAGGCCACGACCCCGAGCAGCCCCTGCAGGAAGATGCCGAAGCTGTCCATCAGGGCCCCGTTCTCGCAGCCACGATAGCCCGGCCCATCCCCGGACGGAGAGGAAGCAGCGCCGGGCCCGCCAGCAGCGCCGCCGCCGCCCTGCGGAGAGCCCGGCCTGGGCGTGGCGAGGAAGGAGCTGTTGGGGGCCAGGGAGCCCCCCATGGCGGACTGAGCGCGCCGCGGAGCAGGTGCGCCGGCCAGAGGGAAGGAGAGGGAGGGTCGCTCGCAGGCTCCGCGGCGCTTCCTGGGGACGGGGGAGGAACCCCACGCGTCGCGTCACCGGCAGCGCGTGACGTCAGGCGCCGTGGATTGGCTGCGCCGTCAGCCTCGGGGGAGGGCGGGGCCAAGGGGGCGTCGGTGCCGCGGCCGTTGCTCTCCGTCCGTCAGGTGAGGCGGGATGCGGGTCTGGGAGGGTGTTCTCTTCGTCGTCCTCCTCTCCGCGCCCCGGGAGGAGTCGCCGCGGAGCTAAGGGTTCGGCCCGGTCTGTTTCTGCGCCGAGGACGGAGGCTGGGCATTCTTCCGAGGAGGAGCTTCGCTTCTGCCCGCGGGTGAAGGAGGAAGCCTTCGTCCTCCCAGCTCCCGCCGCCACAGCCCAAGCCACTGAGGAGGCAGCTTTACTTCTGAGGAGACGCGCCTGCCAGGGTCGCCCGTGGTCATTCGGCAACCCGACGCCGGCCGCTGTGGGGAATGGCAGGACCTCGAGGGGGAAACGGCTGCCACTTCCCGTCTCCCAGCCTAATGGATCTGGTGCTGTGAAAAGTAAGCGCCTGCAGGAAGCTAGCTATTGCTGTTATTGTGTGTTATAAAAAAGGCTCTAATGCTGTTTTTGGCCTGTTTAATAACCATTTAATCCACGGGCTCATTTATTATTTTATCTGTTTCGTAAGATTTATATACCGCTAGATTGTAAAAACGACCTCGAAGCGGTTTACGGGGGGGAGGGGGAAGGCAAAACAATAAAATCAAGAAGCAATAAATCCAGCCTTGTACCAAACCTGAGATCACCTTTTTACAGCTGCATAGGTGCAACACATGCCATTGGTTTGAGAAACAATGTCTAGGTGGGCTTTAGAAGTGGCAGCTTTCAGGATACTTTGGAGATGGGGAATTCAGTTTAGACTTTTTAAAACTTTGGCACAGGGACTTGAGCTCAAGACTTGTGTCTCAATTCTGAGCAGGTCTCAAGGCTCAAAGCTAGATACTGTACTGTGCAAATAGCACTGAGAAACACGGGTGCCTGCTAATTACTGTACGGTATTAGACTCTGAGGACTAGTTTGACGCCCCCTAATGGTGAAAACTATCCTCACAGCACAGGACCCTTACTGTTACCGTTTTGTACTTGCTTTAAAGTTATGGATTTTTTAATCTCGTATTTAGGATGCAATCCTAATCCTACCTGCCTACCTGGGGGTAAACTCCTACAGAACTCAGTCATTTTCTTGAGTAGAAATGCTTAAGATTGCAGAAAGACATTCCAATTTTTGGTGACTTGTGTACTCCAGTTTTATATGAGACATTTAGTAATAAATGGATGCCAGCAAAAATATATTTATGCCAGGAGTCAAGTATACTTAGAATGGGTCAAATTTCTTTTGATAGAGGATATGTCACAAAACTCGTTTGTGTCTCGTGTCTGTAACAAACTGTTTTCTCATGATGATTTATAGCTGTAATTGTGAACAGGGATATTTATTAACATCACACTGATCTCAGTACTGTATGTAATAAAATATCTGCTGTATTGATTTGTAAAATGAAGGCTTATCAATACCTGAGAGCAAATATTTATCTTGTTGCATACTAGAAGATAAACTTCTACGAGGCCATTGGATATCAACCCATGTGACATGTCTGAGCCATGACTGATTATTTTTCTCTACCCAATAAGGAAATAAAATGTTTTAAATGTATAATGAGAATGGTTTGAGTGCACAATCAATACATTCAGTTGCATGTGCTTTCAGGCTGGAGAATGTGGATTGAAGAGTTTTTTATTTCATTGTTTTCAACTAAAGAATGCGTAATTGTATGCAGCACAATATTTACTTGTGAGTTTGTACTGAGCTATTTTTCTTTTTTTTTTTGCGGGACACGGGTGGTGCTGTGGGTAAAACCTCAGCGCCTAGGACTCAGCGCATGGCCGGCGGTTCGAATCCCCGCGGCGGGGTGCGCTCACGTCGTTCGGTCCCAGCGCCTGCCAACCTAGCAGTTCGAAAGCACCCCCGGGTGCAAGTAGATAAATAGGGACCGCTTACCAGCGGGAAGGTAAACGGCGTTTCCGTGTGCTGCGCTGGCTCGCCAGATGCAGCTTGTCACGCTGGCCACGTGACCCGGAAGTGTCTGCGGACAGCGCTGGCTCCCGGCCTATAGAGATGAGCGCATAACCCTAGAGTCTGGCAAGACTGGCCCGTACGGGCAGGGGTACCTTTACCTTTACTTTTTATTTTTCTGCTTTAGGCTGCAATCCTATATTCATTTACCCCCAGGTGAAGTCCTGCTGAACTCAAACTAGGTTTACTTCTGTGTAGATTTGTATAGGATTGTAATGTAAATGGCAGAACTGTAACACTACATGTCTTTTTTTTTTTAAAAGCAATTTATTAGGTTTTACAATAGGAATAAATGTAATAAACAATATAGCATTCGTCTTAACATATTTTCACATTTTCTTAGGACTTCCTCACATCTCCCGCTCCCACCTTCATCATTATAACATTTTGTCAGCAATTTATCATCTTATTTAAATTCTTAAATCTCTTCGATATTTCATAATCTTAAAGTTCTCATAAAGAGTTAAGCTTTCACAATTTTTCTTGTTTCCTTAAAAATTTCTAAGTTAAGTGGTGCTCAGTTATTTAGTCCAGCATCTTATTCAGCATTCAATCAAATCACAATGTTTTTGTAGGTAGTTCTTAAATTTCTTCCAATCCTCCTCGATTCTCTCTTCTCCCAGGTCACGGATTCTGCCAGTCATTTCAGCCAGTTGCATATAGTCTATCAGTTGCATCTGCCATTCTTCCAGTGTGGGTAGATCTTGGGTTTTCCAATGTTTTGCAAGTAGTATCCTTGCTGCTGTTGTTGCGTACATAAAAATGTCTGGTCCTTCTTTGCCACCCCTTGGCTGACAATACCCAAAAGGAAAGCCTCTGGTTTCTTAGTGAAAGTATATTTAAATACCTTTTTCAATTCATTGTAAATCATTTCCCAGAACGCCTTCACTTTAGGGCATGTCCACCAGAGGTGAAAGAACGTTCCTTCACACTCTTTGCATTTCCAGCACTTGTTATCAGACAGGTGGTAAATTTTTGCGAGTTTGACTGGGGTCATATACCATCTATAAATCATTTTCATTACATTTTCTTTCAAAGCATTACATGCAGTAAATTTCAATCCATTACTCCACAGCCTTTCCCAGTCCTCAAACATAATATTGTACCCAATGTCCTGTGCCCACCTTATCATAGCCGATTTAACCATTTCATCTTGTGTATTCCATTCCAACAGCAAGTTATACATCCTTGAAAGTATCTTAGTCTTTGGTTCTAACAATTCTGTTTCTAATTTCGATTTCTCCACCTGGAACCCTAGTTTCTTATCACTTTTAAAAACTTCTTTAATCTGAGCATAGTGTAACCAATCTCGCACTTTGTCTTTCATTTTCTCCAAGCTCTGCAATTTCCAATTGTCTCCATCTTTTCTAGTATTTCCCAATATTTTGGCCATTTGGCCTCCATATTGGGTCTTTTTCGAGCCTTAGCTTCCAAAGGTGAAAGCCACCTTGGTGTTTTATTTTCCAGCAAGTCTTTATATTTTGTCCAGACATTAAACAGTGATTTTCTAACAATATGGTTCTTAAAGGCCTTATTTGCTTTAACTTTGTCATACCATAAATATGCATGCCATCCAAAAACATTGTTAAACCCCTCCAAATCTAACACATCAGTGTCTTCAAGAAGTAGCCAGTCTTTTAGCCAGCAGAACGCTGCGGCTTCATAGTACAACTTTAAGTCCGGCAGGGCAAAGCCCCTCTTTGTTTTGCATCGGTTAGTATCTTAAACTTAATTCTGGGCTTTTGCCCTGCCAGACAAACTTCGAAATATCTCTCTGCCACTTCTGAAAGCACCCCATTTTGTCCAATACCTGCAGTGTTTGAAATAAAAACAACATTCTTGGCAATACATTCATCTTAATCGCAGCAATTCGGCCTAACAAAGAAAGTTTCAATTTTGACCAACTGTCTAAGTCTCTCTTAATTTCTGTCCAACATTTTTCATAATTATCCTTAAATAGACTTAGATTTTTGCTGTTATGTTTACCCCTAGGTATTTTACTTTTTTAACCACATTAAGTTCCGTCTCATTCTGAAACCGTTCTGACTCTGTCTCAGTCAGATTTTTCCCCAAAACCTTAGTTTTCTGTTTGTTTAATTTAAATCCCGCCACCCGACCAAAGTCATTAATCAATTGTAATACTCTTTTCGTACTAGGCTCTGGCTTCTGCAAGGTCAAAACCAGGTCATCTGCAAAAGCTTTTAATTTATATTGTTTCTGACCAACCTGAATTCCTTCCACCAGCTGGTCCCCTCTGATCATGTTCAATAGCACCTCCAGGACCGAGATAAATAACAAGGGGAAATAGGGCAACCTTGTCGTGTCCCTTTTTCAATTTTGAACTCTTCTGTAACCACATTATTAACTATCAGTTTTGCTTTCTGTTCTGAATATATCGCCTCAATCCCATTCTCAAAACCCCGTCCCACTCCCATCTCTTTTAAGTTTCCCATCATAAATTTCCAAGAAATGTTATCAAAGGCCTTCTCCGCATCTATAAAAATTAAAACAGCTTTTGTATTTATGTCAGTTTGGAGAAGTTCCAAAATATCAATAATGTTCCTTGTGTTAGCAAACAAATGTCTACCTGGGAGAAAACCGGCCTGGTCCTTATGAATTACTTCATTTAAAACTTTTTAAAATCTACTTGCCAAAATATCTGCAAATATTTTGTAATCCACATTTAAAAGGGAGATGGGACGGTAGTTCTTCAGTTGTGTCTTTTCAGTTTCTAACTTTGGTATCAATGTGATAAACGCTTCCTTCCACGAATCCGGTGCCCTCTTCCCCTCCATAATTTCATTGCTAACCTCCATCAAAGGTTGTATCAAATAGTCTTTTAGTGTCTTGTAATACTTGGAGGTCAGCCCGTCTGGCCCTGGAGATTTGCCAAGTTGCATGTTCTGAATAGCTTGTTCAATCTCCTGTCGTGTTATTTTAGAGTTCAGGATTGTCCTATTTTCTTGTGACAGTTTAGATAATCCATTTTTTGCCAAAAATTGTTTAATCTCAACTTCGTCTTGCGGCCCTTGGGTATATAACTTTTTAAAATATCTCTGGAAACACTTTCTAATGTCCACTGGATTCTGAATGTTTCTTCCATCAACCTCTAAATTTGTAACCGTGTTTAATCTTTGTCTTCTCTTCAACTGCCAAGATAGCAGTTTTCCACATTTATTCGCCGACTCAAACGTTTTTGTTTCATTAATTTGATCTTCCATTCAATTTCCTGATTTATCAATTTAGAATACTGTGTTTGATAAAGTTTAATTTCTCTCAGAGTTGGCTGTGACTTTGGATTCACTCTTAATTTCTTCTCCAAGTCTTTTATTTTATCCAAAATCTTGTCTTTTTTCTCATTTTGTGTTTTTTTCTTTACTACATTCTGTTGTATCAGAAAACCCCTCATGACAGCTTTGCTTGCGTCCCAGACGATTCTTTTTTCCACCGAATTGTTCATATTTATCTCAAAATAATCTTTCAAAACTTTTTGGGCCTTCTTGGTAATTTCCTGATCTCTAAACAAATTGTCATTCATCTTCCATCTAAAGGATCCAGTTGGTAGTAGTGTCATGTCCATCTTTACTGCGTTGTGGTCAGAACAGGTCTTTGGGCAGATTTCCACTTTTCTAACCCTAGGTGCCAGGCCTCTAGAGATCCATATTTGGTCGATTCTTGTCCAGGTCAGTTGGGCTTCAGAAAAGAATGTTCCTTCTCTACCTAGTGGGTTTTTGTTCTCCAAATGTCGATCAAGTCCATATTGTCAGTCATTTCAAAAAGGTTTTAGGTAGTCTGCCATCTTTTGTGATGTTTTGACTTTGCGACTTGTCCATGTTAGTTGACACGACCCGATCAGGTCTCCCCTCATTATGATGTTGTTGTAATCCAGATGATCCAGCATTGTCCCCTGCAACTTCTTGTAAAATTCCGATTTCCCTTCATTAGGCGCATAGATTCCTAATATCAGCAATTTCTCTCCTTGATATTGTATCTCAATAGCCAAAATCCTTCCATGTTCATCTTTAAATAGAAATTTAGGTGACAGGCTCTCTTTGCATATATCACCACTCCTCTCTTCTTCACTTTATCCGACGAAATAAATTCCTGGCCCAATCTTTTATTTGTTAACACTTTTCTGTGGAGCCTCGTCACATGTGTTTCTTGTAAACAAATAATGTCCAATTGTTCTTTTTTTAATATATGAAAAATTTTCTTCCTTTTCTCCGGGATATTGCAACCATTAATATTCCAGCTCAACAGTTGCAGAGACATCCTGGATCTATCTGGTTATTTCTCCTGGGGTGGTGTCTTCTCTTGATCTTCAAGTTCCCGAGGTGGAGGTATTGATGCTGGCTTTGCCTCAGGCCCGGAAGGTAGTTCAATTCCTTTATGTAGGTCCTCTCCGTGTGTAGCCAAAAATTTATCTCTCTCTTCCAATGTTCTAATTTTAACCTTTCTCGCTCTAAAGGTAAAAGACAATCCCTGGGGAAAATCCCACCTGAATGGAATTGCGTTGCTCCTTAATAGTTTAGCTAGTTCAGAATAGGCGGCTCTAAGATCCAACAGTTGTCTTGGGATATCTTTATATATCTCAATTCTTCTATCCAAAACTTCCAGTGACTTTTCGTAATGTAGGCCCAAAATCTTATCCCTTTCCTCCTTCGATCTCAATGTAATCAAACAATCCCTGGGCCTCTCCTTCTTTATAAATCTTCCAAGTCTGAAAGCTGACACAATTTTAAAGTCCTTTTCTTCCAAATTCCAGAACTTGGAAAGTTCTTTGGTCAAAAACTCAGTTAGATTTCCTTCTTCTGCCTCTTGTAATGATCTAATCCTCAGATTATTCTCACGATTTCGCAGTTCTATCTACATGTCAACCTATGCTTAAAACATGCAAGGTTCTACAACTCTTCTTAAAAGACTTTACTGTACATGTAATTAACATTGAGAATTAAACTTGTCTTCAGGGATACCGTAGTAAAACTCTTGAGCAAAGAACAGTTTTATATTATTACATTTTTATGTTTCTTGTAGCTCAAATGCAGGACAAGAGTTTAATTCTAGCAGGAGGCAATCTAACATTTTAAATTCCAAATCTTGAAGTTGTCTTCCATGTATATTTGAATTACAAAGTTTCCTCTGGTGCTGGAACGAATCCTGAACCACATATAACACAATAATTATTAAGATAATTATTAAGATTAGGGTGTGCATCAAATATTTGCTTTGAGTACTACTTTGGTAAGTGAATTGATGTAGCTCGGCAACTTTTGAGGATACTTATTTTGACTTGTGTCCAAAGCAGAACTTCCCCTATGGAAAAATCTGAAGTTTCATATGTCTTCCCATTGACTTATCCTCCCTCCCCCCCACCCCCGTAGAGGATGTCAGTCACATTTTAAATATACAGTGGTACCTCTGGTTACGTATTTAATTCGTTCTGGAGGTCTGTTCTTAACCTGAAACTATTCTCAACCTGAAGCAACACTTTAGCTAATGGGGCCTCCCGCTGCCGCCGCCACATGATTTCTTTTCTCATCCTGAAGCAAAGTTCTTAACCCGAGGTACTGTTTCTGGGTTAGCGGAGTCTGTAACCTGAGGCATATGTAACCCGAGGTACCACTGTATAGGCGGCTTTGTGTATGCAAGGGAATCCATTCAAGTTTGGGTGGAAAGAATTTGCTCACCACATTCTGGAGTGGGGGGTATTTATGGAAATAGTTTACATTGTAGAGATGCCTGTAATTTAAATAACCTGTATCAGATGGATAGGTACATAGGTTAGGGAAATAAATTTAATGAAAAACTATTTTCTGTCAATTTGACAGCAAAGTGAGCTGTCTGTCAGTCAGAAAAACTAGACTCCTGCCTGACTTTCTTATATGAAGTGGCCAGGGGAGAAATGTATAGATTTTCCAAGGCACAGTGTGTGTCTCCAACACAATCATAAAGCTTCAGGAAGAATAAGATCACTTCAGTATGGTGTGCTTCTGAGAGCATCTAGTCAGACAAGCCCCTTCTCTTTTCCTAGCAGCTCACTTATGAGATTTATCAGAACCAGATTTATCAAACCTAATTAAAATAGCAGGTTTCATCTTGAGCTTTCATTACCTTACACTAGCAGTTCTCAGCATGCAATACTGTTGGGAGGGCGATAAGGTGATTGCTGGTAATTATTTTTACATATTTAAACATTAATGCAATAAACATTTTCTTATTTCTAAGATCACTACAAAGTATGGAGTTTGGCCGGAGGAAAAATTGCTTGTAGGTTAATTCTATCTATGCATGCCTGTTCAGAAATAAGATTCATCTATTGTGTTCAACAGATAAAAGTGTCTAAGAGAACAATCTTAGTTTTGCAGGCCAGAATACAAATTGATTCATTATATGCCAGCAACACTACCTAATTTGGTTCTGGTGTTACTTTAATCAACTCTTCTCTAGGAACCACCAGGAAAAGAAAAATCAAGTAAGGAGGTTCTGAAATCTACTTCAATATCCCTTTACAAACCGAAGTGGACATGGGAAAGGTTTTTTCTAGGAAGGGGGTCCAAATATAAATGCAACTTAAGATTTCCAACCATGATTCACTTTGTTTAAACTGAAAATATATATGTCTCTGTATTTGTTTTGATAAACCAATAAAACAGTAAAAAAAACACTATTGGTATATTGCCTCCACTGACAGAGCCTATATGCTGTTGAACACATGAGAGTTACTACTGGACTCAGTTCCTGTTCATTTCTTAACTGAGGCACTGGATTGGCCATGTGGACAACAGAATATTAGACAAGAAAAGCTTTTGGTCTATCCAGCAGCATTCTTACCAGCAGATTTTTCTAGGGAAAACTGTTTGCAAAAATTCTTTCCTAAGAGGGTCACAGGCAAATAAGCCCAGCACTAAGAGCATATGATAATGTTTCTTGAACCATAATTGTAAGACACTTGGAAATTCACCTTTGTGCCTATGAACCCTCAAGTGCTTGTTTATGTATTAGTAATGTAATCCAGTTTCCCCTCAATGACACATGTAACAAGGAATTCTGAGCACTCAAGCAATACTCAGCTTATTGACACAAAAGTAGACCAGCAGCAATTTAAGTATTTTTTTAAAATTTACTTACAATCACTTTAAACGGTCATGAAGTACCACAAAATTATGTACATTCATTTACAGAAAAAAAACAAGCAAAATAATCCATTTAAAATATTTTAACCCTTTAACTGATACATCTATCCAGTAAAGGAGGATCTTCAATAGGCATATTTTATGTGCATATTTCTCCATTTTTGAATTTTACCCTCAGTTCACACATATAATTTATATATATTAAATCAAAGAAAAATACAGCAAGCAGGAGGAACAACACAATATACATCTTTAATTTTTTTTTTTTAAAAGAAAGAACAAAGCAGGGAAAGTGCATGTTCAATGATTTATTACAACAAAACAGATCTACATATATGCTGGCAGTACCTGCCCTAGAAGGCTCTTTCAAGAGATTTCTGATTGTCTATAAACACTAACAGAACTGGTTCAGAGGTCAATGGAAAAATCTGTGTGCAGTCCTGTATGAGAGTAGACTGGGTGATTAGGTAACAGCAGCAGAAGCTGACAAACATGAAGTCTCTGTGATATACAGATAGTACTTAAGGTTTCTTAGGAGTTGCAGTTAAAGGAGTAAGTTCTTCACAGATTTTTTTTTTTAAATCACTTCAATTCATTACTTGAAGTTCCAAAGTTCTGGTAAATCCAGTTTCCACACTCCTGAAGTTTAAGACAACAAGTCGGTGGAACATTGCATTTCATTCTAGAGTCTGGAGGAAGTAATGTGCTGCATTCCATGGTTCAATCTTGATTTTATTCTTTTAAGTAATTTAATCTGGTCAGCAGCAGTGCAATAATTAGGTTGAACTTCTAACAAGCAAGTAACTAATATAAATAACTGCTGTACTTCTAGTGTCTCCAATTTTGATCCTTTTCAAAAAGGAATTCACACTAGCAAGGTTCACTACAGATCTCATCAGCTACTAATCCAGCCTGCAGTGGGTAGGGCTGGGCAGAAGGAGACTTCCTTTCTTTCTGCGGAAAAAAATGGGCAGACACACCTATAATGGTAGCATCTGCTTGGAGCATCTTTTTTTCTATTATTCTATTACTTCCCCTTTCAGCACATCATACCCCAATTCTGCAGCATTCCTAGTACATTTTCAATGGGGCTCCTCTGGAGAGAAGAGGGGTGGGAAAGTTACTCCCACCTACCCGCTTTTGGGTTTGGATCTATGGTTTATATAATGGATTATATAACGAGCTTTTAAAATTGCATGCTCAAACCCCATTCTAGCCTCATGGTTAAAAGGCTACCTTTGACAACAAAGTTCATATATGAATGATTTAGGGAAAGTTAATACCAGTGTGAGTTCTCAGCACACAGTCAAATTTATACTCATGAGGTTTTCAGGCAAGTCCCTTTGTGCTTAGCAAATCTTGCTATTTCAGATACTACTTTCACAGTAGACAAAATCTTAGACAAAACTGAAAATCACAACAAAAGCCTTATTTAAAACATTGTTTTACTTTTGGCAACACTCTGGTATGAATTCATAAAGCTTCACAATGTGTGCAGAAAGAAAGCGGCTGATGTAAAGATGTGCACTGCCTAGGTAATCTGGCATGCAAAATTCTCCAACAAGACAAACTTTTGAGCTGATTAGGCTTTGGCTAGTAATACGTAAAAAGTATCTGCAAATCAGACAAAAAGTGTGTGCTCATTTCACTAAAGGGTAGAGTCATCCAATGAGAATAGAGGAGGGGGGAGAGAAGGGTCTCTGGCAGCAGCACTGCCAGATGCCAAGCCCTGCTGGTCTTACTAGAATCAGATGCTCCAGGACCATACTGCATCCAAGGGGTGTGTTGGGAGAACAGGAGAACCTTGGATCCTGATCCATCCTGTTTCCCCCTGATGCTGAAGCACGAATGGTAGAGGGGCAAAGATGCCAGTCCTACCTGTGGCAGCTGGTAGAGAGGTTCCGAATGCTGACTTCCTTCTTAGCCTGTAGATAGGGAGGACTGCAAAATCCTTTGCTCCTGGTATTGTACCCTAATTGACACACTGCTATAGATTTAGTATTCAACTTATTCTACCTTACTGTAAAGCATTCGTGGCTAACCTCTGGGTCCAGGTGTCTCACTAGCTCCATCAAAGCAATTTTATGGCAGTGGCAGAAAAAAGGGAAACATTTATAAATTAGACACATTGATGGAATGGCTATAGAGGTTTGTGAGTTTGCCCTTTGTGCTTGCATGCAGATTTGTGCAAGACAGCATGGGGTGGCCACACCCAGCATGGGCATGCTAGCTAGATCAAGGGTAGCTAAAAACCCACCTCTGCTTAGTCCTTTCAGAGATGGGTTTGTGAAAGGACTAACAATGTTTCCATTATCTTAACAGGATTGGCAGTGGCATGGCAGGTACATAAATTTTAAAGCACTGTCATTCCCCACCCCAACCCCTGTCTCTTTCAGAGTCTGGAATAAGCCCTTCATGGCACAGGCTTCCCACCTCCTTTCAAGTTTCTAGCATTATAGAAGTGGTAGCTATGCCAAGTAAAATTAGACCAGAACTTTATCAACTACCTCACGTTTTATTAGATAGCTGTGCCAGTTAACAGGATGCAATTAGAACCTATGAGTGTAAACCAAAATTATGTACTGAATTTCTTTTGACAATAGCTTTATAAGCTGCTGTTTCCCACCCCCAAAAGCCAATCAAGTGGAAAACCTATGTTGTTTAATAAGAGTACCTATAAATTTATTTTCATGTAGTCATTGTATAGCAACTAGCCCCCAGAGATCTAACAATTATGTTTATCTTTTCTCACTCTCTGCTTTGGACACATGTACTTTATCCTAGTGAGAATGTCATTAGCATAGTTAAAATGCACAATGTTATCTAACTTTTCAGACTCTCTCCCACTCTACTACAGTAGCACAAGAAGCTTTTGAAGTTTTAACAGCATTAAGTCAGATAAGCTTCCAATTGAACTGATTTGGGCAGTAAATGGAAAGAAATGTAGGGTTTGTAGATGAGGTTACATTTCCCTGAAGCTGGAAAATATTCCAGGGCTACTTAGGGGATGAATGCTTTGCAGACGGCTTCAAATTCAGCCCACAAGATACGCTTGAATTGCCTCAAGAAATGAAGTGTACAACTACTCATGTGTTGCATAGAAATGACTTAAAGTAACAAACAATGGAAAGCATCTCTCTTTCTGACACCCCCTAAATGGATCCCACTGGGATCAAACTCCTAAAGTAGGGCAGAAATATTAGCTTATAAATATATCACAGATAGCCAGCACCTACTCCATTGGCTTTAGAAACGTAAGTTGGCTTATTTACAGCAATGCATGGAGTATGAAAGTTTTACTTTAAAAACTCTGAAAATCTCAAGACATACAAGTTTTGTACATATGCCATTCTTATGATTTTTATCCGCCCCCCAGAAGGTACCCAATAGTTACCTTTTTAATAAAGCAAAAGATGCACTGAAGCTGGATAATGAAAAAACCTGGATCCACCCCACCCACCCAATGCCAGAGAGAGGCATTCAAACCAACACATACAAGTGCATTTCTCATAAATAAATGGACCAGTTGAATAGCACTCATTTCAATATATAAATGTAATTGCAAACTTGGTCCATATGCTCATTTACACAGCATTTAATGTACTAAACCTACTTTGGTTGAAACCTGAAGTATGAAAGCTCTGAGTAATCATTCACTGCATCCATACTCTTATCTAGGGTCTCATAAAGCTAGGAAGGTTATTCGTTTCTTTTAAGACACCATACAACCCTCTTCCTAAACAGCACTCATATATATCCTGGAACGTGACTCTGCAGGAAGACAATGTTTCAAACTGTGAAGATCAAAAAGATCCAGTGACATGGATATACTTCAAATTTAATAGACACATATAATGGGTGCAGAAGCCCATTTTGTGCATGGCTGGATCCCAACGAAGCTGGATTCACTCTGCAGAAATCAAAACCTGTAATTGTTCAGCAATGTGCACCAACAGTTAGTTGTTGCAGTTGTGGGAAGTTGCTGTATAGATAAGCATTAGCGAGCACATTATTAAGTTGACCATAGTTGAATTGCCTCTACATAAACCCACAAAGTTATATAGAGAACTATGGACCCCATTTCTTAAGGTGTACACACACTACAGGCTGCATGAACTGTCCAACAAAAAGGACATCACAAATCATTTCTGTTATATACTTAAGATAGAAGAGGGAAGACGACATTTCACCCATGCATTTACAAAACAACTACAATTTTCTGGAGAAACCCTTTAAACATTGGAGAATTGATAGGAGCTCAACATTTCTGTCCGTTCTTCCTCTACAGATGCAAGGTCAATTTCCAAAAACAAATGGGAATACGAGAAGACTTAATCCCAATCTCATACCATGCAATATTCTAGTAAATATTTTCAAAAAGAGAAATGATACTAAAGTGTCAATATTTCTGTGCAGCTTTCAGTAAAAAATAAAAAATAATAAAAAATTCGGTTGCAGCTTATCTGTAAAGCAGAGCCATATGTTAACATTCAAACCTCCTGTTCTACAGTTCCCAAAACTTGTCCTCTCTGTGCCTTGACCAGCAGCATGGCAGGCAGAAATTCTGTCAGGCACAAATTTCAGCACCCCCCCTCCATGACAAACAGCTCTAACTTCTTTAATCTGTGACTTTCAGATAACTTTTGAAGGACCAGGACCTCTGTCAGGTGAAAAAATGTTGGCATTCCTATTTTGACTGCAGAAAAGCACATGTTGCATAGCCATATATGACCTTCCCCGAAAAATGTAATTCCCTCATAGCTTTTTTTTTTTCTGGCTGTAGAGGTAGAAAGCAAGTTCCAAACTAAAAATCACAAACAAAAAACATCTGGCTGCACTTCAGTTTTCAAGCTTTTGGCCACACCACTTATCTTGGCAATCAGCGATATTAATGTTTAAAAAATTATGTTTAAGACAAAGAAAATGAAGTAGTTCTGCAAATGGCAAGGAAATTTCCATCAATCGGCATTCCCTTCCATGTGCTGCCAAGTCTGTCCATTTCAGACCAGAACTACAGGAAATTTTTCTCCCCTTAGAGGAGAGATTACAACCACCTTTATTCATCAAAAAAGTCCTGATGTACAGAACAAGCGACTACTACATTCTTAAGCCAATAGACAGCTGTGAAAATAGCTGGGATTGCATTAATGTTTTGCTCCAAGTATTTTTTCCCCTCCCCTCAAAGTGCAAGACTGCAAATGCCAGTTTATAAGCAGTTTTCGTCTGACCTTCCTTGCCTCACCCTGTTGAAGGAAGAGTAGGATGCTGCAGTTGTGCTTTAAAAATTCATTTTCCAATTTATCACCCCCTCCCTTTAGTTAGCAAACTGTTGGTAGAAGGCAAATTTAACCCTTTCAATGTGATGGCAAAGTTTAATGGCTGGGCCAAGTTTCAAGTCCATACACTCCTGAACAGTGGGAAGAGTTAGCAGGAGAAGCGCCTGTCCATCTATTTCCTGTTGAGAGACAGAGAGAGAACAGGGTTCAGAACTGATGAAAAAAATGCCATTAAGATGCATTAAATGGTCTGATTGAAAGCTAACAAATCAAATGGGATTACATCCCTCGACAACTATTTGCAATACTAGAAAGTTATTGAGACAAAGACTAGAGATTTCATGTGCTCAGTTAACAATTGCCAACAGTAAAACAATAGAATACCTGATCCAGAAATATTCTAGCTAATGGGGCACAGTCTGTAGATTTGAGGAACCGCACAACATCAGCTACACTCCACTCCAGAGGGTTGCTGTCCAGCTGCAGCTTTTCTCCAACGTCTATCTTTATTTCCTATCCACAAGTCCCAAAACAAAGCAAAAATATTACATTTGCCCTGCTCAAGCATATTTACTCTTTTCGTATATTCCCACCAATTCCACCCGAGTTATCTCCTGAAAAGAGCCACAGATCATGACATTTTGGATTCTCGGTGTTAGGGATTTTGTGTGTGTGCTGATCAAATTTAATTCATAAGGTGTGAACCATGTACTCATGAACAGAATCCACAAACCACCCCCTCTCTCTGCCCCACCCCCAAGTTGTGTATTCTTGAGACTGTAGCAAAAAAATGTTGACAGGGCAGCACTTGGAGGGGAAACCCCCAAATCCCAGCAACTAGATGAGATCTATACATGGAGCTTCTAACAAGAACAGGTGGAATGTGTATACAGTCATACCTCAGAAGTCGAACGCCTTGTGACTCGAATGTTTTGGCTCCTGAATGCCGCAAACCTGGAAGTATATGTTCCGGTTTGCAAATGATCTTTGGAACCCGAACATCTGATGCGGCTTCCGATTTGCTGCAGGAGTGCCTTGGTTTCCAAGCGTTTTGGAAGTCAAACGGAGTTCCAGAACAGATTCTGTTCAACTTCCAAGGTACGACTGTATATTTTTATATAATGGTGATGATGATGATGATGATGATGATAATTTATTACCCCACCCATCTGGCTGGATTTCCTCACCCTAATCACTGCAGTGTTGCTGTTGTGGTGAGTTAGGTATGCAACATGTTGCAATAAGTGCAAATTATATGCAAGTTTATATGTTGAATTATACAATAGGTTAAATTGTGCATATGCATTTAACACAACTGATTGTTGCTAATTCAGTAGAGAGTTCATGCTCTGGATGCATGATATACCAGGAAGGAGGTTTTGAGTCTTCCCTAGTGTCCTGGGAGGGAAATTTCTACTGAGAGGGGGTAAACCTGCCATCCCTGCACTCTCCCAATCTATATTCTGGAACTGTTATTTAAATAAGAAGTATCAGAAATGTATATAATTAGAATGCAGGGAAATGGATTATTTTGCTTCTAAAGAAAACCTCAAAACTACTCTTAATAATCCTTCCTTAACAGGGTCTGTTTCTTCTTTGCTAGGTCACAAGTCAGTACAAATATTTCCTCACCTGCTTATTGGAGCAATTATTTTGCCCCTTTTGATTTTAGTACTAGGTAGACCTGACAAATATGAGCATTTATTTCCATTTAATAACAAACGGGGGGGGAAAGGCGTCAGCCTTCAAGGCTCATCATTAGATGGCTTAATGACCTTGGGTTGCATCCAGCTAAACCATTGTGCACATGGAAAGACTTCTGTGAGCCCAACCTTCCCTTCCTCTCCTCCCCCTGTGCACACCCCATATCTGCTCTGGGGATTCCCAGAGATTTAGTTAGAGACAACCCCCGATGAACAAAATCTCTCTTTCTGAATGCTAGATGCTCGCTGCTAAGGTATTCTTTTTTAAAAAAATTCCAAAACCTACCTTTGGTGAAGGAGGCTTATTTTCATCATCTGAGAAAGAAAAGGCGCGTAGTTTCCTTTTCCGTTTGTCCCGGTCCTGAGCTCCAAAATGGGATCGCTCGCTCTGTGTGGGGGAGGATGACCGCGATTTCTTTTCTGACACTTCAGACTCTTCAAGCAGTTCCTCCTGGTGCTCAGAGGTGCTGTCTTCCGTAAGGGACTCTTCATCTATGTCATCCTGATCATCATCCTCTTCACCCCCACTGCCCTGAAATGGTATGGAAAGGAGACGGGGAGACTCAGAGGTAGACAGTGAAGACTGTGTGTAGCAAAATACCAAAACACCCATTTATCTAATATCTATGGAACACAGAGTGCATTAAATAAATTGTATGCGTTATCATACCTGGGGTGAGCCAGCAGGTGTGTTATCTACAGAGGTAGAAGAGCGTTTCTTCTTATGAACAAAGAAGTTTTTCCGTTTCTTTCTTTTCCTGCTTGCCTTCTTCATGCTTGTCTCTGTGTTGCTGTGGATACCTGGTGGACGGCCAATCCTTTTGTTTCTTCGCTTCCCATAATAATGGGCTATGAGAAATTAATAGAAAAAAGGATTCTGACTGTGAAATGTCAGGATGATTCATCTTTTGCTAGCCCTACATGTATCAACAGTGCCTCTAAAATCTCCTTTTATCACCATGTTTTATTTATGATATTTATGCACCACCAACAGGAGATAAATGATGTCCATCTATATAACCTATTGTTGCTGTTTGATACCTATGGATATGTGCCTTAGAAGAAGGATGACATATTCTGCGGTACATATATTAAACTTGTACTGGCTACTGGAATCTAGTAACCCATCAAACAGCACAGTGATTCAAAGGGTTGGAGTGGCAACAATTTTGCACATCAAACTGCTCTACAACCATCAAGAGTCCAGTTTCTCAACATGTTAAGTGGTGACCAACCTGCAAATGAATCCCGCCTGACACACACACAAAAATATATCAGCATTGCTTCCCATGGGGCAATCAACAGCTTCCCAGAGGGTAGTTTAGATTTAATTTCAAATCCCATATGGCTCCTCCAAATGAAGACAGAAAGGTCAGGAAAGGTGATGTATCACTCACATAATAGGTAGGTTTGTCCTGAGATCAATAGGAACCCCAGTACAATCACAGGTTGGGTTTACTAATACAGCCCGAGTTTTCTGCACTGCTAAACTAACTGTAGAAGGACTCAATGGACACTTTTCGACCAAGGGCAAGATTAAATGTTGATGATATGGTCAATGCTGATCAATGCTGATCAGCATTGATAAGCAAAGAGTACAGTGGTGCTTTGAGCGTATATAAACTAAGATAAGAATGATCAGCAGCTTTAAGGAAACTGCATTTACTTGAAGTTGTGCTTTGCAGCCACTGACCTACACTGTAGAATAGCGCAGTAGTGAATCAGAAAATTCCCTTGTAGGGCCAACCACCGCAATTACTCACTGTATTTGGTTTTTGTCAGAACAGAGCAGTTCTCTGAACACTTGTCTAGCACCATTTGGGGGCCAAAGAGATTTGGACAACATTCAAGTTTGATACAGGTCTGCCTGCAGAACTCTGCGACTCGATCAGCTGTTCTTACAACTTCCACTGTGGCACGGTAGCTCTTTCCTTTATACCTGAAGCAAGGAGGAAAACAACAACAACAATGTGTGATTTGATCGTCATTTTTACAAAGACAATATTCTGGATGCCATGGAATTTCTTATGTTTACAGAAAACATTTTAGGGTGAGGAAATGTTGTGCATCACCATTCTCAAACTAAGACACACTCCTACTGTACTGGTTATGGTGCCTGAACCAAATGCTGCTACAGGAGCATCTCAAACACCAAAGGGTCCTAGAACACGGCTGCATGCATTCCACCAGGGAGAAAAGACAAACTTCCTCCTTTACAGAGCAGTGGTCACATTCATTAGAGTCATGACAGCCAGGTAAGGGTGTTTGGGAACGCAGGGCAGCAACTGCAGGCAAGCTCAGGGGGTTAGCATTACAAAGGCCGAGAAATCCTTCCTTGGCAATGTCTAATTTGGCCTAAGAGCAAAGGACCAACACACACTACAGAACAGAGTCCATTTACTTTGCTTTCAGGGTCTCTCCATATCCATGCCATGCAGCTTCCTCATCCAGCTGTATTTCTCTAAGGACACGGCTAGGTTTATAGGCAGCATTGATCAGCAAAGAAAGAACCTGAAAATGGAAATGAGGAGAGAGTGTTATGAAAGCAGTAGGCAAGTAAATTTCTTTTAATATGTTAATATGACTTAGTAGATTAGTTCTATTCATCTGAGTTAGCAACTTGAGAGACTGAGCATTAAACTAAAATGTATCAGCATAATATGTTTAGAAAGGACAGTACCTGTGAACCAAAAACAGACAACAAGTAAGGATTTATCTGACTGCCTAGGATTCCCAATTCAATGTTCAGTATAGCCTAACTGTCTTTCCACATTTCCCTCAATGTTGTTCAGGGTAAAGTACTGTTATCTAGCAAATGTTGCTACTTTATTTTATAAAGCTATGCCAAAAAATTGGAGAATACTCCCCCCCCCGACTTCATTTCTGAGATTATTCATTTTCTCCCTCCAGCTCCCTGTCAAGAAATAGGATTCTTAAGGAAGGATAGATGGAGAATGGCAGAAGAGACACCACTAACGTACCAAACAAAGGGAGAATGGAATAAGATTTCACAGCATTCCATTCAGGAGGGAATATTTACTACAGAAAGGAGGTAAAGAGGAGTGCTAGGAAGGTTTATCACAATGGCTAAATAAAGTGGAACAATGAGCTAAAAAGCAGGCACTGGAGGAAACAAAAATGCCAGTATCAGGTTTAACACGTTTATGGGGTGGTCTCTTTTGAAATAAATGCCCAAGGATACATTAAAAATGAGCCAGATTTTGATCAAATACAAGAGGTTTGATAACGAGCTTTGAGCCAACTTGCTTTCAAAGTAAATATTTATCCTTGCATTCAAATATCTGGGAAAAAATGCTGAGTGATAATTGCCCTATTCAATTTATTCCGAGAAGTAAGACAGCCATGTAAGAAACATACATAAATTTAATGAGCAAATAACCCAGAATACTGAACCACCCTTATTAAAAAAACTCATACAAAAAGGATTTTGCATTGCTAGACCATGGATACTGCACAGTATCTGACAAAGCTGCCGCTATGAAGAATAACCCATGGCGTTTAACATGCAGCAGAGACCCCCAGAGGCAACTCCTGTAATCTAGAATGTTCTCAAAGGACTATAGATTTGTCACAACAGATCAAATGACTGACTCATCAACTCTAATATTCTGTCGTGGACAGTTTCTACTGCTGCTTAGTGACAGGTGTATATTCTCTTCTCCATAATGCCACTTAGGCATTTCTGTAATACAACAAAAAATACAGAGCTCTACAGATATCTAATTTGCCCTAAAGCCTTTTCATTTGTCACTGGATGTCCATTCTTGCCTTTCCACTTCAAAAATGCACTCAAGGCAGGGAACATAATACATTAAAAACAAATAGCTTAAAAAAAGTAAAACACAATGAATTAGACCAGGGTAGTCAACCTTTTTATACCTACCGCTCACTAATGCATCTTTCTTGATGGTCAAATTTCCTTACCGTCCACCAGTGCTCGATGGAAGGAGGATTCAGCTTGTGCTGTAGAACCCCCTACGACCCACCTAGAATCCTGAAACGCCCACTAGTGAGTGGTAGGGACCAGGTTGACAACCCCTGAATTAGACTGTGAAGAACCATGAGTAAAAAACAAACTCTACACCCTACAAGAATGGCTTATATTTCTGTTGTTCTATCAGGTACTGCCTTACAATCGGAAGGAGAAGTTAGTATGTATCTGTCCTTTTGCAGAGGTTTATACGATTATGAGTTTCACCTGTCTTGCTAATGTGAATGGGCCCCTTACAAAAGAACTATAGCGTTCTTTGATAGCTGAAAATATCAGAGTGCCGTCCTCCAGCTAGCTGGAAGGGGCAGAAACTTGTTTGCAGCCAGTTTTTTATGGTGAGTATGGGCTTCTCCTTGCAGAACTGGACTGCTGATTCACCAGAATATACCGTCATGTCCCATGGGTTCCAGATTACCTTAGACAAAACTGTGCTTTCCAAACTTACCAGGAAGCCTCTGGCATACCATGCAACAACACAAGTTGATCACACCACCATCCCTATGACACAGAAGAAACCATCTTGCTACTCTATAGCTGAATTTGTTTCATGAAATGCAGATTGAGAAATCTGGTTCAGACAAGCCTTCCCCACAGGATGGGTCATTATTTCATGTTTTAGTGATTGAGAATTATGAGAATTATGCTGTGCGACTTAATGCTGCCAAACCCACCAATATCTTGATTATGATTTCAACTTTCCAACCTAATACATTATTTTATAGGTCTACACTTTTCCATACTTACATTGAATGCTGCATTAATGTATTCCTAGTCTACAATGATACAAAGGGTGTGCTTTGACAGAGAAAGGGAATAAATTGTGCCACAAGTATATAGCCATGTTTTCCAGATGTCCTTACCTCTTTAAGAACAAGGACACAGTTTCCTGGTCCCACAGATTGTGGCAGTTCTGCAATTCTACCTTTGTTAAGATATGGCCCTGAGAAGCAGCGATGATTAAAGTAGATCTTTGGACAGCAGTATTTACCATTGGTTACAACTAGAAAAAATAAGAATAATAATCAGAACACTTGTGCAAACATGTGCTCTAAATACAGTGGAACCTTGGTTCCCAGACGGCTTAGTTGCCGAACAAATTGGCTCCCAAACTCTGCAAACCTGGAAGTGTTCTGGTTTACAAACCTTTTTCGGAAGCTGAACGTCTGATGTGGCTTCTGCTTGAGTGCAGGAAGCTCCTGCAGCCAATCAGAAGCCATACCTTGGTTTTCAAATGGTTTCAGGAGTCGAGTGGACTCCCGGAATGGATTACATTTGAGAACCAAGGTACCACTGTACTAGCATTTAGAAAGCATTTAAGCTACAGAAATTAAACCAATAAATACAGGGCCCCATCCAACACTGCAGCTCCTCTGGTGCAACACACTTCCATGCATGCAACTGCTCTCCCTCTCCTGTCCCCTCTGATCTCTGTGTGCCTGTAAAATCAACTCAGGGGAGGGGGCTTGAGGGACCCTCTGTGTAGATGTTTTCTGGAAGAGCCTGGGCAGAGGAGAGGGAAAGAGAAGTCCCAATGCACCAGTGGAACTACACACACAAAACTTTGGATACAATCCAGAGTTTCACATACATGCACATTTATTTTTGATAGCCTCCTGCAACTCACCCAAAGCTGGACCTGAGGGATGAGGGAATTTGCCCAAAATTCAGGGAACTCATTTGCACAAGGGCCTTTCCGCTAGCACAAAACCCCTTTGAACAGCACACACAGGTTTGGAGCTAAATCACAAAAAACTGGGCCAGAATCAGCTATGTCACAGTGTCACAAAGCCCAATCAAACAGAAAGCAAGGGCTTGTGGCCACTGCCAATACCTGATTTTCTGGGCTCCTCCCTGCCCCAACTCTGTTCTAGTTTATCCCATTCTGCAGTGTGACTGGGGTGCCCTCAGAGGACCCTTTGAGAAGCTGCTGGGGGAGCAGAGAGAGGGAAAGTCAACTTCTGCCATCCTGTTATGCAGACTTTTTTTGGATACAATTTATTATGTGTTAACACTGAAGCAAAGTTTATGGTTATTTGCTTTAGCATGCAAAATAAGTTAGCATCCTCCGTGATGCAATATAGTTAAAGATATCAATATACCAATAGTCATTTCATTCCAGCTATGCTTGGACTAAGAGCCGCTTTCTCTTAAAGCCCTAATTCCAGGGGTTTATAATTGGCACATATAGAGATTGTATTGTGTTGACATAACATCTCTCCATTTAAAAACCAATTAAATCCCAGAATGAGCAGCAGCCACTTCTGCAAAGCTGACATTAGGTACTACCTCAAACACATATTTTGCTGCATTGCAAGTCATGCAGTAAGATTTTAGAGAGTATTAACTGATTTGTTCAGCAGCAGATGCACTTATTCAACATTCATCCATTCAACAGTTTAACAAATGATTAGATTTCACCATCTGGCACATAGGGAATTCTACTGTCAAATGGCCTTTTGTCTATAGTTGCCTGAGTTCCCTGCAAAGCAGAACATGGAAACTCACTGCAGAACGGATAAAAGTTCAAAGGAAAAGTAGGAAGTGTTTGTGAGGAAGAGCCTCACCACAGCAGGATAGGTCTAGAAAGCTAAGCCCGTGCGGGAAACATGACATGTACACAACATGGCGTTTAGCCTCATTCTCCAACTACTACACACACAAAGACACTTCTTTCTTACCGGTATCAGCGGAGTTCAGTTCCTGGCTCTTTAGTCCCTCATGGACAGTTCTTGAGGATAATATTCTGACCAAGGGAGAGAGAGAGAGAGAGAGAGAGAGAGAGAGAGCGAGAGCGCATTATTCAGTATTTGGGCTCTTGAGCTCCTCATCCAGTTTGGGCTTTTGTTTTTGTTTCTACAGTAGAAGGGACTTGTGCCTCAAGCAAAGGTTTCATATTCATTGTCTCCCTTCCCCCGCTTCTCTCCTCTTGCCCCCTCTGGAATTGCCATTCCCTCCTTAGTGCCCAAGCCCTATTATAATTAAATCAAAGCACACACAATTGGAAAAAATAACATATTCTTCCCCTGCCCAGCCCTGCATCCAGTTTCCCTCTTTCTATTTTAGACTGTAAACCTCCCAGGGGAGGTCATAGCTGTTCTTTATAAAGCAGTATACACATAGGTGGCATAACAAATGACAACTACTACAACACGGAACCCGCCAAGTGAGTTAAAGAACAGGAGTTTTTAAACTAATGTATTAACTGTGTGTAAAACGGGTGGGGATTCTCAGGCCTTTGATCCTCAGGATTTTCTATAACCCATGACTCCTCCTAGGCACCCTCATCACAGACCCTGCTGCACAAGCTCTGCTGGTTGGAATGTATCCTTGAACTGGAATAGTGTCCCTTTCTTGCCCAGATAGAGAGATAAATGTGCAGGAGACCTCTGATTTTTGTGTGGCTGTACAAAAATAAGAGTCACATTCATGGCCTTAAGGTTGCCCACTAGGGAATGTGGCCCCCAGGCTGCTGAAAAAGGTCCCCCAACTCTATAAAACCAACAGGGTGGCCAGAGATGTAAGCACTGCTAAAGAACAGCAGCAACATGTCAGGTGAAATAATGCCAAGTGAAAAGGGAGCAATATCCCTCCTACCCTGTCCGACATGTTGCATGCGTGTGAGAAAAATGCCCCAGAAGATGGAAAGCAAAGCTGGCAATGGCTTCCAAGAACTGGAGGACAGAGAACTTGCTTAAGAGACTACCCCAGAGTGTGATTGTGCTATAGACTCTATAGCATAACATTTATAGCATCTGCTGTGTCTATAGTATAGATCAGGTGTTGTTAACCTGGTCCCTACCCCCCACTAGTGGGCGTTTCAGGATTCTAGGTAGGGGGTTCTACAGCACAAGCTGAATCCTCCTTCCATCGAGCACTGGTGAGTGGTATGGAAATTTTACCATCAAGAAAGATGCATTAGTGGGTGGTGGGTATAAAAAGGTTGACTACCCCTGGTATAGATATTAACATCTCAATCCAACTATTATATGACAAGAAGATCCACTGATGGCAGGCCACTTCCACAGAACCGTTGTGTATCAAGCAAAGTATGGAATTATTTCTTCTAACAGCATCCATCTGCTATTGCCATCCAAATGAAGATTTGTGAGGCTAACCACCTACGTGACTCATGGAACATTTGGGGACCTAAAGTGAAAAAGAATTAAGTAACAACCTTTCAAGCAGCACTTATGAAAGGGACGTGAGGGTGAATTAAAAAAAGTAATACCCAAAGCTGTCCTAACTAATGGAAAAGTGCACACCTCCAATATGACCTGAGAACAGTTCAGAAAGATGCAGCTGATTTAGAAGAAAAGTAGTTATGGTATATCCAGAGAGTATCATAGCATGACAGAGCCACAAACATGCATAATATTTCCAACTACTAAGTAAGTGAGCTCTAGTTAACTGCATTCAAGCTTCTCAAAAAACAGTCCATTGCTAGCAATGTGAAATAAGTTCAATGCTTACGGTTTCTCTGGTTGGACCACTGCAATTTTCTTTTCCTTGTTCACTGTAAGCCAAGGTGAAAGTCAATGAATAACCAGTGTATCATTAAAAAAGTTTTCCAATGATAACACACACTTTTTATTTTATAATCTTCTGTAAGCAGAATTTCAACATTTACATAGTCAGGCTTCAGATAATAGTCATGTTTCATCACTGCCTGGGGAATTGAGACCCAACTTTCTTGTGAAACATGAAGAGATGAGCAAAGAACCAAACACGGGAAAATCCCTGAACTTTCAAGTGTAAACACACAGGCTTTTCAGTTTCCTAAGCTTACAAACAGGCATTTCTCCAATTTGAAGGGTGCTCTGAATCTACATGCAAGGGCTTGCACACTGCCCATCTACTGCTGCTCCAAGTATCCCCAAAAGGTTGCCTTGATAGTAAGCTCTAGTGAGTTCTAGATTCTCAAAGTATTAATTAAAAATGTCTTAAAACCTTCCACAGTCCTTCCTCTCTAGGGACTTGCTCTCGTGCTGTTTGATAGAGCTACAGAACGATTGTTTTACCATTGTTATGTAAGAAATGCATATATACCATAGTACTCTGAAATACAACAATCAATTCTGCAATACATTCCACTCCATCTTGTAGTATAGTAATTGTATTAGTCATACCTACTGCCCTGCGAGGAGGTCTAAGCTGATATCCATTTGTTTCACACCAGCCTACTGGAAATATATTCATAGATTCCACACTCACTATGCATTCAGGGACTGGCATTTTAGAACCTGTTAAGAGACAAATGGAACACATAGCCCAAATCAATGGTTGTTGCAACTGGACTCGCAACAGAACACAACACTTGCTATAATATATATCTGTGTACCTGCACATTTGAATCAGACATAAGTAGCATGGCAGGCCCTCCAAAAAGGAATCTGTCAGGAAACAAGCCTTTGATTGTTTCCTATAAGGGTTTTATCATGAGTTGCAAAAAAATAAAACAAAACCATGGGCTGGAACAGCTGTTTTCAGAGCCATTTTTAGGAGTAAGACTGTGTTCTGGTAAGGATTTATAATGTTCAGATAAGGCAGTGACATTAACATGCTACATGGGGAAGGCGAACAAAATTCAAAACATCTACCTTTCAAAATATAACTTACTTTCCAGCTGTAGCCAGAGATAGGAATCCTTCACCTTTGTAACAGTAGCTACACAAATTTCTTCAGGGTCTTGTGAGTTTACTGCCTCAAGTTTCATGTTCTCCTTAAAGCCATGGTCAGAAGTCAGCTAAAAAAGAAGGAAAAAGAAGGAAAAAACACTTAGGTGGAACATGCAATTTTAAGGGCACCCAATTCATATACCAAACAGGAAAAACATTCAGAACAAATTAAACACAGACCATTGAAGGGAATCACCAGGGATTTAAATGGTAAGTTCAAAACAATAATCAGCAAGCGGCTTCTTGTAGATTACTAAGGGAATTTCAACCTGGCATTCAAAAAAAGTATTAAAAGAAGAAAAAATAATTGAATTTACAGTAGAACATGCAAGAGACTCTGCTTCAAGCCCACATATACTCAAGATCAAAATTAAACTGCAATAGTGGAGATAAGCATACACAAAATAAGAAGCCTACTTCCTGTACAAAGGATAAATCAATTCTCACAAAGAGCCAACAAGGTGGTAAACTTGTGTCTGGGCTGTGCCACTTCAAACTAAAGTGGGAACCTACATGGTTTACTCTTCCATGCCTTGAGGGAGAATCCAAAAGGCTGCATGAAATGTTCCATGCATGCACCAGGCTTCCCCCTCCCATCAGCGTCCCTTACCAAAAAATTGCTCCGACAGGCTGATGACTCTCTAGAACAAAATACCACATGGCTTGAAGGGCTTGCTGTCAGAAAGCAAAATTCACTTACCCTCCCCACCAAAGTGCTTCCCATGTGTGCAGTAAGAAAAGCAGTAAGAATCCCAGAACCTCAAAGATTAGATTTCAGGGAGAAGGATACTAGTTGAGCCATCTCCCCGATATTCTAGGGGCTGAATTCAGCCCACCTCCCAGAAACATTTCATCAGGTGAACCCTCACCTACACATCAAACACTTCATATCCTGTTTGTGGCCTAAGATGCATAATGCCATTGTTCGACTTCCAAGCCTTGAGATACCATCAATTCTTGCAGAATAAGTTGAATATTAAACATCTCTTTAGACTATTTTGGGACGCTTTGCCCTCAAATCACCAGTACTTTAATTCTTTTTTCCACTGTGTGGTGTGGTTAACAAGCTTTACAAACTAAGTAAAATATTCACCGTTGAATAAACACATTATATTGTGAATGCTTACCGAGGGAAAACAGCTTTGGGGAGCAGCCTCTGCTCCACACTGCTTGAGATAATCTGCCCAGTCAAAGTCTTGCCCAGGATAACCTATGAATGAGCAAACAAATGACTCTTATTTATTAATGCATGTTTATCTTATCCTTCCTACAAAGAGGTCAGCGTAGTAGCCATGATCCTCTCCTCCATTTTATCCTCACAGCCACCCTCTTAGGTAAGTTAAACTGAGAGACAGCCTGCCAAAAGAGCATCATAGTTGTGTGGGATTTATGCCAGGATCTCTCTACTCCTTGTTCAACATTTGTCTATCCCATACTGGCTTAAGTAAGTTTGAGAATGATATGAGTAGTTCCTGAGGACACACAAATGCCTTCACATTCTCAAGCTAGGCTTTTCACACTGCTTGAAAAGCCTAGGCCCAACATCTTTCCCACACCACTTTTATAGTCATTTTAAGAAATCTTGCTGTTAAATTGTCCCAGTCTCTGCAATACGCGGAATAGAAGTGTTTTCAGAGATAAAAGTGTAACGCTTCCAGTTCAACTGCTCGTATGAGAGCAGGCAAATAGACGGCATAGGCTACACACCTGGTGGAGGGCTGAGATGCAAGCCATTTTTTAGACTCCATTGCACAGGGAAAATACCAGGACTGTTGACATGACAGACGTAAGACCGGCTTGTGGTATATTCTGGTCGCAAATCATCTATTTCTACCAAAAAGTATTTATCATTAAACACCTGCAAAAAGACAAAGGAATGACTTTGAAACAAAGTTCACTTTACTAACATATAAAACTTTCTGAGTCACTGTCCTACTGCTAATAGTGGGTTGTATCAAATGTTAGTCTTATTAAGAGCAGACACATTGAAATGAATGACCATGACTAAGGTTCATTAATTAATTTCAGCGGGTCAACTCTGAGGAGGACCTAGTTGGATACAATTCTTTGTTATTTATTGGCTAGGATACAGAGCCGTGTTCAATGTGCCCAAGGACTGAGCATGCCCAATGGGGAGTTACCTAGTTTTCTTTGAACAGCCCGCCCGCCCACATGAAATACTACACATTACTTTTGAAAGTCACGTCAATTTCAAAAGTAATCTGTCATGAGGAATGGGAGAAATACAACCCTGAAAAGCTCTTTGAGCATGCGGAACCTCATGCTTGTAAAGTACCACAAGCATGATCAGAAGCTTGAAGCGTTTTGAAAGGAGGATATAGTGAAGTGGGAACACGCTCAGGTCAAACATTGCACATTTATATAGGAAGAAGCAAGACAAAAAGGGCAAGAGGAGATCTTAGGCTTCTCAAGAAATAAAGTCAGAAAAATCAAGAATTTGAACTGGATTATGTATGGAAAGAGGGACCCGGTTGGCGCTGTGGGTAAAAGCCTCAGCGCCTAGGACTTGCCGATCGAAAGGTCGGCGGTTCGAATCCCTGCGGCGGGGTGCGCTCCCATCGCTCGGTCCCAGCGCCTGCCAACCTAGCAGTTCGAAAGCACCCCCGGGTGCAAGTAGGGACCGCTTACTAGCGGGAAGGTAAACAGCGTTCTGTGTGCTGCGCTGGCTCGCTGGCTCGCCTCTAGAGTGAGATGAGCGCACAACCCTAGAGTCTGTCAAGACTGGCCCGTACGGGCAGGGGTACCTTTACCTTTACCTTATGTATGGAAAAGTCAAATCACTAAGACACCAAGAAAGTTTAATAAACAGAAATTAACACCGTTTTATAGAAATAGAATAAATAAATAAAAATGGGCTGATTAAAACAAGGAATTCCCCCTGCTATAGCCATATAAAGTAAAATTAAGAAGGTGGAAAAGTACACTTGTTCCTATAATTCCAAGGACTCATCCCATGACAAGGATGACTCATATGAACTGTAATTAAACAAGATAAACACAATAATGAGCTGCTGAAGTTGATTAGATTGTGGGCAGCAGAGGGACTGTGTTAAATGTGTAGTTGATTAGAAGGTGAAGAAAAATGTACCTAGACAGGAATGGGAGTGTGAAAATGCCATCTGAATTTCTCAAACAGATAAGCTATTTTATGTGAAAATTTTGATGAGCCATCTTAGAAGGAATAAGATATAGAAACGTAAAGCATGTAAGATAAAGGGAATGTTGGGTAGACAGAAAAAGAAAGGTTGATACTGTTGACAGAACTTATAGCTGCTCTGACAGTTTACTGCTGAGAAAATGACAAGAATTGTGCATCTATTCTAGACATTGTCATGACACCTAGACTTGTAAGAGTTCTGAACTGAAAAGAAAGTTACTTTTACAACAAAAAAACCGAGGGGGATTGCCTATGGACATATGTAATTTATAGTGAGTACTGCATATGGGTCATTCATTGAAATAAATCATGAAAGAACAGAAGACTCAAAAGTGGGGACCTCATTAAGGAACTCAGGAAACATGTCTTTATTTCCTAAGAGCACTGAGTATACACAAAATTATATTAAAGTGAACAGAACCAGAAAGTTACCTTGCTGATGCCAAAATGGGAAGATGGAAAAATAGAATATGTTTAAAATGTTACATCTTGGAGCCAGAGAACTTCAGAATATAATTGGGTACCTTTGTAACTGTGGCTGGCGAGATGACGAAAGGAGCTTTGGGATCAACAGCTTCTAACTTCATGTTGACAGAGAATGAATGAATTCCAACAACAGGTTTGTCCTAAAAATGACAACACGAAAATTTTAAATTATCATTGAGGTCCTTTATCATTGAAACAGAAAATTCTTCAAAGTAGAAGAGATGCCTAGTATCTTCCACTAGCACAAGAGACGACATAACCTTATCCTTTAATATTTCAACAAGAATCACACTAGTTCATCCTGGCATTTCAAAAGTTATTTCACTTACAGGAAGCCAGCAAATGAAAGCTGGCAGCAATTGCTCTCTTACTAAAATGGACATTACATTTTCAGTTCAGCGAGACTGGGATTTGACATAATACTTTTCACCCAGGAATTTCTAATCTGCAGCATAATGAAGGCATTTAGAAAACTCTCCTGGTTCGTAGAGAGACCATTTAATGTAAAAACAAAAAACCAGTCCAGGAAACTCTTGTCACTTGAAATTGAACAAAATGAACTAGATCTCTAGCACAGAATAAAATAAGTATAATGTCACAGGCAATCAACCGTAACTTTGCTTGGTTGGGATAATCTTATTTCTGAGAGGCCTGCAATTGATGATGTTTTCGAAAATGTGGGAGGTCACTTAGGGCAAACGTAGGTTAATGGGAAAATATACCACAGAATCCGCATTAACTCTATATACTGCCTTCTAGTCAAAGGACCAAATCATAGACTTCCTTTTCCCCTTTGACCTAGCAAACTAAGACCAACCTAGAGTGTCATATGTACTGTGCCACCTAGAAACCAAGTTAAGACATAAAGAGCATGCAGTGGTACTACCTCTCTCCACAGTTATGGAGTGTGGTGCCTCTGAAAAACATGGCGAAGTCAAAACACCTTTAAGAAAGTGTTGCAAAACTCTTATTTGGTTTGGAGTTTTGTGTCTGTAGCTGGAGGAGTCAACACTGTACCCATTTTATTTGATTTTAATATGTCATGTCTATTTCAGGTGCTCATTTACCTCAGCCTATAAGACCCAATGTGCAAAGAACTTCATGCAGCTTGAGCAACAGAAGGAACCAAAACCCAGTGGAGCCTACTGATGGAGGAAAGGTGATGATTTTCACTGATTCCCACTTCCCTTGCCCCCTTCCATACTATTCCAAAAGGGACCCCAACCCATAGCTGTCAACGTTTCCCTTTTTAAAAGCAAAATTCCCTTATTCCGAATAGGATTCCTCGCAAGAAAAGGGAAAAGTTGACAGCTATGCCCCAACCACCCAGAACAGCTTCTCAGTGGGCGCACAACAAATGACTCTGAAAATCACCATCCTTCCCTGCTTTCCTCCAGCAGGAGCGTTTTGTGGGTGGAGTTCAACTGATGTGAACTCTGCATCTAGGTCTTTATATTTAACCATACCATTTGTTAAAAGCACTCAGGCCGGGTGTAGTGATCCGATAGCAAATTCCAGCTCTTGTACCTTAAATAGATCAGTGGGAACCAAAGATTCTTCTTCCTCCTCTTTTATTTTTTCTAGAATATCCTGCCATTCTGCTTCAGTCTTCAAATGCCTAACAGCTTCAATAAAAGAATGGTAGTCTGAGTAAAGCGCCACACTTTTAAAAATTAGTCCATTACACTACACGACTAAGTCAACGATCTGAAAATCAACTCAAAAGTTACAGAGAGGGTGCCATTTCCCCTCCCCCATTGAACACTCCCTATGAGCCCTACATTGAATGGTTTTTAAATTGCCCGCAATGCATGCTTGCATTTTCCACTGAGACTTCCTTTTAATAGTTCTCATGCAAAATCTTTTAATTGCTTTTTTACATAAGCAGTTTGGAGATGGAGTTGGAGGGGAGGGCAAATTGCTGATAAGGAATCCTTAAACTTATCTCCAGTGCACTATTTATGTGTGCCCTTGGGTTGCGGGCCTAAAAGTGCATCTCCATGCCCAGAGTGTGAGCAGAGCAGAGCATGTGTATTGCTCCAAGTTTATTCACAGACAACAAAAGAACTACCAGACTCTATGTATCTAGAGCAATTTGCCTGTTTTCATGGCAATTGTGTCTGCAGCTCAGATAAACTTTAAGAAGAAAATGCAAAGCCTCCAGGTTTGGAACAGTCCCATGCTATTCATGTGATGTCGGCGAAGACACAGTATGATTTCTGACTAGACTGAAAGTTCCTTAAATTGAGACCACAGAATACCGTTCGAGGTTAATGAAAACAAGCCCAAGGGAATACAAAGACAAATTCATGTATGCAAGCATTCTCTCTTTTTCCTGTGCCTATTTTTCCTTATTGTATAGCTCTGTGTAGCATAGCATACTAGCAAATGCCAAATCCCAGAGATTCTCTGTTTGGTCTTGTCAATATACCCCAAACAACAGACGGGGGTACAATATAGGGAAATTTACGTGTTTTTCTATTCTTTTAAAATAGCTGCTCTGAGCAGATGAGTATTGTTGACAATTCCAAAAGCAAGTACAAGTGTGTGTGTGTGTGTGTGTGTGTGTGTGTGTGTATGTGTACCTCAGTTTTTGAGCATCGAACGTTTCGGTTTTCAAATGCTGAAAATCCGGAAGTAAATGCTTCCATTTTCGAATGCACCTCGGAAGTCGAACTTCTGAGGCGGCTTCCTGTTTGAGTTTTCCATACGTTTTGAGGCTGCCATATTGAGTTTCCAATTTTCAAACGGTCTTCCGGAACGGATTACATTCGAAAACCGAGGAACCACTATTGTGTGTGTGTGTGTCCAAACACCAAAAGCTTCAAACCTTGCACTCCAAACTGAAAATGCAGTTTTATACCTCGTGGAGGTTCAAGGATGTATCCTTGTTGAGTTGCCCAGCCCACTGGATGGAGAAAGGGATCCAAATAGAACATCCATAAGTCATACTGATCTAAATCTCCGAGTCCTTCATAACGTAGTTTGAGCCTTCCACCAACATTTTCCAAAACATTGACTATCCAAGCTCCTAGAGAATCATTCAAGTGCTGACATTCTAGTCTTGAACCAGGAGCAATGAGGTCCAAGGGATTATTCCCTCGATGGAGCTGTGGAGGAAAGTGGGAAAAGGAAGATAAATGGTAAGCTATCTAATCACCTGCCTTGAAAAGCTATCAAGACAAAATATCCATCTTCATTGCTTAAAGGTAAAGGTACCCCTGCCCGTACGGGCCAGTTGTGTCCGACTCTAGGGTTGTGCGCCCATCTCACTTAAGAGGCCGGGGGCCAGCGCTGTCCGGAGACACTTCCGGATCACGTGGCCAGCGTGACGAAGCTGCAGCTGGCGAGCCAACACCAGCACAGCACACGGAAACGCCGTTTACCTTCCCGCTATAAAGCGGTACCTATTTATCTACTTGCACTTAGGGGTGCTTTCGAACTGCTAGGTGGGCAGGAGCTGGGACCGAAAGACGGGAGCTCACCCTGCTGCGGGGATTCGAACCGCCGACCATACGATCGGCAAGTCCTAGGCACTGAGGTTTTACCCACAGCGCCACCCGCGTCCCTTCTTCATTGCTTATGCTGAGTTATACACAGACATCAACTATGAATACTGTTGGGTCAACTAACAAGTTATCAGGAATTCTGGCAAGATGTGGAAATGTAGTCCTATTTCCTATTCACGGCACTGCAGCTTCCACTTAAAAGCTTGATAGGCACACAGTTAAGATCATGGTAATTTGTAATTCATATAGGGAGTAGGAACCAGCATTTGTCTTCATGCTTTCTTATCAAGCGATTTCAAAAACAATTTGGGGCTGGAAAAAATGACCTACTGTTTCCTTTTAAAATGCTTACGCAACTTTATTTATAAGGGAAAGATTAGCAAATACTATTGGTTGCATTTGTTTTAGGAAGCCCACCTTTGTCATATTGACTCTCTATAAATATATTGTTATGCACTCTATCCATAGTCAGATCTACTTTCTCAGCCTTCTGTCTTTGTGATGATAGTGCCTATGACACAGGTTTGTGATTACTGCCAGGCTTGTGATTACTGTGGAAGGACAAGCAATCTGCCATTTCCTACCATCCTTCCCATTCAGACCTTGAAATCATGTCGGTGGTTATAGGCAGAATGGTTGGTTACCTGGGTTATCAACCTTCTCTTTAAGCATGTACCCTTTTGAACTGGAACTCATTGGTGTTCCACCAGTTTCCTCTCTTCCAGGGGATAGCTGAGTGTCTTGTGTTTTAAACAAATTATTATGTTTTAATACTTGTATTATTTTCACTAGATACCACTGCTAGGCTGTTTTGCTGAAAGATTAGCTTCCCAAAACAGCAAAAAAAGTATAAGAAAACCTAGTAATGGAATCTGAATTCACTAATTAGCCCACATAATCACAAATTAATAAATAATAATAATTTATTTATACCCCGCCAATCTGGCTGGGTTTCCCCAGCCACTCTGGGTGGCTCCCAACAGAACATTAAAAACACGATAAAACATCAAACATTAAAAACTTCCCTAAACAGGACTGCCTTCAGATGTCTTCTATAAGTCAGATAGTTGTTTCCTTGACATCTGATCTCTGGCTATCTTTGGAAGTATGGGGGGAAACTTTTCCAGTTCTACCAGAACAAAATGTTTTTCTTTTACATAAAAGCAAGAAAGCAAAATAGGTCAGCTACATCAAAAGACCTTCACTGGAGGAAAAACACCATTTTGAAAGTGTGTAGTTTTTAAAATAATAATAATAATAAATCATTAAAGTATATTCTAAGAAGGGCCATGTCCCATTGAATTTAACATAATTTAGTTCTGAGCAGACATGGTTAGGATTGCTGCTTAAATTATATGTTTACATTTTATTGTGCCCTTTTAAAGGTGAATTCTCAGCTGTCAGAACATTCACTTTGGTAAAGGGAAAAATGAAGTTGTACCAGAAGACTATTGTAGCCGCAAAGTCTAACACAAAGGGCTTTAATAGGTATTGGTTTAAGACGTAATAAGAGCGAAGTATTTTTATTGCTGCCGATCCATGTGCACACTTACACCTTCTAGAAGAGTGGCAGGAGCACTGCATGCTCCTTTCAGAGTCTGCTGAAGGAATTCCTCCTGGTTAGAAATTTTATCTTTGATGCCTAAAAGGGGAAAAAAATGTTGTTCAGTATTTACTCTTCCTATCTTATAATAACGTAGAATAGAGTTATATTTATGCTGGGGAAAGTCAACAGCAGGGGTCATGTCCAATCTTAAGAAGATTTGCAACTTTTGCATTGCTCAGCACCAGAACTTGAAGTTAGTAACATTTTTTGTGTGATCTCAACCATCATCTTCCTAGAGGTCAAGCAGAGGAATTGAACTATCACAAGCACAGAGACAGATAGTCGTTACAAATAAGAATGGGTCCAACAGGTACATTAACAAATAGCCAAGTGAAAAACAGATTCATCTACAGCTGTTTCAGCCAAGTGATGATAGTGTTTGCAGGTGTAATCGATACAAAGCGATTCTTAGTAGAAGTTTATGGACAGCTGAAGAATATCCATTCTTAAGGAAATCAGCCCTGAGTGCTCACTTGAAGGACAGATCGTGAAGCTGAGGCTCCAATACTATGGCCACCTCATGAGAAGAGAAGACTCCCTGGAAAAGACCCTGATGTTGGGAAAGATGGAGGGCACAAGGAGATGGGGACGACAGAGGATGAGATGGTTGGATAGTGTTCTTGAAGCTACCAGCATGAGTTTGACCAAACTGCGGGAGGCAGTGGAAGACAGGAGGGCCCGGCGTGCTCTGGTCCATGGGGTCACGAAGAGTTGGACACGACTAAACAACAACATGGACAGCTGAGCACAGAAGATTATGCAAAAATCTTAAAACAGGGCTTTGTCTCCTGCAATATATATCACCTTTAGGAGGTTTACTTTATTGAAACATTCTTCTCCCCATGGTGGACTGTTACCTTCAGGCACTTTGAGAGTCTTCTTGTTCTGCTCACACCACCCAATTGGATGCAAGTCAGCTGTCATGATGTCAAACCAAAAGTCTGCCTTCCTGTCCTCTCCATACCCATCATATCGCAATAGCAGTAATGGCCCACAAGTGGTAATGATTGTAGCAATCCAGTATGTATCAGGGCCAGGTTTGACAGCAACCTCTATTTTCATGCCTGGTGCAAAGCCATTTTGCAGGCTAGTGTCCACCTAAAAAGAGAAAGCAAGCAACACATCAATGCATGGCTCCATGGTTGCAATTTGATCACTTAATTTTAAAAACATTTTGCATGGATCTGGAACAACTTTTTTTAAAAAACACAATGATGTAGAAACCAAGGAACAAACTTTTTTGGGGATTTGCTTTTGGTCAATGAAGAACCAACTGACAATGGGGTACATTGGGAAAAATTGGCCACAAGATCTGGACACAATGATAAATGGCAAAGCAGAAGTAACGTTTACTTATTTCAGAAGATTTTATCTCAACACCCAAAGGTAAGTGAACACAACACAGCTAGAAAACACCAATGACAGGAGTGGGCAATTTAAAAAATAATTCTAAAATATCCATTGTGTGCTATCCAAACTCAGGAGAACAGATTAAATTTAACAGACCAATTAGGATGCAGAAAAAGCTTTTTAGTGATCTGGTGACCAAGTGAAAATTGTATAAAATGGATAGAAAGGTGTTACTAAGGATTGGTAACAAAGGAATCTGTGCTTCTCAAGACAAAACCAAACAAATGTGGATTAGGAAGGAACATCAAAAATAAGGAGTTTCAAACCTATCCCAAGAGAAAGGCAATTAAGGTTAGATGACAAACATAACTGTGACTTAGAAGGCAACTGTGATGCGGAAAATTGTGAGAAAAATTCAACCCTGCAGCTTATGATGAAAACCTATCAGTCCTTGAGTTTAGACATTGCATAAAAAGGAGACTGAGAAGAGTAATTTACATCCTATAATAAAGCAGGACAACGTTAAAAAAAAAACACCCCACCTTAAACCTACAGCCAATAAACAATTGTTTATTAATTTATGAATTAATTTTAAATGATCATATCGCATGAGTTACTTTCCTCTTCAGCTGACATTAACAAGGCCAATCATATGTACATAACCAGCTCCAGCACTTTAATCTCATTTCTTGGGGGGGGGGGGAGTAGGAAGAAAAGAGAAGCTTTCCCATGCATTTCAGTGTCAAGCATTCAAACCTCTCTCTTTGCATACAATATGTGTAATAAGGAAGCCATTATTAACTAAATTTGATTCCATTACTGGGTTAAATAACAGAACAGTAATAGAATATAAAATTCTGACGCTTTTAAGTTTGGCATGAAAACTTCAATGCTTTCTCAGCACAAAATATAACCTCACTTTCCTTACCAGACAACCCCTTTTCAAAATCCTATTTTTATTTATCTGTGTGCCACAGTACAACATACCACCAAATGATCGCCCCCAACTTGAATTAAAATTTTACACTTGTAAATCCTACTTTCCTCTGCATAGGAAAGAAAAATTGCTACACACTGATCCTTAACAGGATAGCATGTTCAATAAAATAACTATTTGCATCAGGAGTAAAAACAGCATGTAATCCTCTCCCCAAAACAGAACCGAAGCTGGTGTCCCTTTCCATTAGATAAGCAAATGAAATTACTCTGCAGCATGTCATATGTATCAGGTTAGCTTCAAATCCAATCTACTGTTGTATTTTACACCGCGTTAAAGGAGAAGTGTGCCTGCTATCATATACTGCCCTCCCCTTCTTTCCTGCAAGCATGGCATGAGATGCATCAAGCAGTTGAGGCAGAATCTGTTTCCTAATATGTCACCCACGACAATGCAAGAAAGGAAAGAGAGAATGAATCCCTTTCTTCTGAGGACATCTATGTGGCAAACATAGTAGGAACAACCAACAGCAAGAAGAAGGAAAAACAAACAATTACAAGCACACACAAAACAGGATTCACATCTTATTTGGTACAAATATTTGTGGCTGGAATATTTGTGGATTAGAAACAAGATACAGTACTTATTATAAACTTGTCACTCATGCTCAAACAGCACCCTCTTATGGCAGCCTGGTAAGATTGCAGTGGGATGAAGAGCGAAGGGAACTAATTTCGTTCTTTTTTATTTGTGAGGGCATTCACTATGAAAAAAATAGTTGCAGGTGACCAGCTGTCTAGGAATGCAGGCATCCAAAATATAATCTGTAGATGTGACTGCAGCAATTATAATACTGACGGATTAATTAATTGATAGATTTATAACTGTTTAACTATTTGTAACTATTTAAAAATAGTTAATTAAGCACACCTCTTTTCCCCTGGCTTCTAATGGTTGCAAACTTCAGACCAGAAGACATATGTGAATAAGACTAAAAATAACTTCCTGATTTAAAGTGTGGCGATTTAGACAATTGTGTGTGTAGCTATCTATCTATCTGCATATTACTTTATAGTGACCATGTTCACATGTAATTGTAAACGAAGAAACCTGTTAATAAACCATACTGTGCATAGTTACTCCCATTTCACTCCTCCCCTAGAGGGAAGAGGCTTAATTCTGCACCAGGAAGCTTAATTTTGCACCTGAGCTCAGAATCGTGGTGTCTTTCTCAACAAGCCATGACTGTTAATCCGACTTCTTGTTGCCTTGCACATCAAGGCTTGCTAACTACAAACTACCATCCCAGGTTCAGATATTACACTAAGCACACACCCTCTCAGTTTGTTTGTCTGTTCATGCCAAGGGGGGAGCAAAGCAAAAGCAATCAAGCTACATGCACCAACACATAGCACATGCACAGTACTGTGGCTTATTAAACTAAACTTATTGGCTTACTGTTAAGCAAGTGGAAAAGCAAATTGATTAAGGAAGAAAAATATCTTCAGAATACAGCCCTAATAGAATTGCAACCCCAGTTGCATAGAAGACTGCAAAGGTATTACGTTAAGCCTGCCACAGGTTAATTACAGGGCAAGTATAGTTTGCACAGGTTCACAAAAGGCATTGATTTAGCCACAAGAGGGCAACCTTAGTTCTGTAAGGATGAAGCAGAAAGGTGCTGGTATAGATACTGAATAATTTGTGAACATGGAGAAACAGTGTTCCAATTTGGCTTAAATCCTTGAAGCAGCAAAGGCTTTAAATCTGTAAAGCAACAGTTTAGCTGAGTAAAATTGCAAGTGATATCCCAGCTTGAACTTTGCCAAATTTAATTTTTTTTTAAAAAAAAACTCCCTTGGATAGTCTGCAGTTGTGATGGACTTTTAAACAACAAAACAAAAGAGCAACCCAGCCAGAAACTGAAGTCAGAAGCTACTTCAGCATACTTCCCAAGTGAAATATATTTAAATATCTACTATGAAAAGTAAAAAAAATAAAATAAAATAAAAAGCCATGCCAAGAACAAAGCTCTATATTGCTGGGCAACCACAGCAAGCTTTCTGCCCATTCTTCAACTCCCATCTTCCACAGGACTATAGCCCTTTATTTATTAGTCTCTTCTGTAGGCCCTTCTTTCAGGGATGACATGGGGCCACATCCATTTCCAAAACTACTTTGAGTTTCAACAGCTTTTTTTTTTTTTTAAAAAAAAGCCTTGTCCCTGGTACATGCTACTTCTGCTGAGCCACACATGGTTGTCTCAGCAACTCTACTGGGCTTACTGCAGACTCTGATGAGAAATTCATAAGGTATATGATAAACGCACAGTGGTACCTTGGGTGTTGAACATAATCCGTTCTGGGAGTCTATTCGACTCCCGGAACGAAAACCAAGGTGCGGCTTCCGATTGGCTGCAGGAGCTTTCTGCACTCAATTGGAAGCTGCGCCAGATGCTCGGCTTCCAAAAAACTTCTAGGTTTGCAGTGCTCGGGAGCCAATTTGTTTGGGAGCTAAGCTGTTCGACAACCAAGGTACCATTGTATGTGCCGACCAATACGGGGGCTCTTTTGTCCCGACAAGCTGCTTCCTTCTTCCACTACCCATTTTGAAACTGTCCAATCAAGAGCACCTAGAGAAGTAGGAACAAACCAAGCGCTGTCCCAAAATCCAGCACTTTGCTCAAATACTTTTGCCACCTATAATTTCCAAAAGCTACAACAAAAAACATCTCATAAATTTTATAGCAGCCAAACCAACTTAGGTGGGTTGAAACGACTGTGGACAATGAAGCTTTGCAAGTTCACTAAAGGAAAACAGTGGCATACTAGAAGAGGATGGACTAAAGTCACAAAGGCGTGAACTAGCTTTTTAAAATTTTATTTGAGAATACAATCCATTAGAACAACAATAAAATTATTAAGCAAAGTTAATAACAGCAGCAATCAGGTTTCTCCTCCAAATACCTCCTTAACAGTAAAGGGACCCCTGACCATTAGGTCCAGTCATGACCGACTCTGGGGTTGCAGCGCTCATCTCGCTTTATTGGCCAAAGGAGCCGGCGTACAGCTTCCGGGTCATGTGGCCAGCATGACTAAGCCGCTTCTGGCGAACCAGAGCAGCACACGCAAACGCCGTTTACCTTCCTGCTGGAGTGGTACCTATTTATCTACTTGCACTTTGACATGCCTTCAAACTGCTAGGTTGGCAGGAGCAGAGACCGAGCAGCGGGAGCTCACCCCGTCGCGGGGATTCGAACCGCCAACCTTCTGATCGGCAAGTCCTAGGCTCTGTGGTGTAACACACAGTGCCACCTGCGTCCCAAATACCTCCTTAGAAAACGTTTAATTAAAAAAAATACATTTTTATGTTATAAAATCAAAATAGCAGCAAGAATATTTTACTAGGGAATACAGAAAACAGAGGAGAAACAAAGGAATATATATATAAAGGTATATTTTAAACGAAAGAAAAAATGATTATAGTTTTTACAATTATTCTTGGAAGGGGGTCCTTTAAGAGTATCTGACCAGTTTCTTCAGTATTATTTCTAAAGAGAAAGTGTGACTGGGGAGGGCGGGGTATAAACAAATAAATTATTATTACTATTATTATTATTATTATTATTATTATTATTACTATTACTTTCCTCAGCACACCTGGATCAAGTGGATGCTAACAAATTTCATTGAATCAAGAGCTACCCGATTCACATGTCACAGATACAGGCTGCTTGTGGAGCCTGCCCGGTTTTTGTATATTTGTAAGGAAAAATAAAACCATGCTGTTTGACCATAAATGCCTCGTACCTACTTCATTTATAAGCCTTAGTTTATGAGTTAGGTTTTCCAATATTGCTATGCAGTATGCCACACTTGATAATACTATGTGTCCAATGCGGCTCCCAATAACTCTTTCTAAGTCCAGGCTATAAACGCCCAGCTGAAGTGAGCAAATTGCTTATTAGGTCCTTATTAATTAAACCCAAGTTACGTTCCATACACAAGTTTAGGAGGGCGAACTGAGGTGTTATTTGAAGATTAGTATCCCCACCCCCCAGAAAACTATGTTCCAGAAATCCTTAATTTTCTTACAGTCCCACCACATATGGAAATAAGTTCCAATTCAGGTGCAGTCCCTCCAGCCTTTTATCCTCCATTTATTCTGTGCTGATTCTGATTTGAAGGGTGATTTTATCCAGATGTCTCTCCAAGCCGATTTATCTGTTTGTATTTTAAAATCCTGTTCTCAGGCATCCTTTAAACCCTGTGTTATACATGTATCAATATTTATTAGAAGATATCCGGCACCTTCCTTAATAACTGTCTGGTTGCAGCTGCTTTTACAGCTGCTTTCGCTATGAATGATGAAATTTCATTCAAAATAACCATTTGTGATTTCTTGCAGAATGGTCACTACCAATTTCTTTGTTCAATGGAATATATATTTTTTATAAAAATTGCACATTCCGCAAAACTTTTCCACTTCCCAATCATTAATATACCATAAATATATCTTTATTATTAAAAGGAAGTGGTAAATCATGGGGATCATAGGGGAATATGCTGGCATTAATATTGTCACCTTACTCTACTAGATTTTAAAAACTGTTGATGTAAATTTGCTTATAATACAGTATATGTTCCTAAGTTTAGATTTTGAAAATGGATGAACTATTAAGGGAATTCTGTCTATCTCATACTGTTCTCAGTACACCCACTGTTTAGTGTTATCATCACCGATGTATAGGACCAGATGTTTAAACTGATGTGTCTCATAATACAGGGGAATATTCGGGATTATACATTCACCATGCAAGGACTGCTTATATAACAATGGTCTTTTAAGCCAGGGTTTCTTACATTGAAATATATAGTATTTTAATTTTCTCTGCCATAGGCAGAGCTGTTCCAGAAGGATCCAAATGGGTAATTATTGAATCAGATATGTCACAATCATTTCATAGCTTTTAGCTATGAGTCTATCCATCAATGAAAATTTCTTCTGGCTAACACTCTATTTTGTAATTTTATACCAAATAGGGCCAAATTTTTGAAAAAAGAGGTTTATTAAGGTTTTTAATATTTTGGATGCCAAAATATCTAAAATTATGATGGCATATGGGGATATTTAATTATTTAAAAACAAATGTTTTGGTGCTTCAGGGCTCAATGAAAATTCAAACTATAATTTCTTAGAATTTACTCAAGTCCTGCCACCATTTTAAATGCTTCTAATTCAGCAAGCAATGGTTACACGGCTTCTAGCGGTATCGCTGTGGTTATATCAATGTAATCAGTGTATAGTAATATATATATATTAATGTCCCTTACCCTGCACTGTATTTAAATGTTTGGATGACCTTATACTTTTATTGCCACAGATCACTTCCTGGTGGTGAGCAAAATCCTTCTCCAGCCAAAGAGGGCCCATAGCACAAAGCAGAAAGGGTGGCCTCAAATCAACACTCCCAGAACAGCCATACCTAAACTTTGTGAATGGTTCTCTGATTCCATTGAACAAGCTCTACTTAACTGCCCCAGTGTCGAAGCAAGGTGGAACCACATCAAAGAGGCTAGCTATAACACGGCTATGCCTTCTTTTGACAAAAGAGAGCAGCAGTTCGCCAACTGGTTTGAAGCCAGCATTAAGGATTTAGAATAGAACCCTGTCTCCGGTAACAAGTCACTGTTCAGGGTGTCATTGAAAAAGTGATGCAGGTGGGGAACTAAAATATCTTTAAACTTTTTGTAAAATAACCCTGGTACCTGGCAACTTGTTAAGCTGCGTAATATAGCTTCTACAGTCAAACCTGATCCCGAACGCCTCCATTTTGGAACGTTTCAGCTCCCTAACGCCAAAAATCCGGAAGTAAATGCTCCAGTTTTCAAATGTTTTTCAGAAGCCGAATGTCCGACGCAGTTTCCGCTTGAGTGCAGGAAACTCCTGAAACCAATTGGAAGCTGTGCCTCAGTTGTCGAACATTTCAGAAGCCGAACGAGCTTCCGGAACGGATTACGTTCCACAACTGAGGTTTGATTGTACAACCTCAACAACTGTTATTTGCACATATAAGGAGCTACTAGTTTCTTATTCCAGCAGAGAAAGTTCCACAGACTAGCGCTGGATACAACCTGTTGCCCGTATAGGGCATTTGTACAAACTGCAAGAGATCTTATTCCGCACCAAATCACAGAAGGACAAAGAATCAATGGCCACTCTCTTTGAAAGTATGAACATTAGCCATTATTTGGATTGATCTCTAGCACCAACTGAAACACAAGGGCTGCCTTGTAAGGCAAAGGACAGAAGCTACCCCCTAATGCCATATCCCCCTAATGGGACTTGTGAAGACATTTCAGAAGGCCAAATATAGGAGCAAAAAACCTAAACAGCTGCATTTTGATTTCTCAAGCATACGAAACCAAAAGAGCTTCTTCACATTATGGCTCTCTGGGGATTAGAACTCAAATAATGCATAAAAAGAGAGAGGAGAGGCTGACCAGATGCTCACTTACGTGTTTAAACGAGCCATGAGGTGCTGCTGTTGCTCCTGTATCTTCCAAATACTCCTCCCAATTGAATTCTGCTTCTTCCACACCTGATCCTGCATCTGTAATAAGCCAGAAAAAACACACAGTAGCTTTTAGGAGAAATACCGGTTTGCTACTTTAAATTCCTTACTTGTGAAGGGGTTGCTTTGGAAATACACTAAATGAGTATATTAAAAAGCCAGATGGACACCTTGTTTGTTAATACAGGTTTAGGGAACCTAATAAAACTATGCAAATATTCTGATGTATAATGCAACCAGAGATAAGGATGTCAACAAATTCCAGAATACTGGGAGTGGGAGACTACTTAAGATTGTACAAAGTACAGTGAGAAATTTGACGCAACAGATGCCACCTGTCTTGATCCAAGCCACTTATGTTAGCAGCCAGTGTGAATTACTGAAGTCCCCATGTTGATTTGGTGTCCTTGACACCCAAGATGTACTGAGGGTACTTCGGTAAGAAAAACCACTTGAAGAGGTACAACACGTATCAAAAGTAATTGGAATTCTGTGAAAAATAGGAACTATCTGCATGTTAAATTGGCTGAAAGCTCAGCCAAAAACACGGAACAGCAATCAAGAAAATGGCAGGAGGAAAAAAAAGAACATTACAGTAAAAGCTTAGGTGGTGGTCACTAAGCAACTTGCAAATACATGAGGAGAGGGCAGCAGCTCCTTCACAAACACATTTGATTTGTGACTTATGTCTGTAAGTAGTACACCCTTGATTTAATATGTGACAGGATCAATCCTTAAACAGATATATAGCTCACAAGGCCTGGCTGGGCTCTCTTTCCTTAACAGCTATATGTAACGCTCTCCACTCCAAAAGTAATGACTCACGGATGAGTAGATGGACTTCATTACCTAAGCTCAGACTGACTATAAGTTGGTGTCAGATTTTGCAGTTACCACTTCAATTTGTGTAGCTAGTTTGCTCTCACCAAAGAATAACTTCTGTCATGATTTTAAATGCACTTAGACATCTTATATACAGCAGGTCAGGTGTGTGCTGAGGTGTCTATATGGGAAAGATGGGTGGTATTTTACAGCACAATCTTACACCCCCACCCCCACCCAGTAACAGAACTCAATTTTTTAAAAAATACATTTTGTTATATGAAATCAGATCTGAATTTGAGAGATCATAAACTCCTGCTTTTGCTTATTCCTTTTGTTTTTGAGCCAACACACTAGTCCCCAATCAGTATTACACTAACATTCTGGATACCTGAATTGATTTCTATGGGGCGCCAATCACTTCCCCATTAGGGAAGACCAACATAAAAGGCTTAAAAACAAGCCAAGAAGCTCCTTCTCTAAACAGAGGGAGTTTCACTCTAGACTTCTCTTTGCATAACTGGCTAGAGCTGCTTTCCTAAATGTCAGTCACTGCTATGACTTCATTCATTGGTTATCAACGCTGAGAAGACAGGAGTAGGCCAGCTTTCCACAAACAAATGAGACTGTATGTTTTGCTTCACCTCCATAAATGCCAGAAACATTTTGTTTAATGGAATCTGAGAGTCGTGGCTCATGTGGGTGGCAACTGCTCCCTCACAGACACCTATAGGGACCAGGTGGGCCTATGAGCATTCTCTAACATTACCCTGCACTGTGTGCCTTTTCCTGCCCCTTTGAGCAACTTGTGCTCATAAAATAGTGACTATTTTATGTATAAGTGGGTCCTGCCTGGAGGTGTGGCTGAAGATTGGCAGGAGAGGTGTTGTTGTAGCTGTGCCACTGGGGTGGATGGAAGGGGGGGCCTTGGGAGTCGTATGCCGCGTATGAGCATGCAGAGGGTGTACCCCCATCGTTGAGAGTTCATGCTCTGCTTCTGGATGGGTAGCATGTGGGCATCATTGCCAGCATAGGCACTGATGGGTGGGCTATGGCGGCATTTCCAGAGACAATGAACGTTTCTCGCTTTTATGCTTTTTTGTACTTTCTCCCCCATCTCCTCTTTGGCTGAGCATACACTGGAAACTGCACAGCTGATGTAGCAGTAGCGTATCTCCTGTCCTGACACAATGAGAGTATAGGATTGCTCTGTTAGTACATAACCAGCTTCACATATAATTCCTTTGTGTAGCCTGAAGTCTCCTTAATTGCATCTTATGTAACTGAAAAATATGCATACTTGTCAGAGAAGAATTTCAGGAAACTCTCTGTCAAGTTTGCAAATTCAAAGGCATGTTGTAGTAAGAAATTAAGCTGCATGTTATTATTTATAATACCTGGGCAGTAAACACTGGGTTGGGCTGGTTATGAAATGCAGAACAGCAATAGTACTGCCAATGCCGTACTCAATTCTTTAAGGACTAACTCTTCCTCTCACAGGAAGTGAAGTGGGTAGGGAAAAAGCCAAATTTGAACATTAATGAAAGATTCTAACACTTCCAAGTCTCTATTTATGGCAGATTGCATCACCCACATTCAATATACTGCATGCAATGTTACTCGCTTTGTCAGCATATTTATTCCTTGAAAGAGAAAAGGCCACGCACTCTCAAAATGTACAGCTCACAGCATTTGAGGCCACAGAATATGAAACCACAATAAGCATTAGCAAAGTTCCACATTCTGTACTTACGTGTGGTTTGTGATTATATCAAGAAGAATCACACAATTCAAGCTCTTATGTGAGAGAGCTCATCACCTATGCTCCATCTAAACAAGTTCTGTGAAGTGGGCATAAACTTTAAGAATAATTTCTGCAAATTCACAGAAGCGATAGCTGTAAACTCTATACTTGTTTAAAATGCGGCAGCAGGAGGACGGAAATGAAAACGAAAACACACTGGCTGGGTTTAGACATGACAGAACAATGAGTTGTGGTTTATGCACAAGCCTTGGGCTTGTGTGCCCATCCCCTCCCTGTTCCGCTCTAGCGTGAGGAGATAAGCTTTTGCTTCCACCTGCAGAAACACAAATTATCTCTAAACCCTAAACTCTGGTTTATCACAACTATGGTTAGTTGAGACAAGCCAGCTTTGCAACCCATGGTTAGAAGATGGCTTGTTTCAAATACCTATAATTAAGATGAACCACAATTGTTTGGCTTCTGACTCAATGATAAACTGGCTAGTCTACATCAGAATCAAAGCTTCCAAACTCACCCTCCAAGTCATCGTGGAGAAAAAGAGGTGAAGGAAGAAGTATGTGAGCCCAGAGGGAGGCTGGGCTCATTCTTTTAATGATAAGCCTTTATTATGCTGTACCAAAATGTGGCCATATAGCCACAGCAAGCCAGAGGTGAGGCACAAGGAAACTCTGCATGAGAGGAGAAGCTGTTTAGATCAGCTGCTGCTGAAAGATGCTTTTGAGAGCTACAGGCACACTGCAATGTTAACACAAGTGCAGAACACACATAACTGAAGAGGAACTTCAGCAATGGTCTTCATAGCCCCTGCCTTTGAACTTTAAAGCAACTTTACCCATGGCTTATCTTTTTAATCATCTGTGTCGCAAGTATGCAAAACAAGGTTAATTTGTCCAGAATAGATTTACAACTGAGAAGATACCTGTTGGAACCCCAGGTGCCATAATTGCAGTACCTGTCTCATGCTGCTGTTCTCCATTCATCTCCACAGCAATCTGGCAATAATCCTTGGGAGCAGGAAGTTAGAGAAAGCCAACCAGTCACTGCCTTGATCTCATCTGCTCTCAGTGTCTTCGCTTCTACAGGCTTCCAGGATGATCAGACAAACACTGCAGAGGAAAAAATTTAAACGTGTTTTTGTTTGTTTATAACTCCGGAACAACTAAACGTCTCCTTCTTACATTTGTGGAATAAGAACACATTTTAGGGAAAAAACAGAGGCCACATCTATTCCACTTCCAAAAGGCCTCCAATTTTAAATACAATGTAGAATTATCTTTATAGACATGCTGTGATATATTGCCCATGCCTGAAAATGGCAAAAAAGCAGGGTTAAAACAAGTTGATTATTGCTGTGAACAGGAATCATTTCACTTACATACATCTTTCTCTTGCCTACTGTACATAAATAACATCTCACATCTATTCTGAATTTTCATGTGCCACTAGAGTTCTGACTAGATTGTATAAAGCAGTTTTATTATAGACAGAACTCAAGTGGTGGTACAAATAAAATGCTTTTTACGTGAGTAACATCCACTGTATCTTTAATATCTGTCAAATTTTTGTATGAGGAAATCTGAAAATAATTCTAATGTCTCTGATATAGAGAAATGGCTTTAATTTGCTCTGTAAAACAGCATGTATATTTTCAGCAATATACAAGTAGTGTGGTTATTAGCAATAAAGAATACTTTGCCAATGATACTTTCCTGGCAATAAGGCCTTTTGCAAAACTGTGTGCATTTCTCTTAGCAGAGATATGCCAGAACTGCTCAGTTAGCCCTTTTCAGAGAGAGAGAGAGAGAGAGAGAGAGAGAGAGAGAGAGAGACCCCTCTCTTTTTAGGCAGGTCTTCTGAGTTGTAGAATCCTGCAAATTGTTTTTTGTTGCTGAATTCTTCATGAAATTCATATTGTGCTAATAGCTAAGCTTGAAAAGCATACAACAAACCCATAAAATTAATACATATTTAAAGAGCCAAAATATCTTAACCCAATGAAATTATAGTTTCAACACCTAGAACAGAAATACTCAACTTGCTTTTATTCTGCTCTTTTAATTATGCATTCAATCCCCATCATAACAAAAATATAAGATATAGAAATCTGGAATGCTATGACAGGTACAACATCATATTAATCTCTGCTACTCTCAAATTATCCTTCAAGATCCTATTAAGCGGGATTGCCTCCAAACGACTCTTAAGCACCACCTGCTTTTGGAGTTCCCTGATAACATCAAGGAACACTGGACCAAGCTAAAACATCCATTACTGCAGCCTGTGAACAAACTATTGGATACCAAACCAAAAAACACCAGGACTGGTTTGATGAGAATGACAGTGAGATTGAATGCATTATTGACAAGAAAAGGAAGGACTTTCAGATCTGGCAAAGAGACAGAAACTGTGCCACTAAGAAAAAAAACCCAAACCATGCCTACACTAAGGCTGAGGTTCAAAGAAGAACCAGAGGACTAAAGAACTCCCAGTGGATAAACAAGTTCGAGAGAACCAGCACTTAGTCGACACTCATGATGCACAGAGTTTCTTTAAAGCCACAAAGACCATCTATGGGCCAATAAATCATAGCATATGCCCCCTACGCTCAACAGACGGTACCACACTTCAAAAAGATAAAGAAGCTATTGCACTGCGTTGGAAAGAACATTACCAGCATCTCCTTAACTGCAACTCCCCCATAGCTGCCGAGGTCTTCTCACAAATCCCGCAAAAACAAATTAGAGATGAGCTTGCAGTATCTTCAAATCTGGGAGAGTTGTGTACAGCTATTAACCAAATGAAAAACAACAAAGCCTGTAGACCTGATGGGATACCTGCTGAAGTCTTCAAAGTGGGCAGAATTGAACTTACACAACAACCACACAATCTCATCAAAAAAATCTGGGAGAGACAGGAGATCCCAGCAGACTTTAGGGATGCCAAGATTATCAATCTCTTTTTAAATACGTGATAGAATGGATTGCAGAAACTATTGAGGCATCTCTTTATTAGCTGCAGCTGGCAAAATTCTTGCAAGGATCTTAGCAAACCATCTCCTAACTATATCTGAGGCTACCCTTCCTGAATCCCAAAATGATTTTTGAACTTCTAGGGGACAGTGGACATGATTTTCACTTCTCAACAGCTTCAGGAAAAATGCAGAGAGCAAAACCAACACCTGTATATGGCGCTTATTGACCTAAGGCCTTCAACACTGTAAATCGTACTGCTCTGTGGACTGTCCTTCTGAAAATTGGCTGCCCAGATAAATTAGTGAACATCCTTCGGCTCCTCCACAATAATATGATAGCAACAATCGCAGATAATAGTGGCTCTCGAAGTGAACCATTCACAGTAGAATCAGGTTTTAAACAGGGATGTCTTATCACCCCAACTCTATTTATTATTTTCATTGCCATGATCCTACACATTGTCAAAGGAAATCATATATCAAACAGATGGAAAGCTCTTTAACTTGAGTAGGTTGAAAGCAAAGAGTAAGGGTACCACAACTTTCGTCATAGAGCTTCAATATGCTGATGACAACATAGTGTGTGCACACTCAAGAGGATAACCTCCAAACCATCCTAAATATCTTCGCAGAAGCTTATGGAAGGCTCAACATCCAAAAGACTAAAGCACTGCACCAACAAGCATGTTATTTTAAAGCAGGGGATCTCCAGATGTGGCAGATAGGTGTGTGAGTCCTACAATCTATGGAGAGTCACAAGTTCCTTGCACCCAGGTTCTAAAATGCATTATATAAGGGATTTTATTTTATTTTATTTTATTTTATTTTATTTATTTGTTGAAACAGACTCCTTTAGGAGGTTGTGGACTCTCCTTCACTGAAGGTTTTTAAGCAGAGATTGGACAGCCATCTGTCATGGATGCTTTAGCTGAGATTCCTGCATTGCAGGGGGTTGAACTAGATGACCCTCGGGTCCCTTCCAACCTAAGTTCCTCTGATTTATAATCCATACTTTCATAAAAGCTACTGCTTTCAGTTTTGGTTTCCATTAAGTAGTTTTTCTGCTGCTGGATTCTTTCTACTGCTCTTTGTATTGTTTGTTAATTTGGGTTTATATTGCTTTATTGCAATTCATTTTATGACTGTTGTTAGCTGCCTACAGATTCCAGAAGAGCAGAATACAAATTTGGATATGGTATTAAGAACCCTGAAGCAAGTAAGGCCTGGAAGCACTGGCCAAAGAAAAGGCATGGCACCAGAAGTTGTTTCTGTTTTCATGTCAATAGAGCCAACATTAAAACTTGTTTATACCGTATAGAGCAGGTATAAACAAACTCCGGCCCTCCAGATGTTTTGAGACTACAGTTCCCATCATCCCTGACCACTGGTCGTGTTAGCTAGGGATGATGGAAGTTGTAGTCCCAAAACAGCTGGAGGACCGGAGTTTGCCTATGCTTGGTATAGACTTCCCAAAATTTACTCCCTAATTGTGCCTAATTTGGTCTCAACTCAGCCAAAGATGGAAATATCTAGGGTGATATTCACCATAGAGTTAAGTAGTGCTATGCGTTCTGCTGCACAATGGAACTTTCCCTCCCTTCCCCATGTGCCCCCTGTATCTGTTCTGGGCTCCCCACAGCCTTCTGGGAGGCAGATTTGGGGATAGAGCAGGCCATGCAAGGGGGAGAAGGAGGGGGAAAGTCACATTGCACAAGCAGAAGTTGTTCTGCTCACACTTTTTAAAAAGTTGAATACTGCCTCTAGTCTAGCATTTTCTTATTTTATGATTCACAAATTTGGTATAGCAAAAGGGCAACTGAGTATGTGGCTAAAGGCTAAATCTTATAAGCAAAGCAACATGCAGGACTGGATGTAGGACCTACTGCAGCAATGCAACATTCGCAATGATGCCTTCATTGCCCTGAGCACAACAGCTTTGATTATCACTGAACATACACAGGCGCAGGTATTTTGCAGCCCTGCACACAACACCTAATACAGCAAAGGAAAAGGTATGGAAAGCATATCCATCCCCAGAAGCATCGCTTACAACTAAAAATACAATGTCAGTGCCTAGAATTCGAAAGATGTTTCCAACCACACAAGGTACACTTTCATCTTTGCAACTATCTATATACCTGAAAAACCAGGTTGCTTTGATTTTTTTCCTCTTCTGCTTGAACTTAACTACCTAATTGTCAGCCCAACTGAATAAATGAATTCAAGTTTCCCGAGACAGTTCTGTGTTAGGCTGATCATAGAGCAAACATGGGAAGTAATTACAGTGGCAATAATAAAAAGTAACCTCTCTCTTTTCAAGAGTGAACTTCAAGAAAGCAGAACGGATTTAAAAGTACTTAAAAGCAAGACTTGACCAAATGTGTTTTTAAGTTCTAAATTTTAACACCGACAATAATGTCACTTTGATATTTACATGCCACTGTAAGTATGAATGAAATTATAGGTTTTTCATAGCAAAGTGTCGTGCTGTGAGCCTCTGACTAGAGTGCATTGAAAAGTTAACCCCGATAAAACTGACTACACATGCTAGTCTAGGTAAAAAAGAAAAGAAAAATCTTTATTTGGAATGTATATTATTGTGCACATTCTTGTTGCGTAGTAAGATAATCATTAATTACCATGAACGACAACAAGGCTAAAAAACTCAACGTAGAGGTATTACATGGAAACAGGTCTATGTTCCAAAAGACATAGCCAAAGATTCTAGGAATGGGGTTTTTTCCCACCAAGGCAAAAAACAAAATTGATCTGTTTTCCTGTTACTCACAATACATATCTTGTAGATTCATCTCCTACGTACATCAGCAGATAATATGATTATTTTATAGTGTTTGCACCTAAATGTAGGACATTAATACAGCAACAACAACTTCCCATTACAATGTTCTGCATACTCCAACCCATATAATTTTACACCAGGTGTCTCCATATACAAGTTGCTGGATGATTGCTTGATGGGAAAGTTAAAACACATTTTGAGTGTTCCACTGGGAGTCTCAACTAGAGTTTACATTAGCTTCATAATCTTTTGAAAGAAAGAAAGAAAGAAAGAAAAATATGAGACTGCTTATATGGTATATTTGTGAACAAAACATTAATAGAAGGGTTCTGGGTTTTCTACTATTAAAATTAAAATTGGCCATTTAAACAGTTGGGCCTCAACGAATCTGGAAAGATGCCTGCATTTTACAATGGCAAGAGTTCGCGTTGAGTCCTCTGTTCCCATACAATTTGAAAGAGTTCTAGTTTATCATTTGTATTTGAAATACATTTTTAAAATGAGATTTGTAAAGCCATGTAAAATGCATTAATACAAAGAACTTTTTTAAAAGTGCTGTTTTAGAGTTAGGTTATCATCCGAGAGCTGTCTTTCTCACTCTCTCTTTAAACAGAAGTTGAGTCCTGAAAAGAACAGAAGAATCAGAGCAACAAGACTGGGAGAGTAGCATGGGGGCAAGGGGGCTTTAGCCCTTGGCCCATGCCATGGTCCCAAGCTAAACCCCTGATTCAGATTAGGGGCACAGAAGGGGCATATACCGTATTTTTTGCACCATAACACTCACATTTTTCCTCCTAGAAAGTAAGGGGAAATGTCTGTGCGTGTTATGGAGCGAATGCCTGCGGGTGGTGGTGGGGATCTGCTGTAGTCGTGAGCAGAGGATCCATGGTTCCCCTTCCTTCCCTGCTTTGGTTACAAAACATGGATCCAAATGGATCCTCAGGACTTTTGCATTGGGCTACTCCAAACTCACTGTCAGATCACATGTCTGTGCCCACAGCATGAACCACAAAAATCATATATCCACTATTTCGTTTAGAATATTTTTTTTCTTGTTTTCCTTCTCTAAAAACTACATGCGTGTTATGGTCTGGTGCGTGTTATAGAGCGAAAAATACGGTAGTTAAAGACCCTCCTCACCTAAGATCCCAATGTGCCTCTCCCCACACGAATGATTAAAAACACATTAATATACTAGCTGACAAGGCCAAATGACATCAACACCACATCATCATGTTTGGTCATCAGAAATGTTACACAGAAGAAATAGTGGGTGGTTGTTACGTTTTTTTGCCACAATAAGCAGACATAATCCTAAAACCAGAACGGTATCTCAAAAAGCACAGAGAATACTTTAGATCAGGTACTCTTACTTATTTCATAAAATCTATATCCCACTTGTCAAAAAAGCTCATGATGTTTACAAAAAGAATAAAAATAAAAATTAGTAGAAACAAAGCATTCAAACAATTAAAACCAGCAATAAACTAAATACACACCTGCATTCTAGATACCTGCAGAATCCTGTCTAAACACAAACAGAATATAGTGACGCCACCTGCCTGATATCACTGGGCAGGGAAACAAGTATTATGTGGCACCTGTAACAGTTCCAGTTCCGCAGATCAAAGCAGTTGATATATTGGGCATATATTGATTGGGTAAAGCGAGCTTACACGTAAACTGGCCACCAGTTGTAAAGGGCTTTGTATATTAATATTTATTTTTTTAAAAATATTAGCAGGGCGTAGAGAGAAGTCCAGTTAATCAGTAGAGAAAGCAGGGCGGAATCTGAAATATGGACTCTTAAGAGGTGGAGACAAAAGGACAGCAGTAGGTATAATGTGGAAAGATACCATGAGAAGCATCTTTCTATCTCTGAAGTCCTCCAGATGTTCGCCAAAGGCAAAGGACTTCATACAATGCAAATCCAGTCTCACTCCTTGCAAATGATTCGACAGATCAGGGCGAAGGCAAGTCAAAGGCTTAAGAGTAGTGCATTTACTTGTGATGCTGGAATTCCCCAGAAAGGAAGAGCTAGAATGTTCTGTGACAGTTGACGGAGGCCAGGAATGGGGGAGGGGCATCTAGCTAGGAGCCTGGCGGATGTGGCTAAAATCCAGCTTATTTTCAGTGCCCTAGTAATCAGGCCCTGGTACAAATAAACCCAGCCTTGCCTGAACAAATCAAGCCCCTTTGGTTGTAATTTAAGCCTTTAAAAACACAGTATAGTCTAAAACGTGAGCACCTCATATTTACTAACCAGCTCAAATGCCGTTTCAGCTGTCCACATTTCATAAGTTAGAGATGGGGAGACTGCAAGCTTGCAGGGCGACTTTGTTCTTTAGTAGAACCCAGAGATCTACCAACTACCCCATTTAGTTGGATCTGCTTTGGATCTGAATTGATTTTATATATGTGTGTTGCTGTTTTAAAAATTGTTATATATGTGTGTGTGCTTATCCAAACTGGTTTTATATAGAGAAATGTTTTAGCTGCTTTTTTATGTGTGATTGTTCTGTGTATGTTTTTATTGTAAATTGCTCAGGGATGGCTTCTGGGAAGTAATTAAAAAATGAAATAAGTATTAAAAAGAAGATTCTTATGCAGAATACACCCTTAGCATTTAAGCCCAGGAATTTGTGTTGACCATGACTACTAAATAGAGCTCAAAGTTCTTCCAGAGAAAAATCTTTCTTAATTTCAGCAGGATAATTAATTCAGGGCGGGGTAGGGGAGTAATTCTGCTGCTGCTATTGTTAAATAATCAAGTTCTATAGCTAGAAATCCTTGTTTATCTCCTGCATATCAGCCAGACATCTACCAGTAGATCTGTATCCACCCCTCTCACCATCCCTGATTGAATTATGCTTACTTTAAGCAATTTGACATTGCTTTTTCTGTACAACTCTGAGGAATAAAATGCCTGAGTGTTGCTAACTTACTCAAAGATGTCCTGGTATGCTATTGTGATTTTAATACTATGCCTAAGGTTTCTATGCAATTTTCAGCTCTTAGACTCAGAAGTCCTGATTTGCAGTTACTCTGAGCAGGAACGCAGCCCAAAAATAGAATTCCTTATTTAGGATTTTTTTAATGCAATGAATATAAAATAAAAGGAGGAAAAGGAGGAGAATCAAGATTAAAAACCGAGGCAGTATTTTATTCCTTAGTATGTATAGCTTTTATTTACACTGCAAGTTGGAGGAAGCTTATCCCATGGAAGAAAACCATTGTACTGTCCATGGACTGCAATGCATTCTTGGTTTACTGTTTGCAAGATTCCACTTCCCCATCCCTTTATTTAAACATATGAGCAATGGATAAATTGAAGCACTTCTTTAAAAAGACTTAAAATGAATGACTAGATTTTCAAAACTTTCAAATAATTTAAGCAGCTTCTGCTGAGTGCTTTACAGTCAAATATCTGAACATTCATTTAGCCAGCTAAATGCTGGCTTTAGATTTTAAATGCCAGGCTCCCTGTTTTTGAACACATGTTCCTCAACAATGAAGGGGGAAAAATACTGAGTACATTTATGGTCCATTTCTGCAGTTTTAGTGTTTATTTCAAATTGATGTTCCTGAACAGGAAATGTTCTTCAAATTATATCCTCATCTCATTCTGCTATTTATTCCTACAGCACTAAGGCACCACTCAGGTGTAACCCTGCTGCTATGAAAATGCTGCAACACTGCAAAAATAATTTAGGGAAGGAAATCACCAAAGAACTTGTTAGGCAAGCAATTCCATTACTCATAGCTAAAATGGAATCGGGAAGAACAAATGTTAGATAAAACCCTTGCAAAACAAGGTGCTCTTTGAAGGTTTTTAATGGGGCTGGCAACTCTGTAGTTGCTGCATTTACTACCAGACACATATTTTGTATAAAAGATAGGTTCCAGCAAACACAACAGTAAGCACTTTAGAAATCAAAATGGCAAAGATTGCAGTCAGTTTTATCACAGCAAATTATAAGCAGATATATAAGTGGGAGGAGGTAGCGACCGCGTGGAAACACCGTAACAGACAGGCCTTCTAAAAATGTGAAAGGTTATGCTGATTTGAATGGAAAACATAAGCAGCAGCAGAAATGAGGAAAAGGACCAAATACTTGAAAGGGATTCAGGTCTGTTGTATTGGGGGGAGGGGGGAGTTACAGTTCCAGGGAACGTGAACTCAATTTGATGTCATTTGGTTCTGTAACTGTGCAGAGTATCTGGAACCAAAGATTAAATGGCTTCACATTTTCCCTGCAGCTGATGAAATTCTGTGGGCAATCCATTCTGACTGCAGTATTCGATCACTCCCTCTACCCTGCATTTTTAACTTTAGATATGATATAAATTTTTCATTGCTTCTTACAACTGAAGCTAGACTTTAGCCTATCAAGTTAGTCCCCCTGAAGACAAGCTCTGTTACTCGTGTAAATAATTACTGGGTAAACTTGGAAATAGGGGGATGAGTAGATTTTAACTGATACAATGTCATATGAAAATAGGCGAGGAGAGAAGAAACAGTTGAGATCTGTACTACTGGAAATCCCCTTTAAAAAGGCCAGAGCGTTTTTAACCGACTGCATAGTGATTGTTAAGTTGGGCTGGAGACAACCTTCTTGTGGGCCCACCTAGTCATTCAGAAAGTTAGCAAGGCGTGCACAGAACCTTCTACTCAAAAGATTAAGTCACATCTCAATAGAAAGCAGTGGACATGCATTTTTATCATCACAAGTTAGAAGTAAGGCAGACAATAAAGAATTCCTTTTCCAACTTGTTCAGGGCACCTTGATTTACTTTCAAACTGACCTAACATGGGAATCCCCCTCGTCATTATATTTGGCTTGCCTACTTCCATTCCCTACTTCTGTTTAGCTTCAGGGTCTATTTACATCACCACTTATCACAAGATTGCAAGCACTTCGGTTAAAAAAAGATCTCCTCCCCCAAATTAACAAGTTGGATGGTAACTGATGTTAGTCATACTCAGAGTAGACACACTGAAATCAATAAACTTCTTCCAAGCTGCTGGAAAACAGCTGGCACCATATAAGGGGCATTCAAAAATACCCATTCACCACACAAAAACAGATACATTACAGTCATCTGATAGTGACATGACCATGTTGAAAGCAAACATGTGAAACGTGTACTCAAATGTTCTAAATTTACTGAAAGAAAGTTGAAAAGACAGAAAACTATTTTTGTTAGCTGCCTTAGTGGTTCTGAAAAGCTCCAAGTAAGTCACAGGAATTCCACCCCGCCCCCAGCACGATCATTTCTGTCATTTGATTTACAAAGCTCTGCCCTTTATTTATAGATGTGGTATTTGCTCCATAATAACTGATTAGTAAAGGCTGCAAATGAGCATCACTGTGTGCACGTGTGAGAGATGCACAATGAGACAGCAGTATCAAAAGCTGGATTTAAATAATATTCAAATGAGGCAATCTGCACACCCTCCCCCACCCCCATTCTTCACCTGAATTTTAATTCTGCAGCACTTGCAATTTTATGCATTGTGTCAGTACAAGAGAAAGTGAATGCAAGCTACTTCTGGGCACATTCATTTTTTATCAACCATACAACATGTCAACAAACTAAGAAAGGTCAAAATGATCAGTGTTATCCTTACCATTTTTTAAATAAATAAATAAAATTATATCCTGCCCTTTCTTCCAAGGGAGCCTAGGGCAACAAACAATTCTTTGATAAAAAAAAACCAAGCAAACAATTTAAAAGTATAAAAATGTATTTAAAACATTTAAAAGCTGTTAAGGATACACCTAAAAACAATTAAGCACTTAAAACAAATTTAAAACAAGTGTAACCAAATCACGTGTCTGGATAGGACAACTGAAACAGAAATGTTTTCAGCAAGCTTTTCAAAGAGTAGTTTGGCCATCAACTATTCCGTAATATTGAAGGAAGAAAAATTAAAGGTGCAACATCATGACATATAGCTATTGGTCAGTACTATAGTAATGGGGAGAGGTGCATTCTGGGTCATTGTGCACGTTGGCGGAGTGTGCAAAAGCCCAGCACGCCCGGCCTGGCTCCCATTCCACCACCTTCCGGGTCCAAAATGACCCACCTCAACTGAACACACACGAAATGCAATCAGTACTGAGTTGCTAGCCAGTTGCATATCACCTATATGTTGAGGTTCTTTAAAAATTATGCACAGCAACGCAACTGCTAGTGCAATTGCTGTTTCATGGCAACATTGTAAGCTGTCATACACCAAGTCAGATCGCTGGCCATCTAGCTGACTATTATCCCCAGAGATCACCAGCATCTCTCCAGGGTTTCAGACATGTTACTAAACCTGGGACCTGACATAGCATGTGCTCAACCACTAAACTAAGCCTTTCACCCAATAAAGCTACATTAGAACCGCAACAGCCCCATGTCATACCCATACTACCACATCTTGTTGCACATGAATTGTTTTTCTCCATGTTCCTCTCTAGCTTCTTTGTGGCTCACCTTCATACATTGGATGAAAATATATATACATACAAAGATACAGTTGCAAAAAGGGAAAAAGCTAGGCTGTGGGCCTTATCTGTAAGCAAATCTATTCATGAATGACACCTTGCTCCAAAACTCCTCATGACCACTCTGAAGAGCTTCACTCACCCATGACTACTTTCTGAACATGACGTTAAAGATAAGAGTAAGTGTCCCATCCCACAGAGTTGGTCCAGGAGGATACCATGGTCAATGATGTTAAAAGCCACTTGAGGGGGTCAAGCAGAAATAATACAGTTGCACTCCCTGGCTCTCTCTTTCTCAATAAAGCTCATCCATCTGGTGGACCAATGCCGGGTCTGTTCCCATATTGTAGTGGACCTAGGTAATCAGTCTCATCCAAGAATACTTGCTGTTGCTTCATAACCATCCTTTCCACCCTTTCACCAAGAAAGGGGTGTTGGTGACCAGCCTACAGTAATTACACTCCACTGGGTCTAGAGCAGGCGTCCTCAACCTCGGCCTTCCAGATGTTTTGAGACTACAATTCCCAGCATCCCTGACCACTGGTCCTGCTAGCTAGGGATCATGGGAGTTGTAGGCCAAAAACATCTGGAGGGCCGAGGTTGAGGAAGCCTGGTCTAGAGTGAGCTTTTAAAGAAGTGAACACTACACAGCCTCTTTAAGGACAAAGGCAACACTCCCATCATGCAAGGCTGTGTTTATCACCCATTCCGTCACCCCACTCTGGCTAGCTTTCATAAGGCAAGATGCACAAGGGTCTAACTAGCAGGTGGTCAAGTACATCACAAGCAGGTGGTCAAGTATCCTGTTCACATCATCAGGGCACATTAACTGGAACTGATCCCACAATAATGGCCTCGACATTGCATTGGACCTTGGCTGGCACTGCCACAACACCAGCATCTAAATCACTGCAGAGTCGAGTGACTGTATCCTGAAAGAGTTTAGCCATTTGGTTACAGTTAGTCACCATTTGCTCCAGAGGTTTGCCCCCTGGGTCAAGTTAAGCAATCTCCCAGCCACGCAATGCAACTCCACCAAGCAGTTCCTTGAGAATGCTATGGAGACACAACCTCCCACAGCCACTTAGTAGGCTTGATTATGAGCCTGAAGATGTACTCAGTTGGCTCTGCAGCAAGATCTACGTCACCTATACTCCAGCCTGGCAGATACTGCAACTTTTGAGGCACTTTCACACCCATGCTGTTGGGAGCGTTTCAATCCGAAACACTCGCATCGACATCAGATGAGCATTATTCCTTTCTATGACATGCTTCTGACACTTTTATGAACACTCTTAAGAGCTGTTGTCATTAAATTGTCAGGCAAGTGTTAGGAAGAGTGCAATGTTCACATGACCACCTCAACCCAGGCTGCAGGCTTTCAACTGCCATTCATGTCAACATCTTAATGCCTACACTTGCAGTTCCCCCCACCCCCACCCTGCAAATACAATGCCAAAGCATGGAACACCAAATATTGGAAGAGAAGTGAAAGCCTACCTAAAGCCTGAAAATAATTCATTGCGAAGTCATGATTGCTAGACTTGCCAATATAAACTTCTGAGGTTACCGGTAAACAAAGTTCCTCCAAAAGGTGGCAAAGTCAGAGATAACTTTGGAAAAGATGGGATGAGGGCAGGCTTGAGCCCCATATGATATGGAACTTTCATGGGTGAAGGCTATGAAACAGGAGCACGAGTACTGGCTTGATGCAGTGTTTTCCACCCCCTTAAGACAAAAGACAAGACCAGTAGCAACAGAGTTGGTAAGATTTTCCTTTCCCTAGCATAGGTGGGGGGCAAGCGGGGTGCACAATGCTGTGGCATCTTTTTGAGTGCGGCTCCCAAACCTTAATAGTTCGTATTTAATATATTGTTTTACCAGTACATTGCTTCCTCTATGATGCTGTCCCTCTTTAGGCTCCTAGAAAGCCAATCGATAGGTGTGTTTTCATTTATTTGTATTTACTTCAACAGTTTATATATTGCTTAATTACCACAGTCTCTAAGCAATTCACAAGAAAGGCTTAATTAGATTGCAACCGGGCAGATAGTAGAGGGTGTACATATTCCAGAGACCCCAAACCTGCTAAATAGGAAACACTCTCGTGGTCTATGTTTAATAGAGAATAGCCAGTGGAAGCTTGCTGCTTTCTGACTACGTAGTCCAGTACTAGCTTTCCTTTCCAGACAAACTGGAGACGTTTGAAAGCAAGGTGCTGGGGGAGACACTTGAATGGCAGGGGGTTGTGCTTCCTTGGCCACAGTGCACCTTGTTCTATCAAAGAGGTATTTTAAGAGTGAATGTTCTATACTCAGTGTTAGGGTTGATATAGAGTACATTCCTCTGTCAGGTACAGCAAACCTGAAAATGCCATGCAGACATTTACTAACGGAGCTAGCTGGGCAGACACTTATCTATGCTGGTGCAAAAGTATAGGCTGATTTTCAACGTTTTGCACTGCGCCCCACTAGATCCAGATCAGTGGCACTCACTTCTTCTTATTATAGTTTGTTAACTGCAATGCTCAGAATAACAAAGCATTTTAAATGTCCTTTATCAATGTTATGTTGAGATGGGTCAGTCCTCAAAGCTCAAGAAAAGCTTCATCTCCTCTCTGGTTAGTAGAAATCTACAATGAACAGAAAATGCAATACATCCAGAGAGCTCTTTTCATTGTTTTCAATGGAGTGGGGAAAGGAAGATACAGAGGGAAGGGTTCTATACAGTCTATAAACAGCTCTGATCCATTACACAACATGTGCATGTGCTGCCTATCAGTTGTCCATTTGCCTGATCAGGCACCGCATGAGTGATTAAGCATTACAGCAGGCAAACTTAACCTTTCTCAGGCCAAGGGCCACATGGAGGGAATGTCAAGTTGCTGAAAGTCAAAATAGGCATGGCCAATTTTTTAAATAATAAAAAAAGACAAATGGGGGCGGGGCTGGGAGACACACACACAATACAGTGGTACCTCGGGTTACAAACGCTTCAGGTTACATACGCTTCAGGTTACAGACTCTGCTAACCCAGAAATAGTGCTTCAGGTTAAGAACTTTGCTTCAGGATGAGAACAGAAATCGTGCTCCGGCGGCGCAGCAGCAGCAGCAGCAGGAGGTCCCATTAGCTAAAGTGGTGCTTCAGGTTAAGAACAGTTTCAGGTTAAGAACAGACCTCCGGAACGAATTAAGTACTTAACCCGAGGTACCACTGTATTTTGGTTTCACAGTGGAGTATCCATGGAACCAGTCAGTTAAAAAACCGAACACCTAGGTTTTTTTAAAAGAAAACAAGCCTGAAGACTACACTTTTTTGGGCACTGCAGTGAAGAGCCACCACGGTATTACAGGATCTATAGCTTACAAACTCTACTACCCATCCAGAGACTAGAATAATTATTTGCATGTTGTTAGTGATTTTTTTTAAAGTTTTATTTATAAATTTACCAAATTACAGGAAAAAAAGAAAAAGAACATTTTAAAAATTCTTCAGCAAGTTGTTAGTGATATATTGTGCAGTTGTTCTGACAATAATAAATGCCAGAAATAGCAGCTCCTGTTAAATGAAGTTATTACTATTTTTTGATAAAGAAGAAAAAAGCAGCAGCAGCACAATGGATATTTCCCCATCGTTCCTGCTATACGCTTGTACAAAAATGGCACTGGTTAACATGATCAATTCCTCACAAAACTTTAAAAAATGAGGTTGCTTGTGTTTTTTAACACACACACACACAGACAAGGCTTTATGTATGGCTCTCTGTACAGCCTGTGCATTAAGTCTAGGAAGCATAATTGAGAAATGAAGTACTGCCTAAGCATTAAATGGCTTTGAGTGACATGCTGTAGTTTGTTTAAAGTTGTGTGACTAAAATAAGTCTTCTGATCTGTAAACTGCAACAGCCATAGAGCTGCTTTAAAATTGGAATCTTTAAGATGTGCAAGAGCCAAGAAATAAAGTCTCGGCTCAATATGACAAAGCTGGAGTTGCTCCCAATCGCACCAATTAATAAAGTAGAGTACTTTAGATAGAAGGCAGCAGAATTTGTATCCTTTGCCTCCTGCCTTTCAGCAGCCAACAAGCCATCCACCAGCAGCTCTGCAATTTTCTTTCAGCTGTATGGGGTCCTCCGTGGGGACTTGCTTTATCAAAACTAGAAATACATTGGAATTGCCCTCTGTTTACTGTTCCATCAAGGAATGAGGAGGTAAAAAAAGAGATGTGGATATAGGATGGGAGATGCAGCAAGTCTAATAAAAGCTGGCTAATGTCTAGTTTCCGTACGTGCAGGGCATGGAAAGAATGCAGTTGATTTTGGTGGCGCAGGCGTGGAACTCTGCACACAACTTTGCATTGACTCCTCAAAATAAGCTTCCAGCTTTAGTAGTTTCCAACCAAGGAGTTATGGATTATCTATAATGCACCATTGTCCTAGAGCAGGCATGTCCAACAGGTAGATCACTGGACATCTGTGGTAGATCACTGGTAGAACACTGGCTCCCCCCAAAGAAGCTGAACAACTGTGGCTCCCCTAAAGAAAGCTCAACATTTTACCTCCTCCCTGAAAAAACTCAACAACTTTGACCCAAACCCCAAAAAAGGGAGTAGATCACTGCCAGTTTTTAACTCTGTGAGTCTCTTGGGAGTTGGCCACTCCTGTCCTAGAGTAACAATCGCTTTACAGCACTTTAGCTGCTGGTTTGTTTAATTAAAGGAGGGAAGTTGCAAGTTAGTGAGGGCCTCAAGTCAACTCTTCCTCCTCTTGAGATAAGCAAAGTTTTAGCATTGTCCCAACAACAACAGAAACCATTAGCCTGATGAGCACAGCCTAGTGCTTCTAGCAGCCTCACCAGTAAAACAGGTTATTGTACAATCCCTTAATTAATTAATTCATTCATTTCATCCCACCAGCAACAGCCGTGTACAATGATGAGATCCAGCATAAGGGCACAGTGAACTGTGAATGCCTCATGAGAGCAACCATGCCTATGCAACCAACACCCTAGGATTCTCCACCATTGTAAAAACATGGGCTGCTTGTTCACAAGGCAATTCTGAACTACAGTGGTACCCTGGTTCTCGAACTTAACCCGTTCCGGGAGTCTATTCAACTCCTGAAACCGTTCGAAAACCAAGGCTTCTGATTGGCTGCAGGAGCATTGGACATTTGGCTTCCGAAAATTGTTCGCAAAGCAGAACACTTACTTCCAGGTTTGCAGCGTTTGGGAGCTGATATGTTCAACAACTAAGCCGTTCGGGAACCAAGGTACCACTGTACTAGTTTAATTAACAGTTGCTTAAACAGATCCTTACATGCAAACCCTACAATGAAGAGGACAGGAGCCCTCCAGCAATTGTCAGCTATTGGTGTGAAAGAACAAAAGTCCCTAACCATCATACTATAAAAGGAGTTTCAGATGTTTAGCATTAATATATTGGAAGTATATTCCTCTGGTTTGGGAAAATATAGCTATAAAATGAGAGAAGGAACTAGAGTTATATTATAAATGAAACTAAATTAGACTAGCAAAGAGCTATTCTCAAAGCACTTTTGCTGTATAAACACCTCCATCTTATTCAATGGCCTGGTTTATACATCACACTAAGCCAAGTCATGCATGAAGAACACCTGTCCCTAAAGTATATTTTTGGTCTACAATTTTCTTGCCGTGGCAAGTACTTAGTCTTTGGCTTCTTCCCAACTGGGGGGGGGGGGATTCAATTTGTCTCTGACCCCAAAGTTGTAGTAAGGAAGCCTAGGATTTGCTTATGGGTTCTGCCAAACCCAGAACCAAAGCAAGTCTCTACACTCCTTCCAGCTTTAAGATGGAGGGGAATTGGGGCTTTTTTCCAGATTGCATCAAATCTACCACTTCTCATCTTATCAGGCTAGAGCAGGGAGCAGGGGTTAGTCTCTGGTCTCATGCTGTGTTTTGGAGATGCAGGACAAAGTCAGAGACAAGACCCACATATGGGTAGGCATATTTTTTTTTGGTTAGCCACCAAGGGTAGGCAACATATGTGTACCTCCATATTTGTTACTTAGAAATGACAATCTAATTAATCATTAGATAACCATTAAAGAGGTAGCCAGTCTCTACTGCAAGTGACAACAGACCAGTATTTTCACCTTTCTTAAGTGTTATGACTATTGGCACGTGTGTATAAAGATGTTAGTGGTGTCACAATCGTCCCAATTTGTACAGGAAGCCAATACCACAGTATGTCCTTTCATGCTCTTCCTCCCAAGTTCTATGTGCACTCTTTCCATGAGTGCAGACAGATTTCTGGTAGTAATGCCGACAGTGCTATGTTAAAATAATCACTACTTATCAATACGTACATGTGTGAGTCTTCTCACAACTTGAGAAGACTTACAATTCAACACCTAAAATTACATGATAAAAAAGGAAACCCAAACTGCAAGAAAATATAAGACTGACAGCTACAATTTAAAAATCCCAATATTTCAACTCAGCAAATTTGACACATCTACCTTCATGCTCACCCATGTGACAGGGAGAGAGGCTCATATCCATACCCAAGTACAGAGTGAAAACAGTGCATCAAAAAATGCAATTTTTACAGATGAAGAGAGATCAAATGGAAATAGCAGTGTTAGAAGCTCCTCTACCAACAATGGCACAATGACAGGCGAGGCTTCCTCATCCGCCAGAATTTAACATCACATACAAAGCCAGTGATTAAAAAGTAACACAGCTTACATTTGAACTTCGATCATTTGCAGCTACACTTACTGCTGACATCTGTTCTCACAAGCAATGTGCTTTTCTTTTCTTTTTTACTGTGGAAGTCCAAACCACCAGCAGCTATTTAAAATACCCATATATTTTTAAGCACATTAAAATAGGAATCCCTGGTATATTAATGAATTAGCAATTTCAGGTGAGACTGCAGGGCTCTATGCTACCTTTAGCCATCAAAACTGTTACCTAGGCTTGTTCATCTTCCTACCCTGCAGGGGTTGAACTAGGTGACCCATTGCATCCCTTCCAACTCGATTCTGATAGAGGTGACTCATTTAAAAGAACTACAGGAAACACAAAGCTACTTCTGCAGTAATCGCAGTACATAGATTTCTAGAACTGGAGAGGACTATCTAGTCCAAAAACCTGCAATGCAGGAATCTTTTTGCCCAATGTGGGGCTCGAACCCACAACCCTGAGATTAAGAATCTTATGCTTTACTGACTGAGCTATCCAGTATTGGTAACTCACCATCACAGCAAATACAGTATACTGAAGGCAGTCACAGTTAACATCCTGCTACAAATGCCAAGATGACTAGGTATGAAGGTATGATAAAATTCTCCTTACAGGTAAACCAACTTACCTACTATTTACATACTCGTGGTGCTAAATTATCACTTTGTTAACTGACTGTCTGTACTCGTGAAACTGTAAAATCAAGAACACAAGACAACAAGCTCTCTCTCAAAAAAAGCAAAAATGGAAGAGTGAAGATTTGTAATTGAAAAAATATGCTTGCATACGCTTTCAATGAAATTAGGGAGGATAGAAAAAAGTTATTGCCACCCTCACCCAAGACTTCCCTTGAGGATTTAGAGACTCTATGAAGAAAAAAAGGAGATGCCCCCTTCACCAAGATAAAAGCGGTTAAGCATACTGTGCCCCTTTCGAAGAGGTAGCCCTCGTGACTGCCCTCCGCTTCTCCTGCCCTTCCCCACCATCAGCCTCTCTTTGTCTTTCTCTCTTACATGCGCTGGTGCCAAAAGAATCATCTCCAAATAATTATTCTTTGGAGCTCTAATTTTAGCAGCATGTTCATCATTTCTCAGTAAACACAATTAAAGGAAATTGAAACAGAAAGAGGACATTTTTAGATGGCTGGAAAAAATGTGTTTCTAGGCCTACAGTGGTACCTCTGGTTACGAACTTAATTCATTCCGGAGGTCCGTTCTTAGGCTGAAACAGTTTTTCTCCTGAGGCGCGCTTTCGCTAATGGGGCCTCCGGCACACGACTTCCACTCGCATCCTGGGGCAAAGTGTGCAACCAGGAGCAACTTCGTAACCAGAAGCGTGTGTAACCAGAGGTACCACTGTACATGCTTCCCATTCCGAAACAAGGGCACAAACTAGGATCCCGAGTTCTATCTTGGCCATTTCCAGTCCTACAAAGTTACTCAGAATAAAACTAGTCTGACTCTCCTCACATAAGGCTGCCAGTTTCAATATGGGATTGGGCAGTTCTTGTGCATCATGTTACCCTTCGAGATGTTGTTGTATTATAATTCCCATCACCCTCAACCACTGGCCCTGCCGACTGTGGCCAAAGAGAGCTGGAGCCCCAGAACATATGGAGGATGCCATGTTAACTACCCCCAGCTTATCAGCTGTAAAATAACAAGAGCTGTGGCAGCCACCAGTGCAGTGGTGGTAGGGAGAAGCAAGAAGCATACCCAAATAAGTAAGACCTCTGTGGTATCTGCCACTTTCTGTAAACTTTGTGGTTTCCCTGGACACACTGATACCTCTTCTCTTGCTTCTCAGCTCCATTTTGGCTACACAGACACTGTAATTCAGCACCTGAGTTTGCTATTAATGTATATATGATGATCATGTTACTCATTAGAACATGCTGCTCCTCTTATTTTCCCCAATTACCTAAATACCTTTTTTAAAAAAAAATGAGAAAAGAAAACAAGTTTGAAACCTCTCAAGAGACTAAAAAACAAGGGAAAAGAAAACAAGTTTGAAACCTATCAAGAGACTAAAAAACAGAAACAATTTATTATATCTTTCATGCCCATCAACTCTATTTGTGTAGGTAAGCATTTATTGTATCAGTAACTGTTATGGAAGACATTTAATCACTGGTTTATAAGATACTTACCTCAAGGAAATTTAGGACACATCCCTAGACAATATAAGACATTTTTTCTCTTAAGACCTCCCCTCTTCAGTCCTGGGTTTTTATGTATGTGTATCCACTGTTCTGGAGCATCATAATATGCCAGGCAATTTATGGAGAACAGAACATCTCATCTCACCTTAAGAGCATCCAGTGTCCTGCTGTTCCTTGGCAATCCTATACAACTAGAGCCAAGAACTCAGTGGGACATATTTCTCAATAGATATGTGTAAAATCAGTTAGAAACCTGGCCTTGTGGCAGTATTACATGATACACAAGGGTTCTATTATAGGCCTGTGTGTAGAAAGATGAAGTAATTGGACAATGCCTCAGTGCTGGACAATGCCTGAGACTGTGGCATGCGAAATGAAAGCAGGTCAATGCTAAGGACTGTTCCTTGTAAACAGACACAGGCTTTTAAATGGAACACTAAGCCATGGTTTGTTTAGCATAACCATGGTTTGTTTCACCACGCAAACTGAGCCCAGTAGCTTAACCATGTTTTGGTTATTCCCAATAAACCACAATCTTAAGCCTTTTATTGTTGTTAAGGTCCATATAGTTAAAGCTATGGTTTTCCCACTAGTGATGTATGGAAGTGAGAGCTGGACCATAAAGAAGGCTGATTGCTGAAGAATTGATGCTTTTGAATTATGGTGCTGGAGGAGACTCTTGAGAGTCCCATGGACTATAAAAAGATCAAACCTATCCATTCTGAAGGAAATCAGCCCTGAGTGCTCACTGGAAGGACAGATCGTGAAGCTGAGGCTCCAATACTTTGGCCACCTCATGAGAAGAGAAGACTCCCTGGAAAAGACCCTGATGTTGGGAAAGATGGAGGGCACAAGGAGAAGGGGACGACAGAGGATGAGATGGTTGGACAGTGTTCTCAAAGCTACCAACATGAGTTTGACAAAACTGCGGGAGGCAGTGGAAGACAGGAGTGCCTGGTGTGCTCTGGTCCATGCAGTCAAGAAGAGTCGGACAAGACTAAACGACTAAACAACAACAACAACAAATTTATGAAACCTGACTTTCTCAAACTATGGCATCCCGTTACATTTGAACCCAGCACTGTTTGCTAAGTATGGTTTGTATGCCTGTTCCAGACATTGGGCAGATTGCAGAGTCATGCATCAAGAGTGGAACAAAAAGGAATCTTCTCCCAAGGATAAGTGGCTCTTGCTGGCTTATTGCCCAAAGAACTAGGTCCTAACTCTGCCTGGTAACAGGCTTCTTTTCTCACCCTACTCTTCCACTAGTACAACTCCTCCCCTCAAAGGCAGACAGCTTTGCAGCTGCTACAAATAAAGGAAAATTTAAAGTGACCACAGCCTAGTGAGTCCCTAGTAACATCTAGAATGGGATGAAGAAGGAAGCAGAGGAGTTAAAGGAATTGGGTACCATGATACTCTAATTTAACTTATACGAATTCACATACAATTGAATTCACATACAATTTAATTCACGAGATTCATAACTGTTGTAAAAAACCCTGAAAGCATTCATAGGTAAAAGTAGCAAGGTTTAATAACTTGGTACTAACAGTGCCAAAATACTTTTAAGGGGGTGAAAAACTCAAATGAGTTTTCAATCAGCACTCAACACTGCCCATAAAACCTTTGCCTGCAATTTCCAACTTGCAGCTTCCATTTAACTCAAAACCCCCGGTGCAAACACCTAATGTACAATCCACATGTGCCCTGAAGTCTCAGTTTGACTGTTATAAACCCAGAAACAATCCTTGATCTTAGTGACCTGGTGTTTCTAGGATGTGCACGCTAGAAGCTGCACACCTCAACTCTGGATGGGAATATAGTTACTTAACTGAAGGGGGTACGAATAAAGGAGATAAAGAGTTATGCAAAACACCAGGGAGAAGGCAGCCTATGGTTAGGCAAGGGAACATTCCCCAAGAGTGAGCGGTGGTACCTGTCGTAATGGCCTGCATGGAGAGGACACAGAAATCAATGAGGGAGAATTGGTGAAGCTGGAGAAATTAAAGATGACTTTGTGGAATGAATAAAGATACCACTCCAGTCCTCGAAAGGCTGGACACCAAGCAGTGCTTGGAAGAAGAGACGGGTGCTGACATTCTACAAACTGGTCTTTAATGTGGGTTACGTGCTTCTCAGCTTTACCTTCTGGATTTATCCATGATTTGTGAGATCTTCAGAAGCACCCTCTGTATACTGAAGAAACTGTCCCCCACAGAAGTGATAAATGTGGGGAATGAAGAACAGCAACAAAAATACCCCTATCCTTCCATGAGATTGGCTTCACGGGAAAGGGCATGGGTGGGGTAGAGGCAGCCTTGGATTCATCCCACTTTAGCATTTTGGTCTGGGAAGTGTGTGTGGAATACTACAAATGCAAGTACTTCTATAGCATGGTCCCGCAGGCAATGCTGGAAAACAAATGATAATTCGTGGATGCATACTTTAGTGTTTCTGGGAGAAACCACAACACTGACATTTCTTGGACATTCTCCACCATTGCAGATAAGCTTGAGATGGGCATCATCTTCTCTAGGTTGGTGGCATTACACAATAAAGTTCCTGTGTGTTCTCTTATCCATGTAGACCAGGCATTTGCTTTGTAATCGTGGCTGTTGCCTCCCTAAAAGTCTCCAAGAACTGGCATTGACGGGAACTTCAAATACCATCATAGTAGAGCAGGGCTATTCTGGAGGAGTGGAGACCCATTTACAACTTGCTAGTCATAGAGGAAGACCTTGTTGCTGATGTCATCTTTGGTTTGCTGTACCCTCCAAAACATCTGCTAGATGGCATCCAACTGGAGCAGTGTCTAGAGCTACCTAGATGAGGGGAGGGATGCAGGGTCCATAGACTGGAAAGCAGTGTAATCCTCCTCCAAGTGTGAAGAGCAGGGCTATCATCAGGCCACGGCCATTAGGAACATGAGATCCCAGTTCATTTGGGACCATCACCTCCGCTTTCCCAGAAGTTCTAGCTGCTACTGACATGTCTTTGCTCATACCATTGGGAGGCACCACAAGATTCCTCCCCCCTTTTGTAATTCAGTCACATGGATTGCTGCTTGCTTTCTCCTAAAATTCTTTTCATTTTGTAAATCAATAAAATTTGATCATTAAATCAAAGCATGCAGTTTCGGAGGCAGCGAGTACAGTTTAGCTGGGAAGAGGAGGGGCGATGCCACTATCTGGTTGGGCTTTCTGAAGATGCTTACTGATTATTAGAATTGTGTACAGGTGGAGTTGTTTCCTTGGTAATTTCCTGCAATATGTTTTTCATTGGAAGCTGAAAGGGAACGTTTGGTAGCTTTGAGTACTTTGGTGATTAGTAGTGTGGGAGATCTTGCTTGCCACAGTTTCTCAAGGTAAGTCTTTTTAGGACTGAACAGAAGTTAGAATCCTCGCAACTCCACAAAACACAATGTTCTATCTCTTCTGAACAGGGATGTCAAACGTAAGGCCCTGAGGCCTCACTGGGTCCTTTAGGATTCCCAAATAAAGTCCACAGTACCCCTACCATTCCTCAAAAATTGACAAACCTTCAGGCCAATGAAAATGGTGCCTTTGTTAGGACAAAAAGGAGCAGGAACATTAATGACTACTACTGCATGCTACAGAATCCCATCTCCACCTTCAGTGGTAAAAGTCCAGCCATGTGGCAAGTGAATAATGGTATGTAGCAATCCAAGCAGTAAAAGTGATATTTTTTTTCATCTGGAAACATCATGGGTCTCGACCCCCAAGCATCCACAATCTGAGGAATTTTGCTCTCAAACATATTTGCCTTTGGCACACCTGGTTTATCCCATTCCCACTATAGAATCAGAGTTGGAAGGGACCCTGAGGACCATCTAGTCCAACCCCCTGCAATGCAGGAATCTCAACTAGATAATACATGACAGATAGTCATCCAACCTCTGCTTAAAAACCTCCAAGGAAGGAGAGTCCACCACCTCTCGTGGGAATCTGTTCCACTGTTAAACAGCTCTTGCTGTCAGAAAGTTATTCCAGGTATTTAGTGAGAATCTCCTTTCTCGTATTACCGAACTACTTATTTAAACCACCTTCTCATAATTACCACAAGTGGTACCTCTAGTTGTGGACATAATCCATTTCGGGGTGCCATTCGCACCCCGAAAAGTCCACAACTAGAGTGCCTCTTCTGCGCATGTGTGTGGTGCGATCGAGCACTTCTGCGCGTGCGCGAAGCAAGCAGATTGCTTCTGCACATGCACTGAACCCAAAAGTAAACACTTCCAGGTTTGCCACTTTCATAAGCTGAAAGTCCGTAACAAGAGCGGAACGCAACACGGGGTACGTCTGTACTACTATTCGAACAAGTATAAGAGGGCAGGTTTCATAATAAGCATACTGTACTTAATTTAATCTGTAGCCTGTTAATGATTTATACACCTCACAAAATATTCTACGCCTTCACTGTTGCACAGAAGCCAATACATTTGTGTTGCATCTTTACCCCAAATGTTTGGGGTGTGGGCAAAAATGATTCCTTGCTCCCAGGTTGCCAATTAGCCTGAAAAACAAGTGATTGACTTTCCTGTAGTCTTATCTATAAAATATAGCAAATGTTGGTGTTGACACTTTAGATCACCTCAATCAATCAATCAATCAATCAATAAACGCTCGTTATTATTTTTTACATGGCAACTACCAGATGACTTCTCTCTCCTCATGGAGAGTTTGTATTTACAGCCATTTTGAGCATGGTCAAAAGTCCAAAAAGATTTTGGAGAACAGCAAGATGAACTGTGTGGGAAAAGCAGTAATTTGCAATCATCTATTTAGTTCTACCTGTCTTTTTAATTTGGCTGATTAATTATGTCTAGTGATTAAATCACTGCTTTTTATGATGATTAAGCTAATAAACCAGGGTGCGTGTGACTACATTTTTTGAGTGTCCCAGCTTTCTGAACCTAAAAGGTGCTCTCTAATATCTAATCAGCGACATTTACCTTTAATAACCAATGCTTCATGGCAAACCCATCAAAGCCCTTAATTTAAGCAGAGTTTAAGCACTATATTTTCTTCCAATGCAATCACTGTGTATGTGTAACAAGATGTAAAACACCCCAGCATGCATTCATATGTACCCAATTTAAGGTACAACAGCAGCCTAAAGCTATATTTATGTTAGCAACTGCTGGACTTCCTGTGGCATTTACTAGAGGACACACCCCTACTTTGGGTCTGTTCACATGAGTCCTGCAGTAAAAATTACTCACTGGAGCATTTTAAACACCGTAGCTTAAAAATACTTCCCATTTCATTGCTAGTGCAAAAGCACCCATAAATGCATCTGCCGGTCTAACCATAAATTTTATGGTAATAGGATATTATGTGGATTTGTAGACTAAATCTAGGTCCCTTTTTTACCCTATGAAAATAGCACAATGCTACAATACCTAAAATATGGACAGAATCAAAAGTTTCCTCTGTAAAAGTGATTAATTGTATGGTATATATTAGTGAAGGAATTTCTTCCATTAGAATAGTTATTTAAAATAAAAAATTTTTTTAGAGCACTCAGAGATTACAATACAGACAAATCAACCACATAAAAGTAAGCAACCAGAAAAAAATGCCTTAAAACCTGCCACCTCTATTCTGGATAGGGCTAATCTATCCCATAAGGATCAGTCACACAGCCTAGAGGTGATCCTAAATCCAGCTGCAACAATCTCAATGTATGATCTTTTTCACTTGTCCAGGGTACATACTGCATACAGTGGTACCTCGGGTTAAGTACTTAATTCGTTCCAGAGGTCTGTTCTTAACCTGAAACTGTTCTTAACCTGAAGCACCACTTTAGCTAATGGGGCCTCCTGCTGCTGCCACACCGCCAGAGAACAATTTCTGTTCTCATCCTGAAGCAAAGTTCTTAACCTGAAGCAATATTTCTGGGTTAGCGGAGTGTGTAACCTGAAGCATATGTAACCCGAGGTACCACTGTATTTACAGCATACATGCATGGGCCCTATGAGAAGAAGGTTCCCTATTCCATCCTACATGCATACTTTTCGATACAATTAGACCATCAGCATGGCTCATCTCATTCAAAGTACATTAAACCTGCTGCCAAAAATAACTATGAGACACAAATTAGTACTCTCCATCACTGTTATACTGAATAGAATGTATGTGTCTATTTAGTCCAAAGCTACTATACCCCAACACTATCGTAAATATCAAAAAATGTACTTTGCCGTCCACAAATATGTCCTTGTCCTCCTCTATTTGAATCTTTCAGGCAGCTATGGAGCTAAAATGATAAAATGTTTACAAAGACTGAAAACAAGAGCAAAATAGGCGGCAAAACGAAAGCAAAGGAGGAAGCAAAACAAATCCTAATTGTCACAAAATTTACTCCAGTGCAAGCCGATTGGTAGAAGCACCTGGGTATCAAATATATATAGTTTATATAAGGGTTTAAAAAGCAATCAGTTCAATACCTAATCTGAATTGCTTAGATAAGTGTATTCAAATATGTAATTCAGACAACACCACATCTCTGCTTGAGTGGCAATAAAAAGCACCTGTGAGTAACAACACAACTTTGCCAACCCCACTGCCTTCCTGCAGCAGGCAGTGTTGCCCATTTTCACTGTTTAATTTTTAACAAATTATTCAACAGTGGGTGTCAGTAACTGGTTAACTGTGTTGAATTCTGAGGAGTCCCAGTTTAAGACCTTAGTCACTACCACAAACAGCCGCCCAGTGCATTATTAAGTCGAGGAACACGAGACATGGACTACCACCGAAGTGCCCTTTGGCTAGCAGAATATCGATAGTGACAACCTTTTTTTTACCAGCAGATATGCTACTCAGGGAATTACATAAACACAATGGGATTAGACTGCATGGTTGACACATCCAAGCTCCGCAGTCACAACTGAGTGGCATCAAGTCCCGCGTGGCTCACACTCTAAAACCTATGAGTATTCACTTAAAAGGTGGTACACTTTGTCCCAGTCCAGGTATCAGTGAAGTCAAAGCAAAGTTGGGAATATGCTTAAAAGCTCCCTCCTCTCCTTGTGGATACCTACTGTGGTTACCATTCAATACAATTATTTAAAGTGAACTTCCGATTCTGGTTTGCCCAATTCAGATGCCAGACGGAGCAGGCTGTGGTTAGTGTGAACCAGGATGTGGAGGAAGGAATCTGTACACAAATGGGGAGGAGGAAGAAAAACAGGCAACACATCAGCTTATGGCACATTCCCTTTTCTGAAATGTCTAGGCACAGAGTGTACTCTGCTTGTGCTGATATAGATGCATACACTAAGATCCAGATAAGCGTGTATGCATGTTAGGAAACTGCTGTTTTTTTCTAGCCGCTACCTACACACACACACACACACACACACACACACGGAGGAGGGGGGAACAGCATAAAGGGAGCAGCTGAAAATTCATTATGTGTACACACTGCTGTAGATCCCAGACAATTTTTTTTCTTCCAAGATAACCCAAATCCAAAGCCATTTATATAATTTTAAAAGTCATTATATTAATTTTTAAAATGCTTTAAAATTAAATTTGAATTTAACGTATCTCAGAATGAAACTATGAATTTATCAAAACTACATTAAGTTTTAGCCTACTTTCTATATAAGACAACAGGATAATATAACCAACTATTGAAGTCAAACATTAAAGGTATGACCCAATGTATTTATTGTTGTTGAGAAGTATGGATACTTATGACTAACCAAAAAGATTGTACATTAACTTTCCATCTCAGAGAAACATTGCACTGCCCTGTAATTCCTAGCGCCTATACCTGCAAGTTCTGAACAACAAGTAGGCCTGGATCCAAGAGCTGTATTTACAGCACCATCTTTTTACATGTATACACTTGAGTTCCATGGTGCTTACTGTCAGACAAGTGAAATTGCAGTCCTAGACTAACATAATTGTCTTCCATTAGCCCAGTGGATTTTTCTTCTCCTCTCAGCAGAATGCCATGTCATAGCACAACCTGCTCTGAGAATTCCCCTCAGAGTTTTAAGAGACAAGTTTTTGATGTGGTATGAGAGCTACTAATAAAAACAGCAACACCCTAACCCTGTACCCTTCAGTTCCCAGAACTAGTTTCATAATTCTCTGAATCCTAGTTTTACATCTTTAGAGAGTTTGTTTGGTGTCATGGCATCTGCACAAAAAAGACCCTCAAAAATGTCTAATCTGTTTTGCGATTGCCCTTCAAATCTATGCAGATAAAAACTCTGCAATGCAACAGGCATGTGGGCTACACGGTCCAAGGTTTTAGATTGTCTCCAAGGTAGCAAAACTGCAGAAGGCCCTGTTTAGTTGCAAACAAGGGCATGTTCCATCTGTGCATGGACCAGATACCCTCACACAAAAGGCTCACAGTAGGGATTAACAAAGCCCACTTCTCCTTCTGGGTGCTGACAGACATGCAGAACACCTCACTGTTCCAGGGGATCAGGAAGCCTGTGTGGGTTTACTATGTCCCAACCCAGCTCCCTCTCCCCACTTTAGTACAAATTACTCATTATGAGATCAGGACAACATATAGTAACAGCATTTAGTGACACCCCACTCCCCTTGTCCAGTTGGACAGTGAATGCAAGCAAGAAGTTATTTATTCACTATCACTTGCTCCATTATTTGCTAGGCAATTATATTTAACCTTCTTGGTAATGTATTATTATATACCAAACTCTAAAGGGAATGCTTCTACGATGATGATTTTTTTTTCTACTGAGATTTATGTGATGTTGCCATGCAGTAACAGCTGAAGCTCAGCAAAGTAAACCCTAGTAAACACTTAGATGGCCACTCATTTATATATACTTAAGGGTTATATTAAGCTTTTATGTCTTTATACTACACTATGACGCAGAGTTTTCGTGCAAATTTATTGAAATACAATATGTAATAAATATTTCAGTTTAAAAGTACTATTAACTGCAGAACCACTTCTTCAGTTAAACGCCGAGTGATCTGTAGACAGTTTGTGTAGTTCATTTCTATTCTTCTAAATGCCTACCAAAGCTGTACTCCTCAAACAAGCTAAATTGGAGTACTGTACTTTGAATACAATACTCTAAATCTTCGTTATTTTGCTACTGCAGTAGAAATCCAAATGCAGCAGCTGGTCTGTGTATCAAGTTGTGCTACTGACCTCCTCAGGAGTTGTTTGCACGATGTGATATTCTACACGTAAACATTCAGTTTTGTTGCTACTTTTTGCAGTAACCATAATTTCCCATCAGGCAACAAGAACATATCCTCTTTGATGTCCGTATTTAAAATACAGTGGTACCTCGGGATAAGCACTTAATTCGTTCTGGAGGTCCATTCTTAACCTGAAACTGTTCTTAACCTGAAGCACCACTTTAGCTAATGGGGCCTCCCGCTGCTGCCGCGCTGCTGGAGCACGATTTCTGTTCTCATCCTGAAGCAAAGTTCTTAACCCGAGCTACTATTTCTGGGTTAGCTGAGTCTGTAACCTGAAGCATATGTAACCTGAAGTGTATGTAACCCGAGGTACCACTATACTGTTAGTTGCACAACAATGAATGAGTTCGTAGAGATGATCAGTGTACTGAAAGTACTCGGTCGTCTTATAAGTTTGAACATAAAGTAGGCCTGATAGGATGTTTTTTTTAAAAAAAAGACAACAACATGTCCCAACAGCTTAACATGAAATGGAGATACTAAAGAAAGTGTGTGCATCACCACTTATGAAAGGCATTGTAAGGGTTAAATTGCATGCTGGTCTCAGGGTATGGTCTGAGGGAGGCACAGGAGACCACAGCCTTGCTGAAGGTAAGTGAGTCTGGTCAGTGTGTGGATGAGTGACCAGTGGAAAACCACATGTTCACTGCCTTGGGTTCTATGATGGAAGAAAGCCAAGATATAAATATAAGAAAATAAATAGTACTGGGCATGTTCTTCCTTGATAAAAACAATAGCTACAGGGGGCAGGGGAGCAATATGCATCAGCACAGGAAACAGAGCTAAAATTTTAGGAACAAACACAGGAAGTTTCCTTATACCGAATCAGACTATTGGTCAATCCAGATTTGAATTGTCCACATGGGCAATGAACCACTAAACTATGGCCCTTTCCATGCCCTTTTCTCCACTGAAGATCACTTCCCCCACAAAGTTGCTATAGCCAGTGTTCAAAACTAGCCAGGTGCCGGGTGCCTTTTGCTACTATCGCAGGTCCAACTGTGACTACGCAGAGATTTCTGGGGACCAGATTGGCGACCAGAGTTTAAAAATCACTGCCTTAGTCCATAGTTAATACCGTTTCCATTTCCTCTGTGTGTGTTTCTCCTTCTTGCATACTGGGATAAGGGAATTGTTGTAAGAGGAAGCTATAGTCAGGCAATGTAGTTGAGATCACAGAATCGTAGTGTTGGAAGGGACTCCGAGGGCCATCTAGTCCAACCCCCTGGCAAACAGACATTCTGTTGTGGTGACCGTAATCTAGGTTTAAGGTGCCACTTGGCGCCTAGCTTATATACCTGAGTTTCTAACACTGGCTATAGATCCCAATGCTACAGGTCCCAATACAAACCATACCACTACAGTGGTGCCTCGGGTTACATATGCTTCAGGTTACATACGCTTCAGGTTACAGACTCTGCTAACCCAGAAATAGTGCTTCAGGTTAAGAACTTTGCTTCAGGATGAGAACAGAAATCGTGCTTCGGCAGTGCAGCAGCAGCAGGAGGCCCCATTAGGTAAAGTGGTGCTTCAGATTAAGAACAGTTTCAGGTTAAGTATGGACCTCTGGAACGAATTAAATACTTAACCTGAGGTACCACTGTACCTGCAATTGCTGACTTCTGCCAGAAAAAAACATTCCCAGTATGAAGCACACAAAAGGGAACTGAGAGGAACTTGAGCCCAAAGCATCTGGGGGGAACTAGGCTAACATTAACATGTAGTTTGGGCCCTGAGTGCTCAATTCACTGCACGTACCCAGATCAGACAACCCCATTATCTGCCTTGGGGATACACACAGGGAGACGAAGCAAAGGATTATCAAAAAAAACTAAGTTCAACTATTCAGGAACAGCTGTATTTATTTGCTATAAATTTTCTGGATCCTGAAAAATCCATCCTGGAAGGATCTGAGCAGCATCACTTCAAATTTACCAAAATACTCGTTAAGGCTTGCCCAGCACTGCATATAGTGTTTCATTAGATCATCAAGAATTCATCTCCTCTATCTTTCATCACCAAAACACAAAGAAAATATCAAAGCATTTTTAATAGCCACATCATTTTGAGATACTATCAGTTTCAGCTATTTGCTATAATGGGAATTCCTTATAACCGATTTCGCTAATGAAAAATGGTTTATTCAGCTCCATAAAGGAAAAGGAGTGTCCTAAAGAATAAACAGCAAATAAATGAAAACTGATTAAGTGAACAAGGACAAACTATTAATCTTCTAAACCAGAAAGATCTTATCAAGGGTGGCCTAGAATGCAAAGGAATAGCAATGATCCATTTCACCACAATAAACTGCCAAGATTAATTCAGGACTCTAGTGCCAACCATTAACAATCAAGGAATCAATCCACCAGATACTGCAGCCGTTCAGCCTCCATTCAGTTCAATGGGGGGGAGGGTTTGTAAGCTCCATTGAAACTAACAGAAGTTAAGCAGCAGTGTGTAGTAAATATAATACGGTACCCAGTAGTAGGCCTACAAAGCCACTGAAATGAGAGATTTCTACAAAAATAAGTGGGTGCAGAACTATAGTTTAACAGTCTAATCAGAATGAAGTGCCAATCGCCCAGCAGGGATTACTTGCATTGACTATTGCTAATTCTATTGAACAGTTTAGTTAACAGAGGAAAAGGAACCCTAGTACTGTATTAAAATCATATTCTCTCTTAACATTCTGTGTGTGTGCATGGATTATATGTCTCTTCTGACTTTGAAAAATAACAAGTTATGTACTTATAAAGTACAAATCCACTCTTAATTTGAGCCAAGTTTAATTCCGACTAAGCCCTGCATCCCATTCCTGGACCTATCTAATTAAGGTCCTACAGCACTCCTTTTCTCCTAGAAGTACAGAGTTGTAGCTACTATTTTTCATTCCTACAACAAAAATATATGAGCTTTTTTATGCTTAACAAATTGAGGCTGAAAGATGGGTGACTGGTTCAAACTCACCTAGCATGCCCATAGCTCCGCAGGTAGAGCATAAAACGCTTAATCTCGGGGTCGTTGTGCGTTTGAGCCCCATTTTGTGCAAAAGATTCCTGCATTGCAGGGGGTTGGACAAGATGACTTTTGGGACCCCTTCCAAGTCAACAATTCTATGATTTTTTTATTCTTCCCATTCACTACATAAGCACATCTTGCAGAGATCTAAATGCGTACAGCCAGGTCCAAGTTTAAAAAGCCATCTAATGGACAATCCTGGTTCTTATCAGACACTTGCTTTCATTTATTGGGCAACCTGAGCCATCATTTCTCATCTGCACAATACCTGAACACCTCCTATGCTTTTAGGGCTGGCACAAAATATTCTCTTTAATTGTTCACATAATTTAATTTCATGGAAGACAACACTAAACTTCCCCCTACAATTTATCATCCATAAAGAAAGATCAGCTTGCTCCTACACTGCGAGTCAGAAGTCTGGAATGCACATATTACAGAAGCTACCGTGTGTTCTTCTAGCCATTGATCTTTGTCAAAACTTTAGGTACAGAATACTGAAGTAGAAACATATTTCTGAAAGAAATGGCAGAGCCGCTAAAAACCTCCAGTTCTCTCTCAAGTCAGAAAAAGACACCCTTAAGCCAATGATAACTGCTTTAATGATGAAGCTGCACACTATTCAACAAGTCGGTATACATAAGATTATGTACGGCTATCTTCACTGAATGCCTTTTGACCTGTTCCTGCACAGGTGAGGTTCCCATTGTAAAGGGGGAAAAACTCCCTGGAGGCAAAGTGAAAAAAACGAAGAGAGCTTGGGCAAAGAAACAGTTACATTCAGACAAGGGACTTTGCGCTAGTGTAATTGCCTGAAAGACCCCAGGGAGTCGGTACATGCTGTAGTAAACATTATTCAAGGACCCTGCAGACTTTTATGCTATCACAATACATCCCCTTTCTCCTCTGACAGGGGAAAAAACACATGAAGCAGCTTCAACTTTCTCCCATGGAAGTACTGGTAAATGCACTGTCAATACCCAAGGATTGGAATAACAGCATTTTTATATTGACTAGAAGACTGAATAATCATGAAGATTTCTATCTTTTATGTCCATTCTGTAGCAAGGTCATAGCATACGGGAGCTTCCTAGCATTCAAGTACATACAATGAAAGTACAGTTTCCTGAATTTTATTTTTCTTTGTCCTTCATGAGCTGGAGTTCTACTCTGAGGCAATGCAAATTATTCATTACAGTGGATTATCATAGTAGATATTTGTAATAAATAATCATCACTGTGCGCCTCTCAAGCCACCTGGAAGAAATAGATCTGTTTAGCTCAATTCATTTTAAAAGTCTTATTTGAGGATTAAAATAAAGAGTTTCGTTTTTATTCCCAGATCTGCCATGAAGCTGCTGAATAATAGCCAGCAACAGCACTACTTTTCTGATGCAGACAAGTATTATGATAGTCTAAAGAGCTGCAATTTCAAACTGAACAAGCTATGAAAATGCAAGGAATTAACAATAGCAACAGTTTAGCACACGTTTATTTTTAAACCAATGGAGAAATCAATTTCAGAATAAAACCAAACTCTTTCCATGTCATCATTCCTGAAGCCAAAACATGACGTAGTACAAATAAGCAAATGCGCAGTCTCCAGGAGAGATTATGGCTGCTTTCTTCCTCTCCCCTGATTGTTTCACAGCTGCACTGAGCCACAGTTTTGGCCTAGTGTTGGCCCAGAATTGGAATTTGGCCCTCCCAGACAAACCACAAGCTGCAAACCTTGACTATGGTTTGCCTGGAGCGCAGCAGACAACACACTAAGTTTAACCATTGCTTAGTGCAGTGCAACACTACAAAGTGGCTGCAATCTCCTCTATGAGGACCGGGTGTTTGCTCATTCGCACTAAGCCATGTGAACTGGGCCTATATCTGTCATAAAGCTTTCACATTCAAAACTTGGTAAGGTTCTACCTTTTGATTAAAAAAACTTGTTTCCCCCCCTAATATTGAATAAAACTGGTACCTTCCTATGGAAAATAGATTAATTTTCATTTTCTTGTAAAAATACGTTCTACATCCTCTCTTCAGCATGTCCTCCACATGTAGTAGAACTATTCAATGTAGTAGAACTATTCAAACAATTTTTTTGCTAAGGATTAATAATAATAATAAAAGAAGATAATTCCACACTGCAATTTGAAAGGAAGTATTATGGATCAGTTACTAAGTTAGGTACCTTTGTTTACCCAGCTCATCTCATTTTTAAGCAAGGTTTGCCCTGTAGAGAAATCCAGTGTAAGCTTCAGAGTCATTCCCACTCCTGAAGTTGTTCTGTCACATAAACATAGTGTCACCCAACACACAAATACACAGAATCAATGAGAATAAATTCAATTCTTTTTCACCTTTTAGTACACTAATTAATCCATCAGGAAAGCCTGAAATTGAAATGAACTGCCCTCTCCATTTCACTTCAGGCTGAAGCAGGAGCCGCTTTATATCCACTGAACAGCATCCCTCTGTTGTTGTCTAAGGCCTGGTTCACACATAATGTGAAACAGCATTGCTGAAATCACAGGCTCTTCACTCCTCTCCCATCCGTGCCAGGACACAAGCCATGGTTTGGCTTGCTTTAAAACCCAGACTCATAGTTTGTTTTCCCCCAAACAAACTACTGCTTATTCACCATAAACCATAGTTTATTTTAACTGTGGCTTAATGTGATGTCTGTGAACCAGGTCACAGAAGTACTGAGAAATAAGATTATACGCCTATCGTTCAATCTGAATTACAAGAAGTCTCAAGGTAAACACTACTCTGAAAGTGGATTAATTCCTTAAATAGGAGAAACTGAGTCTGAACTCTTATTTTTATTCTAAACTCTCTTCATAAAATTCACACATACTTCGCATAGGTGCAATAGTTAAATCTGTTCCCTATCTGAAGGCATATTTACACCCCAGTTAGATACAACCCGGGACGCGGGTGGTGCTGTGGCCTAAACCACAGAGCCTTGGGCTTGCCGATCGGAAGATCGGCGGTTCGAATCCCCGCGATGGGGTGAGCTCCCGTTGCTCGGTCCCAGCTCCTGCCCACCTAGCAGTTCAAAAGCACATCAAAGTGCAAGTAGATAAAAAGGTACCGCTCCAGCGGGAAGGTAAATGGCATTTCCGTGCGCTGCTCTGGTTCGCCAGAAGTGGCTTAGTCATGCTGGCCACATGACCCAGAAGCTGTCTGAGAACAAACGCCAGCTCCCTCGGCCTATAGAGTGAGATGAGCGCCGCAACCCCAGAGTCGTCCATGACTGGACCAAACGGTCAGGGGTACCTTTACCTTTTAAGTGACAACCCAAATGTGCACAGATTACAGATAGTGCAGCCCTTCCTGTAGGTGAAGGAGTTGACAGCTTTCTAGCATTCAAGCTAAGATTTCAACAATGCTGTCACCTCACTTCTTAACTGCCTCTTATGCCTCTGCTGTCCATGGGTCCTAATTGAGACATGAGCATACAGGAATAACACTATTCGGCAGGGATAATATTTAATCCAGCCCTTCCTGTGCTACAAGTCTTTTCACCAAATGGGAGAGGGAAAAGCACGGCATACCCACAACCAAAATAAAACACATTCCTGTACTTGCTGTGGAAAGGAAAAGTTTAAAGTCATTCTCAACATTAAAATGTTTTGTTTTGGCTTTGGGGGGGAAACACAAGAGGAAACATGTGATTCCTACACTTCCAGTGTGAAATGACACAATCTAGGAAGAGCTGTAACACACATGTGAAATGACTTTTATGTATGATCACATGATGTATATAGATGCATTTAGGAATGAGGCCTACACAGAGCGCTACACCTGACCTGATTGAACTATCATGGTATACGACAACAGTTTTGCAGGAATCCTAGTCTGGTTACTGCCTCTACTATAGTCAATCCTGAAAATATAAACTACTCATGGATGACTCATTGCTGCCCAAAGAGTTCAAGAACCAATCTAAACTTTTCTTGTTAAGCCCCAGACTAAACACAGTATCCAGAGACAAATTCCCTTTAAAGACATTTGGACAATTTCCATGTACTGTAATGTGGTTTGAAGTTTTACAGTCTCTTCGTGTGTATCATAAATTAATGTTAACACAAAGCTACAGGTGTCTACTGCACTGTGTGTGAATATAACAGGGAACTGAGTGCCCTGCTTTTTGTGGCCAGTGTACATCTGTGTTTAGTGAAACAAAGTTTATTTACTGGTTACATTTCTATACCACCTATTCCTCCAAGGAGCTCAGTGTGCTGTACATGACCTCCCCTTCTCATTTTATCCTCACAACAGCCCTGACAGGTAGGTTAGACAGAGACAGTGACTGGCCCAAAGTCACCCCAGTGAGCTTCACTGCTGAATGGGGATTAGAACCCTGGTTTGCCACATCCAGTCAGACACTAACCACGACACCACACTACACATTTGGTGTGCTCATGTGACATTACTCTAAGATGCCAAGCCTAACCAACTTGGGTGATGTCCATATTCTGTAACTGCATGTTGCTCAAATATTACCGGTAAATGTGTATTTTTGTTACAGGAAAATGGGATTTTTAAAAGCTTCCATCTATGAGAGGTACTGTGTTGAACTAAGATATACTGTATTTTTTAAAAAGCTTAGCGTTGTTCTCACCAGCATGTGCAGTACAAATAGCTTAGCCTGATGCATAACAGTAACAGCTATTACTATAAGTCAGTGGACAGAATGTATCAGTTCTTACATGAATGTTAAAGTTGTGCACCTTACATTCTATTTTACTGAAATGTTTGCCACGGTAACCTCTGCCTCCCTCCCAGCAGTAGTAAGTCCAGAGAAAGAGGCAGAAGTAACAGGACCAACCTAGCGCCACAGTCTTATCAGTAAAGAGTTTTATATCAGAGTTTTACTTCCAAGTGGATAAAGGTAGAGGCAAAGCTATGAATCCTAAATGTTACAGACTCTTACACGCTTTTTATGACAGCAAATTTCTCTCCAAAGCAGATATAATCATTCCACGAAACCCACGTGAGACCATTAAATAGACATCACTCCGGCCTAGGAGAGGCCTAGTAATAGAGCTGCTTTTAAAGAGCGGATTAACTGCCTGTCCCTGCAAGAGAGAAACTGTAAAAGTCTAAGTTCTGGACTCCTCTTTCTTTTTCATTAGGTAAGATGATTCCACAGTTTCATGCACAGAAATGCATCTAAATGGAGTCAATTCCCAAACTGTCCTTCCTGCACAAGCCCCTCATTGACTGTAAGAGCATTTCCCCAACTTGACTCAAATTTATTAAGGCCTCCTTCTCCTTTCCACTGCAGCCAACTGTAGTGTGCATCCCTCATTTAGGATTTATGGGTTCAGGTGCATCCTCAGCTACAGGGCAATGAAGCCCCTGCGTTCTTGAGTCTTAAGAAAGGGAGGGCAGAAGAGCAGAGAATGGAAACTAAGAAAGCAAAGGGTACAGGAGTAGAGTTGTTTTTCAACTGAAAGTAGAGTCCCACAGGAGGAGGCATCAGTAGCACCGGCAAAGGGGCTCCGCGGAGTGTAATTTGGTGGCACTGTAATCACGCGCAATCAAAACAACGGCGGACACCAGCTGCCGATCCGACCCACCTTCCTCCCCCACCCACAAAAAAAAGTCGCGATTTATGGGGCCAGGTTGTTGCGAGGAGCTCGCAACTGCCATCAACATCGCAGATGGGTAGCAAACCGCGTAGCGGTCTTCAGAGAAAGTGTGCGCTCCCGACGGAGTTCCCCTGCGCTTGGGTTGAAAGATCACTTCGCCGCTAAGGGGAGGGGGGGAGGATGGGGGAGAACCACAGCCCAATTGTTTAAGAAGGCCTCATCTTTTCCAAATGAAGCCATTTTAGAGAAGATTAATAATCATAATAACGCTTTTATCATCATCACCATCACCACCACGTCAAACGCCACTTCGGCAAAGACAAAACACATGGCCTCAAAAGTTCAGAAGTTCCCTTGAAATGACTTTTCCTCTAACCCACCCAAGTTAGAAAAAGAAAGTGCATCAACAACGTTCAATCGCCCAGCCAGAGATTCCAGAAACCAAGGCGAGGGAAGGAGAGGCTTGGCTTTCCTTGCGCACACAATAACGGGCAACACCCCCCCCCCAAAAAAAAGAGGGAGAAGGAGCACCTTCCAGTGCTCTGCGCCTAGGAACTTTTCACAAGTACAGCAGGAAAACAAATGCGAAGGGAAACGGCAGGCGGGCAGGCGCCCCCTTTCGGGCCCGGAGGTGCGCGGGCGCAGAGCGCCTTTCTCCCGCGTCGCGGGAATTTGCGCGGAGCGCGAGAAGCGCGCGCGGAGTTGGCGCTCGTACTGCTGCGGCGGCGGCGGCGGCGGCGGCGTCTCCCGGCTGCACATCCGAGCGAAGCGCTCGCCACTCGCTCGCTCCCCCTCCCGCTCGCCTGGCTGCTGCTGCTGCTACCGCCCTCCCTCGCCGTCTCCCGCATCAAACTTCAGGAGCCGGAAAAAAGCGTTTCCGGCGGCCGCGCACGCAGCAAAACGCGCCCAGCAGCTGCGGCGGGCGCCCCCCGACCCGCGAGGCCCCGCATCCCGCCCCCGCCTTACCTGCGGGGAGTTTTTCCAGCCCCGCGCCGCTGCCGGGGCTCGGGCAAGGCTCGCCGGCGCTCCGCTCACCGCCTCATATCCAATATGGCTCGATCGGCCCAGGCGCATGCGCCCGCCGTCTCCCTCCCCGCTCCCCTCCCCTCGCTCCGGAGGCTTTTTGGGCGCTCGCAACGCACTCCCGCGCCCCTCGCGCTCGGGCGCGCCGAGCCCTGGCGCCGGCCGGCGGCTGGGGACGGACGGGCGTCCGCGGAAGGGCTCAGTCTGGACCCCCCCTGCCCGAGCCGAGCCGCTGCCGCCGCCGCCCCAGAACCAAACTTGCTCCTCCAGCACTTCGGGGCGCCGGGAGAGGCGGCGCGAGCCCCCGCCTCCGCCCGTCGCAGCGCCGCCCCGTCCCCGAGGATTTCCCGCGGGGCGCGCACCTGCCTCAAGTTGTTGGGCGCGCAATTGGGGAGGCTGCGCGGCGGCTCGAGCTCGAGTGGGGGGCGGGGGCGAGCGAGCGAGCGAGCGAAAAAGAGCCCCAGCCTCCCGTGTGCTGGAATGAAGCGGGAGAGGCAGCTGGAGGGGCTTTGCGCGAGACAGGCAGGCGCTGTCAGCTTAGCTCTCCATCCAGCGCGCTGGCCTGGCGAGCTAGCAACTACTTGAGCCTGCTCCCTCGCACTCAAGCTGCAGCGCCCGGCTGCTTTCAAGTGCCATAAATACACCGGCGGAGTCATGCCTTCTCCTTGGAGAGCCAAGTTCATTTTTTTCATATTTTTTTTTCTGGAGAACTCGCGACTTCCTTTCTTCCACCCGCCCCCCTCCCCGTTTTTTGTGTGCGTTTGGCCCAGAAAGGCCGGCGCCGTGGGTTTCCTGACACTATCGTAACCCCTGCCTTGCTTTTTCGTGAAGATCTCTCGATCCCGGCTCCGCTGCCGTTTGCTGGGGATCCTGCGCCCCTTTGGCTCCCTCCTCGCCATCCCCCCCCCCGCTCCGCCGCTCCCCTCCCCCTGCCGAAGATGTAGGACGGAAGCGCGGCCCAAGTGCGTGCACGCTGGAGGAGAGGATGGCGGCAAAGGAGGCGGCTGGGTGGCTGCAGCTGTTGAGACATTTAAAGGCGGGATAAATTAAAACAACCGAAATTAAAATCTGAAGACGGGGAGGGAGGTGGAGTTGTGGCGGTGGGGGGGGGGAATAAATGGGGAAAGAAAGGAGCAGGATTGTGCAACACCGAGAACCTCATGACCACGCGTCGGTGCAATCAGAGAAGAGTAATAAAAGCGAGCGAGTTTCACGCAGCTTAAAGGCGACAGGAGGCGAAAGAGCGATACCGATTGAGCCAACTGGATCCTTGCAAGAACCTCGCTTTGGAGGAGGGGGTGGGGACAGAGATCTAGTTTCCAGGATCCTCCGCGTTCGCGCCTTCCTCAGTCAGCAAACCATCGCCGCCGCCGCCCGCCCCCCTCCGATTTTCGCATAGGCTCAAAACGCTTTTTTACTGTAGATCTCTGGCTTGTATCTACTCCACTTCCCCCTCCTTTAACCCGTTCCATCCACACGCACGCGTCCCTTGGCGTGCCGGGATTTAATGGCTCAGGCTGTACACGCCGCCTGCTCGGTGCGTCGCAGACACCAGTTGACAGCATACGGGGATAAGCGATCAGCGTGCGGAAAAGTCATCTGGAACTCGAGGAGCGATCGGCGTCGCCGGGCTCGGGTGGAAGCGAAAGGGATGCGCCGAGAAAGATACAGAAACGCCAAACACTGCGAGATTTCCAGACAGGAAGAAGGCATGCCGAACACGGAGGCGAATAATAAAACCCAGCGCAGGGAAATCCTCGCGCTACAGCTCAGATCTAACCAGCTGCCTGCACCTTCCCTTTGAATAATTTCCCCCGCTTCCATCGAAAATGCTGGGCGATGCAACTGCGGGCAAGCGGGGGAGGGGGGCCTCGGCAAATAATTAAAAGGATTAAAAGATATCGCGACTTGGGTCGTGAAGATGTGGCATCTACCGTGTTTTGAAGAAACGATCGTATCGGATTTATTGGTAATTTTCAATCGTGGTGGTTTCTTCTTCCGCTTGGGGCTTCTCGTATTTTTGCACTGACCGAACTTAAGACGAAGTCGACCTGAGGAACGAAGACTGCGCTCCTTACAAGGACTGAAAGCGAACGAGCTAGATCATCTTCCGAGTCTGCCTCCTCCTAAGCCAAAAGTGCGCTACAGTCTGCATGAAATTCTCTGCCTAAAGAAAAAAGAAGAGGCGAGCAACTTTAGGAAGGGAAATGCCTTGTCGGACCGCTAGAGGGTGGTCCCTTCATATGCGTTGCAAGGTAAACGAATGAATGGAGCATCCCGGAGTATAGTATTGAAGGCTGCAATCCCATGCTCGCTTCCTTGAGAGAAAGCCCCTTTGAACTCAGCGGATCTTTCTAGGAAACATGTATAGGCTGAGGCTGCAAGAATATCTTAAACTGAACTTCCAGTCTCTCCTGGGTTGTTTTCTTTTAAGGCATTCTGAACAACACAACCCCCACCCCCACCAAAAAATAAATAAATCACAAATCCACAAAAGGAGGCTCTCCTAACTGGAAAAGTACCATTGTACTCTTGTAGATGTAACACTCCCGTGGTCACTGGTTCCAATTTAAAATTATTAAGGAACAATTGCGTTTTACATAATCACTGCAGTCAAGCTTTTAATGCAAATCTATGAATTGGCAGTCATCTGGAGAACAGCACTTCAAATCACCATAAGCAGTACACTGTGAACAAGCTTCACTACTTCAAAGTGAAATGTTCTTACGTAATTCTCACTCTCATATTATTCTTGACTTTTAATTTCTCCAAACCTCCTCCCCTTCCAATTAAGGCTACAATCCTACAACAAACCTCAAAGGAAAGCCCATTGAACTCAGGACAAACTTCTGAGTAGACATGCACAGAAGTGTGTTGTAGTGTAGCCCTTTGAACAAAAGCCCCATTGAGTATCTCTTAAATTGTGTCAATAATAATAATAATTTATTTATATGCCGTCCATCTGACTGAGTTGCCTCAGTTACTCTGTGTGGCTTCCAACAAATTAAACACAGTAAATTAAGGACAGCAAAACATCAAACATTAAAAACTTCCCTATACAGGGCTGCCTTCAGATGTCTCTGATGGAGCAGTGTGTGCTGGTTCAACTTCCCTGCATTCCAAATCTTCATTTGAGGGTTGAGGTCTGAAAAACGATTGTAAGCTTATTCAACTGAATGTGATTACAATCCTCCCACAATCAGGAAATCCTGCCCAAGTGTATTCAATCAAAACACACTTAGAAGCTACCTTCAGATTTTCCCAGTCATCATGGGAAGGTCAAGAGTGTGGAGGAGTGGGGCCAGCGCATGTACCTCCTCCATGGATACAATTTAAATTCACCCAAATTATCAAAATAAGGCATGCCCTTTCTGTGCAAACTCCCCCACCCACCCCCACTTTTTTGAAAATACTGCAGATGCTCACTTGGCAATTTTCATTCCCTTTTCTCTTCATTAATGCTAACAAGTTGTGATCTCTTCAATAAAACTGAACACAAAGACTTCTCTGGAAATACACCAAATGTTCTTTTTTCAAGGCTGTGAAGAACATATTTAGCAGAAGCTGATTAGCTGAGCTAATTATTTTAAGTGACTAGAAAGTATCTCATTTCTCTTAACTCTGCAGGCCTTAAGTACATTAGATAACAGAACACCCACAAAAGCTTTGGTCTTTTGCTTGTATTAATGAGGCCTTTCCTTTATAAGATAACATGCTCTTTTTTTGCTCATGGTCAGTATTTCTGGCTGAGGAGGGACAGGAAATCTTAAGTATTCTTCAACCAACTTACTGCAGTTGTACTTTCAAATTGGTCTTAAGATAACAGTGCTCATTAAAGTCAGTCTTATGATAAGAAAGCTGTTGAGACCCAAAGACCCGGTATTCATATAACCCTGGCCCTTACTCCCCTGCCAGAGGCCATCTTCAGGCTCTTTCCCTAGGCCTCATTGGGTGGGGCCAAGGAGAGAATAGCTATATTCCGGATGTACCCAGCCCCCTTCCTCCACAGGAAGCTGCAGAACTCCTGGACTTAAGCCTGTCGTGGCCGAGAGCACAGGTAGCCCAAGAGAAGGGGGCGTACAGAAGGACTGTGCTCCTGACAGTAGCGCTAGACAGTAACCTGGGAAATAATGGGAAGCAACATCCATGAAATAAATCCATCCTTCCAGAATGCCAGATGTGCATTGTTTGGCCCCCTTGGTCAGGTGTGGACCCATAGAAGATGGTGGTGTGGGAGCTTCTGGTGCAACACCAATGGGGCAACTTAAGAAACCCCACACCACATGGGAGAAGGTCATGCTATGACACAACGCTGTCAACCTTTGAGAAACTGGATGGCTGGTTATGGATCAGCCCACATGGTCTTGTACCTCTTGAGTTACCTGGCAGTGAAGAAAGGATCAGTGCTGGTGTAATATGGGCTGAAAGCTGCAGTCCTTCACGCTGGGTTAATGAAGCAGCCTCATACAAGAATACCATGTAGCCCCCCTTTTTCCTACTGCTTCCAGTGTGGCGTAATGGTTATAGCATTGGACTATGACTTGTGAGATCAGGGTTTGAATCCCCACCCAGCCATGTAGTTCACTGAGCGACTTTGGGTCACCCAGCATCTCACAGGGGTGTTGTGAGGGTGAAATGGGGAGGGAACCATGTACACCATATTGAACTCCTTGGAAGATAAAGGTGGTACACAAACACACACACACACACACACACACACACAAATGTGCACCTCTGTCACATGCAGAACAACCTCCATTTCAAGGACTGGAGGTGCAACAGCAGCAAACCGAGCAGGGAATCACTGTGGTGAGCTGGCTTCTTAGGTCTGCTTGCAGAAACCAATGGAACTGACAGACGCCAGGAAAGTTCTGTCTCAAGAATGTAACAAACAACAACTTATTTAGACTGCAGTCTTAAGCCCCCGAAGCCACAGGGGGCATTACACCTGACAATCTAGATTGCCGCAAAAACTACCAGAGTGCCTAGGACTGGGTGCCCAATTAAGAGCAATGCCTTAAATGCTGGAATGCCACACGGACAGAGTTGTCACTTAGGAAGAGGAGAAGGTGGGGTCTGATGTGGAGAAAAGATTCAGTTTTTCTTCAGGGGATGAGGATTTCCTTGGGTAGTGCTAGAACAGGTTGATGGCTCTGGTCACTCCTTTAGCCACCGTTTTTTGCCACCACAACAAATGTTGATTTCTAGAGATGAGTTTGAGTTGGATCCTCAAAGCCCGTATAGTGATGACACAACTAAAATGAAATCCTTGGGATTCTTGCTGATGCAGATGCTTTGAGGTTTGGACTCTTCCTTCTGGATGTTAAAATGCATAGGCGGATAACATCCATCTGCTCCAGAATCCTTCTTTAATGCTAATAACATCCAATTGGAAAATCAACAAGTGAAATTATTGTATTTTATGAAAGTTAGATTGTATAAAATAGCATAAAGCTAGTCATGCACATACTATTGCATGGAATATATCATAAGCTTGTGTTCAGTATGTTACTCTGGAAAGTCTAATGCATCATTTAAATGTATTTATTCAATACATCCTGTCCCAAAACCTCTTGCTAAGGATTTTTAATATGCAGTTTCTCTCTGTAACTTCACAGCATTTGATTGAAAGTCTAGATCTCTCTTCATTCCTTGAAGGACTATTGTTAGACATTGCTTAAATCATCAGCTTATTTGATGTTACCCGATAAGTGTGTCTTGCCAACTAGTTTAACTCAATACATAAGAAATCTTCAAAGCTACCAAATCAGTTTTTCATCCTGTTTCTTTGTTCCCCATATCTGGAAATTGTCCCCCCCCCCCCATTTTCTTTTTAAGCTAAGGAAGTTGCTATAGTGATTGTTCCAATGTTCCCTTAAGTGTCCAAAACTTGTTATTCCAAAGGTAGTGAGATGAACTTCCTACTGTTCAGGTACAGGAGGCTGGAAAGCATTATCAGGTCTATATGTAAATAGCAATGGGTTGTATGCAAGTCAGTCATGCGTGGGGATAACCTGCTGAAATCAATGAACTAAAGTTAGTAGTTGATTTCTGTGAGTGTATTTTGAGTATAACTTATTCTTATTATTAAATAGATTTATATACTATTGTACATAAAAAGATCTCAAGATGGTTTGCAAGATAAAAATACAAGATAAAAGCACAAATAAGTAGTTAAAACAAAACCAACAAGATAACCCCCTTCCCACTTAGTCAGACATAACCCAATAAAATTGTTTTGGAAACAACAGAAATGACAAAATTAAATAAGTTTTTGTGTGCACCAAGCACTATAAGGATTTTTACTCCTTTACAAGGTCATATGGAAAAAAATGAATTAAAATAGTAGGACTTCAGCATAGAAAAGTTGAGCGGATAAGGAGACTAAGCTGGAATCTGCATGGCTCTGCACCTGCCTTGGATCTCAGCCTTTTATTTTCTATAATTTATTTATTGTGTTCATATCCCACCTTTTTCTCCATGGAGGTCCAAGTGGCATATGTGGCTCTCCCTCTCCTCATTTAATCCCCACAGCAACCCTGTGAGGTAGGTTAGGCCGAGCCCAAGTTTCTAGTCGTGATTCAGGCTTTTTAAAATATGACCCCAAGAAATCCAGCCATCTCTGTGTAAAGGAACGAGCTTGCTTTTTTTTTGCTATCCATTGTTGAAAGGAGTAAAATGAATCCAGTTAATGATGTGTGTGAAAAGCCTCAGAAAACAGAAAAGGGAAGGGTGGGGTTCTTTAGTGGTCAGAAAACAGGATGTTTCTGCCTTGCAGCGCTGTCTCTCCATAACCCAGCACACCACGGTCTTCCTGGCTGCACACGAGCCCATTGTCTCCTGTACCCAATCACTTCCATTTCCCGACTAATTCTGCCAAAAAAAGCTGCAATAAACCATCAATATAAATTGAACACATGAAATTAAGCTAAGCAAGTGTCGCTACAAGATAGCAAATGCTCAGTTTAGATTTTTAATGTGGGAGAATTTGGCATGTGTGGGAGGATAGTACTGGTTTAAATGTAGAACCTGAGACCATCTATTGGTTGAAATGGGCACCATCTGCTTCAGAACAGTGCAGGGAAACTACATATAAGAGGCAGTGAAGTGTACTGAGGCTGCATTTGCACCACAGTTTATTCCGTTTTCCTGCCATTTCCCAAACAGTTAATCCTCACATTATATTTGAGCTTTCAAGCAATGCAAGAACCGCTTTCAGAAATATAGCAGAATTTTATTTATTTATATTTATTTTATTTATTCAACTTATACATCGTTCACAACAAGAACACAACATATAAAATCAAACCAAAAGCAATAACCCAATAACACCCCCCCCAAGCCACATTCTAAAAGTGTGTTGGATGTCAATAAGATCAACCAAAGGCCTGGTTAAAAATGAACGTTTTTGCCTGGCACCTAAAGGTGTATAATGGAGGCGCCAGGCGATCTTCCCTGGGGAGAGCATTCCACAGATGGGGAGCCACTGCAGAGAAGGCCCTGTTCTTGTGTTGCCACCCTCTGGACCTCTCTAGGAGAAGGCACACAAAGATGATCTCAAGGACCGGATAGGTTCATATGGGAAGAGGCAGTCCTTGAGGTATTGCGGTCCTGCACCTCTTAATTTTCTGTGTTATCTGCTTCTGGAAAATATCCATGTGGAAATAACATGGACACGAGTGCTAAATTTGTGCTGTATTCTGCTATGTTGCCATATATGTCTTTTATGTTGTGTGAAAGCTCAAATGTAGAAAGCAACAGTTAAGGTAGTGTGGAGGGGATGGGGGATGGACGGAATAAACGCCTAGTGAATGCAGCCTGAGGAACCCAAGCGCTTCTGTGTGAGAGTTTGTAATCTGACCTGGGCACCTTCAGCAGCTCATATGCATTTGCCCCACACCTTTGGAAATAATGTGTGCATGATGTCACCTGAGCACAGTTAATGCATGCACTACTTTTGGAAAGCAGTTTTGGCTTTTTGACAGATATGTGCAAGCGACTTCACCCTGGGGAACACTGCCCTTTGAGAAAAGTTTGGTGTTACGAGTAAATGTTTTATTCAAAGCATATCAAGGAAAGGTTGGTCTCTCTTCAGCTGTGAAGCTAGCAGGTGTCTTCTGCCAGATGCAGAGTTCTTGGAATATGGGAATTAAGAAAGGCCTCTTCTGGACATCTCCAATGAGATCACAAACCTGCTAAAGGGAATTGCATCGCCATCTCTCTACTCACCCACAAGGAAACATCACTCAAGACTGATCTCTTGGAAAAAGGGGTTTGTTTTGCCAAATTAAATCTCCATTGCACTTAGTCCACTCTCAGGGGCTCTGATATTTGCCCTAGGAACTTAATAGTCTGAGCTGCCATGAACTGTGAGTACTCAGCTTTTCGAATGCTTTCCAGACAGAGAAAGGAATAGGGATACTATATTCTGTGGCTGGCTGGCAATATGAAGCATCTGGATTTGCCAGGCATAATATAAATGCTTCCTGGTCTTCTGCCTTTGCCTGGTCAACAGAAAAAGCACCTTCTTGAACTTCAGATCCTTGTCCCCCTGCTCCAGTAAACAAGGTCCAGAAGAACAAACTCCAGGTCCGGATCTGGGTAGCCCATCTTAGTCCATCCTCCACA